ATGATTTCGGCATTATCCCCAGTGCAAGGTTAAACTCTTCTAAAAGCCAATATTTTTTTCATTCGCAACCCCAGCGGTCGTATCCTCATCACGTCGCCTTTACAGTGGCCTCGTAACATTACAATACCAGGGCAATACTTTCACTGCATTTGGTGTACAAGACAGCATCTGGTCATCCGTTATACAAACTCTTCAAAGTGATATAAAAGCAGCCAGGCACTTCGTATTCCCCCTCTTGGAACGCTGATACTTATCTTAAACGGTGTACCTCGGAAAATTTTGCTACCTTTGCCATTCTGCTAAGCCACCGCTCCATGTCTGCAGGAAGGTGCAAAGCTGCATCAGTTCATTTATTTGGTCTGGTGGCACAGAATTGCTATCTCGTCCGGCGTTAGCTCAACCATGAGAGCATGGCGGTTTCGCATTCCCCGACATTTCCGCCACGGCCTCTACTTTGTGCCTCCACACTATATTGCATAAGCAATGATGTCATGCCCGATCAGACACTGGCTCGCTACCATCTGGGCCCATCACTACGTGTATTCTTGCCAGCTAGTCAAATCAACCAAGGTCCCCAATCAACTGAATTACCGTCTTTGTATCGAGCCCTTCTGGCATTTCACCGACGTTTGGAGGCTACGTGGCCAGAAATAGAGGTGGCTGAATCTAAAGTGGTGGACGCAATGGCCGCCCTTATACGGTCCTTGGTGCCCCCCCATCGTCATTCTATAATGAACCGCCTTTGAAACCAATAACTGCAGCAGTGTTACCAGGACATCTCCGGGACTGGAGCTATCTCCCTACTCGAGATCGGTTGCAGCGATGGCAGGTGGTTCGCACTTCCGTGCACTTGCCCCAACTGAGTCATGGTTCAGACCAATCGACATGCGTCGATTGAATATGTGGTCTCCCGCCTTTTTCGGCGCGCGGTCCATGGCGGTTTTCGTGGACAGGGTGTGCGAACACTCGTGTCCAACGGCCGATTTCCACGCGGGCGCTTTTCGGCTCTTTTAATCATTGCAGGGCTGTTCAGCCTTTGGCGAAACCAATGCAAGGCTGTAGCTGCAAATTTCCGCCGGCGTGCTTTGTGGCCGATACTGGGCCGAATGAAACGAGAGATCCTCGCGTTACTCTCTGAGGGACTTTTTTTTCCACCTCGGGGAGCGAGAGTTTCTGCGGCATTTGTCGTGCCCTTTCGTCAGCATTGAACACGAAAGGGTACAACTCGTTTCGCGACCGACGTGGCGCTAAGTAGCCCTCGTTGACTAGTTATTCATGATTTCGTTTGTAACCAATTGTGTTTCATTGCATCTATTGTATCGTTATACCATTAGTTGTGTCACGATATGACACTGAATTCTTGTGTACACGTATGCCAACATTGCCATGTATATTAGGGCAATGATGTCTTCATTGCAACGTAGTGATGTTTGTCTTGGTACATAGATGTACCAAAGTGTATGTACCCTTATTACTGAAATATTATGAAATCTTTGTTCTCTGTACATAGCGCGAATAAACTTTTCCGAACAGGCCAATCTTTTTTATACCGGGACAGCTCGAAGCTATCCCCTAGTAGAGTAAATCGTACACAACATCGTCCAACATTTGTTCTGAACACAAAAAAGGTTCAGCTGGAGTTTCTAGTTGTTCCGAGTGTAGTATATAGCCAAGCGGCCCCTCCGTAGTACGCATGCATGCGTGGCATTTTGTGAAATATGAAGAATTCGATTCATTTCATTTTAAATGCGAAGTTCAGCTCGTCTCACCTTCTACGAAAGCGGGCGGCGGGCATAAAGTTTCTTGCAAACTTACCGAGAGGGAAATCTGACGCCAGTGAGTTGGTAGATGCAAGGTAACAAGATTAGAGTGTAACAAGATATATGAGCTTTGAACTTGACTCGGCTTTATATACCTCGAAAACGCATCTGGCTTGACGTTACTAGTATTGATTTCTCACCAAATGAGCAGGTAATAAGCGATTTATTTTTGTCATTGCGCAGAAACGTGTTTTATTTAACGCTCAAAGCTTATGCGTCGACGTACAGTTTTACGAAGCGTAAGAAGTAACCAACGGCCGCTAAACTTGGCAGGCAGACGACAAAGCGAGCGTTCCCTCCGCCACTTTTATGTCGTCTGTTTCATTCTTTCGCCGTTTGGTTGTGCCATCCAAGTAAGTGGACTGTTACTTTAGAATATAATACGTGTGAATGAGATCTGCTTATAAACGTTTTGTTTTAGAAAAGCTTTACTTACGCAGTCGTATTCGCTTTTGAGCCGAAGCCTCACTCAACACCAGCCAACACAAGCCTCACAGACACATATACCGTCATTACCAGCGCTCCTACAGGGCCCGTTTATAAATTCGCATAGACGCTGGCGCCACAATTCCCTCTAAGTATGATTGTGAGAAACTCTATGGCGGCGTGTATATAAGCGGCGGAGCGCGCGTTCGGAGTTCAGTCGAGGGCGTCTCCTCTCCGTCCATTACGACGACGGCATTAGGCAATAAAGACACACTTTCACTTTACACCCCTTGTCTTCGCTTCTCCTTCATTCAACAAATAAGAATTATAAAACAAATTATAATTAAGTATACCCGATTGCGCAACATTCATGTGAACCCCCCCCCCCCCTCCGCGACGCATTTACTCGAGTTCCTCCCGTGGCAAGATACGGGCTCCATTTTTTTTTTAAACTTCTAACATTCGGATACACAGTAAACTTTGTGCTTTAGTGCTCATTAGTGATTATACACAGGTTTTACTTGTTTTTTTTGTTTTGCTTATGTACAAGAAAGGTACATGTACAATAAAACATGCCTCCTTCCTTCACCGCCAGTTTATTATGCCCCTATAAGATGGCGCCCGCAGTCGCCATCTTTTGATGGCAAGACTTTACTCCCGGGCAGCAACTTCCACTCCAGCATTTTAAAAAAAACGCCCTTTCTGTTTGATTGGCGATGTTCATTCTGTTTCTACTTGTGTTTCAATAAATTGTGATCGCTTAAGGGCACGATGCGCAGTCTATGACAGAGCCCAAAGCTGTCCCAGCACGTGTACAAAAAGGTGTGTTCGGAAAAAGTGGGTAACGATTTAAAGTACTAGATACTCTAATATGGGAGAGCATAAAGTCGTATCGTGGGCCTCACATTTGATGAGGCCCTGTTGACGGAAATTACGCCGTGAACGACTTCACGACGAGATTCTGCAATTCCTTCTGTCAGTTTTACAACGAAAGGTGTTAGGGGATCAAACACGGGTCACGCCGCCGCTGTCCGTATAATCACTATCACGCGAAATGAAATAAGGCAACAAAAGACATTAAGAACATAATGGGACTCGAACCCGGGTCCACTGCACGCCAGCCGAGTATTCCAACGCTGATCCACTCCGGTGCTTGGGACTTGTTTGCAAACTTGCCTTAGGAACGCTTGATGTCGGGAAAGGAATCGCGTTAATATGAGTAATAAAGCGTTTTATAACAGCGAAGGAGCAACCGGGCGTCACACAATGCGAATCACGTAACAAGTGGGTCGTCCAATGCTCCAAACCCACTACAAAATCTTGTTCCTCGTCACTTATTAACTGTGACACACACTTCAGGCGTTATCCTTCATCGTCGTCAGCCACTTCATTAAAAACAAAATTTGCTCGAAATTAGTTGCAAGTGTTTAGTGGATACCGCGCTTCTCCGAAAAATGACGAAAAATGCGGCATAGTGAATGCCTGCCTGTCACGCAGTGATTGATGGCGTAGTTGGTACCCTAAGTATGCTTGCAGCAGCTGCTCTAAGAGTGCTAAAAAAGGCCGCTCTTCTATAGGTTTCGCTGTAACAGTGCACTATCTGACCAAAAAAGGTTGCACGTTAAACTCGCTGGACGCAATCTCCTCGGTTTCTGCAAGAGACTAAAACTTCTGTGTCCTAGCGGGACGGCTTAGTGCTCTCCCATAGTTGAGTACGAAGTAGTCGAAATCGTTAAACATTTTTTTTTTCTAAACACAGGTTTATTTAGGGTTGGGCCACAGTGCCATGAACTAGCGGCGGTGAAAGGCGGAAACTAGACACGGAGCGTAGGCCGTAAGAAAGTGGGCGCGTGCCGCTCCTTTACTCCGGCCGTGCCACCTCTCCTTTACTCCTTGGAATGTCTGCTGGATGTCGGTACTTCTGTGTGATGAATACGTGATCAAAAGATGCGACATGGCTGTACTTGGAGTGTTCACTACATGGACAGACAGACAGACAGACAGACAGACAGACAGACAGACAGACAGACAGACAGACAGACAGACAGACAGACAGACAGACGGACGGACGGACGGATGGACGGACAGACAGACAGACAGACGGACGGACGGACGGACGGACGGAAGGACGCACGGACGAACTCAGGAACGAACGCACGGAAGGACAGACGGATGAACAAACACAGAGACGGACGCACAGACGGTCGGAAAGAAAGAGCGAACGGATGGACGGAAGCGCGGACGGACTGACAAATTCTTCGCCCCACTTATCGTCATGCAGCCCTTGGATAAGCTATGATCTTTTTATGATGTTGGTAGAGAAGATTAAACTGTGGATTACTGCAATTGAATCGATAAAGCCGGTGTCAGTGAGCTTTCGCATATGGCTGTGTTCTGTGTAATGGGTAGCATGCTTTATACCACGAGCAATTATGCGCGTGAAATTTGTCACTATAGTGGGCTCGCGCTTGGTTCTACTGAGCTCGTTTGCTAGTCTGTCCGTCCGTCCGTACGTACGTATAGACGAACCACGGAGCTAGCCGAGCAGAGCCACTGCTAATTTTTAACATTTAATTAAGACAATTCTAATTAGGATATTGCTAATAAACAAGGTGGGCCAAGCTCTCCCGATAGTCCCGCCTGGCACCATTGTTGCAAGCTGCCCACATTGTTTTATTATTTGTCTGATATTTGTGATTTTTGGAGCCGTCGGCTTGCGGTGTCAGCACTGCATGTATCTCTATCTTTTCCCAGGTGCACTACTGGCGTCAATTTGAGTCCGGCCTGTTGCTACGAGACAGCGCGTCTGTCCTCGTTTCAGCTGCCGATGCCGTCGCTGACAAGCCTGACCAGTAAGTACCGCCTATTTACTTGACTGTCATCAAGTTGATTCACATTACAATTTCGTCACACGTATTATCGCTAGCGGCAGTCGCGCAGTGGTTGCATGTCTACAACAACCTGGCTCTAAATTGGTCGGCATCATTGCCGATATGAAAAGGAAATGTGGTTGTTGTTTTTTAACACGAAAATGTTTTATGCCGGGGTCCACCAAGATTTGGTGACGTATTTTCGTCACGTAAATGGCGTCAAAAATACGCACAACTAGAAGACAGAGTTCATTGAACGGGATTCGAACCCATGACCTTTGAGTCAGTGGTAACAGATTCTGGGCACGCTATCCACTTTGGCACAACCACATACGTTGCAGGCTTTAAGAACTACGCCTTTTATCTACGCTACGCCTGCCACTGTCTTTTCTCAACATTCTTGGTAAGGTGCAGTGATGCATAATGACCGTGACATTCACGGTTATTTTCTTCAACACACCGTTTCCAAGCGTCCGTCCCATGCCTTCTGCACGTTTCCAATAAAGTGCCATTTCGTCTCTCTCCATAGGAAAAGGCACGCGTTGAAACGGGTACGTGTGACCAGACCTTCCATCCTTACGTTGCACAAACACAACGGTACCCTATCGGAAAAAAATGAATGGTGGGCATGGTGTAAGCCACCACCCACCATTATAGTGGATAAATGTAGTGGGTGAATGGTGGGAAACGCCCACCATGGCGCATGGTGGGTATGGTGGGTGCTGCAGTGCCGTCAACGCTTTAGCGCGAAATGACGTCAGAATCACCGTGACGAGCTGCCACAAAAAATAAAAAAGAATTCTATAAAAACGGTACAAAAAACACCCGTCCCGTAAAAAAAAAAAAAAAACAAGGCGCCACGGTGGATCGAACGTGCAACCTGTGGATTCTCAGTCGAAGACGCTAACCACTGCGCCACACCATTTTTTTTTCTTTATTTAATCTTTATACACGACGTTAAGAGTTTGTTAAATACTTAGTTAGCATACAAACTTAAGGTTCAACTTATGTTTGTCGTTTACACAACATAGACAAGATCTACACCTGCTATTAAAAATTGCACATTTATTAAACACAAGCAACTGCGGCCTGTAACGATTGCCACTATGTTAATGGCACTAGTACTATTTTTTTTTTTTACAATTCACAACTTCAAGAAAAAAAACCAAGTGGACTGGGGAGCAGAAACAGTTTACCGGCGGGGTCTGCCAAGTTTAATATCCGTTTCGCGCTCGTTCTAAAGGGCGACATCTGCTCACGCTTTATGACGCTTCTAGGCTCATTCCATAGATACGCCCGCCTAATTTATTTGATTGAGTATTGGGGTGCTTTTCGCGCAATGTAGAGGGCGGTCGCGCCAGCGCAATGCTGTAGCTTTTTCGCTAAAGCAACAACTACATAACGGCTTGGCCAAAACGAATGCAGTGTGCCGAAAACATCATATTGGTTCATATCATATTGGTTCACCGAGCATACGAATTGCCACGTCTGAGTTCTCGTACAAAAGCTAGAGAAGTGCCGGTGAGTGCGACCGGCGGCTGTCGGTGAGAAGACACTTAATTACGTTCTCTGGGAGTGCTTTATTCGCGTCGCATCGATGTTTGTTGCTTCTTGAGCGGACACCATACACAATGAAAAATGCTTCATTTAGGTTAATTGATGCCATGGCTGCGCTGTATTGTCATACTTAATCGTCGAAATCGTGTATTCTGAAACCCGGAAGCACGGATAACACAATTGTACGGGCTTGGTCAGTAGGCCTGTGGAAATCATGGTGGTAGAACATGTAGTGTACAGATCCCAGCTTGGTACACTATATACATTGCCCGCTATTATAAGCCCACCCTTCATCTGCTTACTGCTTCCCAGCATTATCGCGATGGTGGACAGAGCTTCTCAGCTTGGTACACCATGTGGCCCACCATAACAAGCAGCGCCCATCATCTGCTTAGTGCTTCCCAGCATTATCGCAATGGTGGGAAGAGTTTCTCAGCTTGGTACACCATGTAGCCCACCATAATAAGTACCACCCACCATATGCTTAGGAATTCCCAGCATTATCGCAATGGTGGGCAGAGTGTCCCATTATTGCCCACTATCTAGCCTCTGCTTTCCACTATCATTTCCACTTTACCCATCATCTGTACACCATACCACCCAGTATGTCCCGGCATAACCACCATATTTTCCACTACGTCCCACCATAGCCATCAAAATTTCCACCATGCCCACTATTATTTCCACCATGCCCACTATTGTTTCCACTACGCCCACCATGTTTTCCAGTATCCACCATGGCAATTTTTCCGATAGGGTAGCATATATGTTTCAATGATCTTCATGTGCTTCATTGCATTAAAATCATTATGCAGCGCAGGTCCAAGGATTGCATTTATGCTTCACTGTAAACCCCCAACGTAATGCACGAAAAGGACTTCTATGGCAAGCGATTAAAAAAAAAACGCACAGGAAGGGTTAATGGCGAAAAATACCAAAGTTGCTGTGATGCTTTAAACGTACAACTTTGATTTCCCATGCTTTCTGCAGGTTTATCACTGTGGATGAACTGCGCAAGAACTGGGAGGTCAACAGGGTCTACAAGTGGTTGGTGAGTGATCATCATTCGAAGATGATATATCCTATCCCAATTTCACAGCACGTGTATCTTGGGGAAGGAAATCCACCGTATAGACCGAAATTCAAACAAATAAAAGATGAATGCGAGAAAATATCCATAAATGCGTTTTGGAGTTCGCGACAAACGAGATCTGTAGGAGACCAGGGAGGCGGGGAACCAGTGCATTGAGTTCTGGGTGGAAATAAGGGCAGGCGAAACTTTGGGGGAGTGGGGGAGGGGGTGTTACTTGGCAGTGAGAGACACACGCTCATTCTCTCCCCCCCCCCTCTTCTGCCCCTTAACGCGTGCCCTGTCTGGGCGCGCGCGCACCATTCTTTCCACAACCAGCACGTGCAAGAACGATGCCTCACAAGGCTTCTCTTGGTTCCATAGTGCAATGCACGTGGGGACTGGAGGGAACTTAACGCATTTAAACCTTGTACAAAACAGCACGGCGGCGACGACTCCGTCGTAAAATGCAGTGTCCCCCAACAGTCGCATGCCGCAACAGATAGACGAAACATAGACAGGTCCTCGGGGACCCGCCGTTATGTTTGCGCAGCAAGACCACTTCGTGGAGCCCGTGACGGAGAAGCAGGCGTACACGGAGACCCGCTGGCGCGAGAAGATGCCCGCCGAGATGTGGCGTCGCCCTTTCTTCGTGGCCACGCAGCACGCCACGTTCAACTTCGTGCTCACCCTGGTGCTCGCCGCCGACGTGGCCTGCACCATCGCCGAGCTCGTGCTGCGCGTGGGAAGCTGCGGACAGTGCTTCGCCACCTGGGTGCTGCGGTGGACGAACCTCGGCTTCGTCACCTTCTACTTCTTCGAACTCGTCTTCAAGGTGAGCTCTTCTTTCGGGCAGGTTCGAAGGCCGTGAGGCTCATAGGGGGCGCCTACGGCGCACTGCGACAGCGCCACCAATGGGCAGCCCTGTGCTGCATAGAGCGCTAGGGCGAATGTCCCGGTTTCGGAGGTCTCGCGTTCGCCGCCTTTGGAAACCACAATAGCGGTGTGCGAACATGCGAAAATTTCAAATAGTAATCGACAAGCGCAGTATTCGATTCCGGAACAGTGCGTATTGGAAATACCGGATGCTTTTTCGAATAATCAGCAACGTCGAAAAATGCGCGAAGGAACGAGACGTTAGGGCAGCGAGGCGAGGGGTAACTCTTCTTTAATCGTCGAATTACCGAGATGCATGCAGCCCATTTGCTTACGGGATTATCAATGCAACGTCGATTACAGGATGAACGCGTATTCGCTTAAAACTCTAGCGTCGTCGAAGCGACGGTGTTTCAATCCACTATCGTAACATTCGTGATAACTCATGAAACTTGCCAAATATTCATGTATCAGTTTTATTTAAAGGCTGTTCACAAAATAGGCCACATAGAATGCTGCTCCGTTTCACCCTGGTGTTACAAAGTATTTCGAGCGCTCTAGCTGCCCCTGTGTTCGAGCTTACCTCAGTTGAAATAATTGTGTTATTTGTTGTCTGTAGGATCACTTGGAATATTTATTTGTAAAATATGTGAAAACTCATTTCGAATAAGATTTTGTAAATTTATTGGGATGTTTTGAACATTGTTACCTTACTAAGGCTGCTTCGAACATGGTCACCTTATTATTAAAAACTATTCGAACAGTATTCGATCTGTATCCTTATTTGATTCGGTATCATCACTATTCGATTCGTATTTGATTCAGTTCCGAAATTTACCCTTTGCACACCCCCTACAAACCATGTATTCTCCCCTGTACGCTGGCGTGTCTACACAGTTCATTTTACGACGGAGCTTTTGAACGTTTCATTATGTGACGTGGCGTGACATGAAAAGTATCATTATCATGAGCGGGCACGTGTTCTCTTAATCATCTTCGGGCTGCTGAGCTATTTTATCCCTAACTGGGGTATACGCGTATGGCGTGAAGCGCTCGCAAAATCAAGGAATGTGTGCATGCACGCGGGCATATGCCTCCGTGAAATTCGATCGCCACGAAGTGCTCATCCACAAAAGCATTACTAAAACGGGCGATTTGGCCCGATATTTATTTTTTAATTACAATAAACTAATTGAGAAGGATAATAGAAATAGAAGGCAAAGAGATTTTGTACATTGCGATTCCGCCTTCCTTATGCACCTACCTTTTGCACCCTTAATTGCCATTTCGCGAACTTGCGGTTTTTGTAAATAAAACTAGCACTGTTATGTTTTACTTGCTCTCTTTTTAATAAGCCTGCTCTCATCTGCGACGCATGCAAACTTTGGCACTGAAATTTTTCGATGGGCCCAAAAAGAACTTTCACAAAATATAGCTTCACCGCAGTAAAACACTGCATGTGAAAAAGCCAGCTTTCAGTTCATAAACGCCGGGCAGTCAACTCGTGAACAGGACCCAAGCACTAACACCTTTAGTTGTATTAATGCGTGTGACGTTGACGGCCCTTTCGTGTTTTTTATAGACTATAGTCTTTCTTAGGGACCTTCGTTGCCAAAATTTTGGTCTGTCTGTCTTTCTGTCTGTCCACGGTAACGACACTGCAAACAGCATCAAACGATACCTCAAACGGCGGACCCCATCCTCAGCGCCCACCAATATTGCTCAAGGTTCAGCGTTCATACTTGTGCGATTGTCATTAAAAAGCCATTATTGCGCACATCTGAGGCACCATAACAACACGTCGATGTTTTGTATGTGTGCCTTTATACTTGAGAAGGCACACACAAGTAATTCCAAGAACCGTAGCGTTTATCACGCTGTTTGACAGTGCAACGCGATGCTCAAAAAGGCAAGTGTTTCCAACGCTTGGCTAATACGACACGGTGGTGGCCCCTGCCTATCGCTTTGCGTTCTACCCCTTATCGCCTCCGAGACAGGCGAGGCACGCATCTTTCTCCGAGGGGGCGCACGCCTTCCTTCGTTTTCGAAAATAACTTCCAGATGGCACTCGTGTCTAACGTGTCTTAAGGTCCCCAGATGAAACAAGCTTCCAAGGTAGCGTCACTCATTGTTCTCGAGCCATCCTCCTCACTCTCTCACTTACCCCTGCGTTTCTTGGAAATCGGCGTCTGTAATTGGTGCATTCCTTGCACGTGATCTTGCAACTGAACCCAAACATTCGTTTTTGATGAAAGTTTTGAACCTTCTAGGAGGCGCTCCTGGAACATAGGCGAGGAGGAAAGGAAAAGGTGTTGCTTGCTTGAAAAATTGTTTCATTTAGGAACCTTAACGTGCCTCGATGCGCTCGTTCGCCTTCGCTGCACGGATCGAGACTCTCTAACGCCACGCTTCCAGAATACAATCCACCAATTTTCTCGCGCAGAACATCAAATAAACGTTTAGTTCACTTTCTCCACACGCAAAACTATCGTCTTTCGACGAAATTTGCAGTGAAACATGCAGATACGGGGCCATTCTTTTTTCATCGCAGCTACTGGGTCGCGGACTTCGGGCGCACTTCAAGAGCTACTGGAACATCGTGGACTTCGTCGTGCTGTGGGCCTCCGTGGCATCGGCCGCCATCGAGCTGGAAATGGAGCTCGCCGGATCGTGGTACTCGCCGTACATCGTCGCCATTCGGCTGTGCCGTGTCGTCCGGCTGCTCCACTTCCATCGCCTGCTCCGCGTGTTCCTGGTCAGTGTGCTTGTTCATCACATCATCTTTTTTATTACGATAACAATTAGACGGACAATATCGACGGGTTTTTTGCCGTCGCCGTCGTGTCCAGCATAATATCCCAATTCATAAAATCCCTTCGCACATCGTACGTTCCACCCGCGGGTAAATGCGCGCGAGCGGAGGCGACGAACCCGACTTACGCAGAGATTAAACGAATCAGCCCATCTCATCACTCGGAGGGTGCATGCGATAACATCACCTCGCTGATGAGGCCTGCCATCAAAGCAGGGAGGAAACGCCCCACCCGTCTTCAACGAGCATGAAAAGACGCGATGGGGGTACGGTGGCTTATATTTATTTCTTCTTCATTTATGGAATACCAAGAAAGTCATGAGCAGGTGGCTCGTGTACACTTATACGTGCTGCCCTCTCAATGCGAAGAGAGTGCGCGAAAAGTACCACTGGAGTGGCAGTATTCTCTCACACCACCGTTTTGTGGAGCAGAGTGAGACCGGATCCAAGAGAGTTAGCTGCCAACCTCACTTTGTATAACATTAAAATTTGTTGCTGTCGCATACATTGTTTCGCCCTTGCGGTGAAACTGTGACGTTTTTACTGTATTAGCGTCTCCCATACATAATGAGATATGATTATGCTTTGCAGTAAATGTGGTGTCATAACCGGCAATCTCAATTCAACTTAGTGGAAGAGTATATCTTTTCGAGAAGGCAGTACGGCAAGTAGACCACCCGTTGGAGAAGAACGGAGAGCTATTTTTGTACAGCTATTATACGAGCAAGAATGCATCGAACCCGTGAAGATCAGATCCTGCTATCTCGAAATATTGTCTATATCGAATAGTTACGATGTCTCCTCAGAAATTTTCTAGAGTATAAAAGTGCACCTCACGTCTATCTAGAAACGTTACTTGGTTCTCCGCAGCTTGCGATATACGATATCGTCAGCCAAACGCCGCACCCCTGCAAGCATGTTTCTCCTCGCACTACTAAGATCAGTGCTCGCGTCATTTGTAGATAATCACGCCGATCAAGCGGCAATATTATTGTATATGGCAATTATATGGACACTCTCGGCTGGATTTTGCCGCCGGCGTCGACTTCAGCGTCACCGTATATGTGTGTGTGTGTGTGTGTGTGTGTGTGTGTGTGTGTGTGTGTGTGTGTGTGTGTGTGTGTGTGTGTGTGTGTGTGTGCGTGCGTGTGTGTGTGCGTGTGTGTGTGTGTGTGTGTGTGTGTGTGTGTGTGTGTGTGTGTGTGTGTGTGTGTGTGTGTGTGTGTGTGTGTGTGTGTGTGTGTGTGTGTGTGTGTGTGTGTGTGTGAAAACGCAAGAAAGAAAAATAATGCAGAAAAAGACTCTGGCGCGCGGAATAGAACGTGAAACCTCTGAAATGAGAGTAGGGAGCGTTAACCACTGAGCTACGAAGGAGTACTTCCTTCAACGTTCAAACGGCGAGCTATTTATATCTACCACTTACCACTATTGACGGGCATCTCGGGGGAACTATCGTGTTTTCAGCATTACCAGCAAGATGGCGCAATGAGCGCGCGTCACCCCATCGACGCGACGGCGCGCGCTCTCATCTCCCACGCGTACTTTGCCCCCGCGGAGAGGAGGCGGGTGGACCACTCGGGCGCCCTTATCTCGCGGTGGGCTTCCACCGGAACAATTCTGTTGTAGCTACCGGGCGCACATAGGTCACTGCAACTGTTGCACAGTCTCCGTTGGCGAAAAGTGCGCGCTTTTCAGACACAGCGAAGTACTAACTGAGACGCTTATTCACGTTCATCTGTACTTGTGAGCATGTTTCGTGCGTCATTTGTGCGTCAGAAACGCGGGGCACATTTCTATCTGCTAGCCACTCTGCGCGCGACCTTCCAATTTGTTGCTATCGCGTTCATTGTTTCGCCTTTGTGGCAAAGCTGTGACTTTTTTGTGTGTATTCATCAGCCAAGTCATTCAGTGGCGATTTAGCAGTAAATACAAGAGAAACTTGTTAGAATCATCTTCAGTTTCCTAGAAAAGTTAGCTATAAATGAGAGCTGGTACACTCAAGCCTCGATACTACGAATCGGTATATAACAAAATACAGGTTATAACGAAGTTAATGAAAAATAGGTTTGCAATAGATATAGTGTTAGGTATGAGCCATTTATAACAAATTTTCAGATATAACGAACTTCCGTGTAAGACGTAACTTTTTATCATTAGGTTTGAGTGTAGTATGCGGGTAGACATGATAAGCTTCAAAATGCATCAAGTCAGCTTCACTGCAGCACAGCCATGTAGTGAGGTGAAGCATATAGTTAAAAAGCTAACACTGTGCAGCAAAACATACCCCATGATTCTTGTATCACTTATGCGAATTGCCGATATAACATGCTAATACACTAATACTAATATTTTGGGGGGGGGGGGGATGCCCTTCAGATTTCTCATATGTCGAGCTAATAATACACACGATTTCGCACCTATTCTCAAAATGACTGGCTAAATTCTTGCTCGTTACTTATATTTTTACAGCCAGTGGGAACAAAGGTGGCCGGTGTGGTGACTCATCGCGTGAACGAGCAACTCACGGCTGGATACGACATCGGCCGTGGCTTCATGATGGGCCAGTACGAAGTCAGCAAGTTCTTGGACCACATGGTGGACTACCAGCCAATCGCCGAGAAGCTTCGCAAGATTTGCGGAGACAACAGACTGGAGGTGCGTGGAAGAAATATAATTGAGCAGAGAAAAAAGATTTGCTATGAAAACAAATCACACAAGCAGTTTATTTCGTGATCTTATTGGTTCTTTGCACAAAATGTTCATCTTATTTCATCGTACTTATGAACTTAATACATTTCTATAACTAAGCTAATAAACGTAAGGGGTCAAGCTGTTCATACCATTCAAGATGAAATTCTCGATAGCTGAGCTTATTGCAGTCAAGCAGACAGCAAAGCCAGTCAAGAGGTGTCACTCACTTGGACTAAGATGTGCCCATGAGAACAAGTTTGAGTAAGGCTGATTGAGTAAAGCTTTGCGGAGTCCGAGGCCAAGTGTGCACTGAGCAAAAAGAAAGGTTGTTGTTGACTTTGAGTTTGTGATGTTTTTTGCCCATGAGGGGTTTTAGGGGGGGAGGGGTGGCTGCGTGGCTCCGACAGAAACAGTGTTCTTTGAGTGATGGCGTACAGTCGTGCATGTCTTATCTTGATAGGGACGAGTGTACACTTATACTTTTTTGTGTTCTGTGTTTTCACCTATAAGTTTGCATTGAAGTTAGCGCATAAGAAGTGATAGACAGCACAAAGGCCACTCCCCTCACTACAATGACTGTCTTTTCCTAAGCCAGAATTTCATTGGAGTTGGGCCATGTCGAATGGAGTCAGCTGCTAACTTTATATCATACAACATCCCAACTTGCGATAGCATTCACTGCCCCGCCCTTCTGACAAAACTGGGACTTTAAAATATTTGCTTCGCTATATCCGACAATTCGTTATAGCCATGCTCATCTCTTCCATGTTCAATTGTGGGGAAGTGCACACCATACTTAATGTCATACTACTGCTTCACTGTAACTTGCATGATACTCCTTAATTGCTATAAGCAATAGATGCTCGGTGTCAATACGGAGTGCATCATTGTGACACTTGCATAGATCGTCCGTGAGCTGGCAGCACTTCAGGAGAAGTATCCCAAGGTGGCCGTGGCAGTCAAGACACGTCGAGCTGTGCGCCACGTCCTCAACACAACCCGTGATGAGCTGATTGAACTAAAAGAGGCTGGCATGCTGGACGATGGAGTTTTCCATGCACTTATGGAGGTATGAAATATACATGATCCTTGTTGCAGTTCTGATTTCGAAGGTTACATAGTTTGCGCTGAAGGGTTATGAACCATGAGGAAGGAGAAAATAAATTTTTAAGCAGTGAGTGAGTCCTCTCTTGATCACCCCTTCCCAGTAATGGTAGAGCTCGAATTTGGTTATTGTATCTTCAACAAGCAGCCTTCACAGCAGATATTGTCCTAAACAGCCTTTACAAGAAAGCCAGCAAAACCATGCATGGCTTTGCATAACGGGATCCTGCTCTCTCTAAATTTCAAAGGCAGACTGTAGATTCACAATAAATTGCCTGAATTGTGGTTACAATTATAATGCCTTAGTAATGCACGAAATTTTGGAACCACGAGGGCACGATGCTTATGCTTTGTGTACACATATACCAAAATTCATTGAATGCATATCACCTGTAATTATTGTTAGTTGAAGCGTTAAACTGGATTGCTCAAGGCATTGAGGTGTATCGTATCTCAGTCAGTAAGATATATCATATTTTAGCAATGCATGTCAGCATCGAACATTCTTTTTAAAAGCCAGTGCTGCCATATAATTCCTAGGCCTCTATTTTTTATGGAATTTTTTGAAATATTCAGGACCATTTAGATTCAGCTGTTTATTAACAAGCTGCTTGGCTGGCCACAAGTATTTAATAGCACCAATTTATTAGCTCCATGTACAACCATATCATTATGAATTGCTAACTTGTATTCACTTAGGTGCATTAAAATTTTTCTTATACTCTAATTTCCCGTAGCCTGTGCTTAACAAAGCTGTAAGAAAATCTAATTTCTCATAGCCTGTGCTTAACAAAGCTGTAAGAAAATACTGTGTGGTTCTAATGCAGTCCATCGAAGAGAGAATGATGCGCCTACACTCTGCACCCACAAGCATTGTACCAGCACCTCCCACTGAGCTGCTCAGAAATGTCAACTGGATCAAGGGCAACGAGGAAATGTTCAACTTCTTCCAGGTCAGTGCCGTCGATTCTTTTTTGTACCACAAGAAAACATGAACTAATAGTTGATAGACGTCGTTTTGCAGATTCACATCACAGCTACCTGTCTAGTCACGAAGCAACCCTCCCGTCAATCAAGACACAATCCCCACAATTTTTTCACAATTTCATCGTGTTAAACCGGCTGATGCCTTGATGACACCTGTAAAACAATGCTATTTCAAAAATGAACAAAGAAACGTCACATGATGACGGGAACTGACTGCCATCAAAGCTTTTATTGTGTGTGCAAAAATATATAGCTTATGAAAAGTCAAGGAGGGGTGTGCTTATAAAGGAAGATGGTGCTATTGCATATGGTACTGATGATAAAACAGAAGACTTTCACAATAATGTGCAGAGGATTGATAGGTGTAAGCACCCGCTGAATAAAGCTTCCTACAACAATTGCAACGATGCATCCTTCTGCTTTTATCATCAGTACCATGTGCAAGCGCACTATCTTCTTTTCTAAGCACACCCCCACCACATTTTATAGGCTACATACTTGTGAACGCACGATAAAGCACCTGTTCCTCGGTGATGTTTCTTTGTCCGTGTTTGAACTAGCACTGTTTCTACAGATATATTCGTACCAATGAGCTCACATTCATTATATCTAAGTCCTAGTTACACTGCATCAATGTCTTTTTATAGCAGCTGCAGAATGCTGCTGTTATCCTACAGTCCTAATGATGAAGTCGTGTGCTTGTAACGCGAACATGTGGTGATCTGTGTTTGAGGGCAGTTTTCAAGGTTTACGCGCAGCTGTCTTTTGCCATCAAGTGTCAGCTGAAAATGAAAATATACCAATAAACTGTACCTTTTAACAGCCCATTACATTTGGGGTAGATGCAACCATCACTTAAAAGTGAGAAGGTGATGACCTAGTGAGATCGCTTTGCTCACACGTTAACAGTAGTGCAGTTATATCCTCAGTATTTAACCCTGGCAGTCATGAGAGGTGGCAGCACGTATTCTTCAAAACTTAACTCGGTAACAAACCACTGCAGCCAACAAAAGTTTGAATTCAGTCTTTCTCATCTTACGGCACCTTTAGTTTGACTGTACTATATCAGATACGAAAATGAGTCAGTTCTGTTTACTTGACAGCGAGTTCTAAAGATCAATTCTGTCGACTTGGGGGCTATGGTCACGCAAGTCCCCAAGCACTGCCAGTTTCTGTGTGCATCAGAAAGTGCGGCAGATATCGTGCATAGAAAACGCCTAGCATTGCACCCATTATTTTTTCCATTACTTCTTTGCAGAAATTGTAGCCCGTACACGTAAGTTTCGAAATTATATAGGATGTTTTATGACTTGGTATTACTTAGTGTTCCTAGCCTTACAGAATCATGTTCATTTAATGCGATGTTTCGTGCAACTGCAGGAGAGAGCAACGCTACAGACCTTCCCATCTGGATGGAGCCTAGGCAAAGAGGGCGACGAGCCAAGTGGAATCTACGTCATTGTTTGTGGTGTCGTCAAGGTAATCGAGAGATTCGGACATTTCCGCCTACACTTCCCCAACGTGCGTGCATAAATTGACTGCTAAGCTCTAAGTGATGCACGCCTGTTAAACCCGGCTCGACGAGAACATTGACCACTTTTATCACTTGCTCCTTGTTTTCACAAATGTAAGCATTCTGTCCCATGGGCATTCGCGTTTGAACATGAACTTCAATCATTCAATTATTCTTATTTTCTTACAGGTTTAATAGTGTTTTTATAAACTTCTGTTATGTTTTTAATGAAGACTGGTTGTCATACGGTGTAATGCTTTGTGAGGTACAAGCATTTTATGATTTAATGTGCTTGAAAAAAATGTAGAATTATTTCAATTGTAAGACAAGACAAATTCATACTAAATAGTAAGCTGCTGCTTCTATAGTTCAAGCTATGAAGTTAGCGCACACAACCACTTCACAAAGTGCTCATAAAGACAGCGATAGCTTGCGATACAGCCTGCACATATTGGGATGTGATACGAATATCCCACAGATGCTATGCTTTCAGTGGGTTCCAACAGCCTAACCACGATTTTCGCTCATGCACTCACAGGTGGAAGGCGCAGTGACCGAGAGCGACGGTGGAAGCCTACCCAACACCGACTCGTACCACTGGTTCTTGAGCGAAGGTCACCTTCAGGACCTGCTCACCGTGGGAGCCATCCTGGGTGAGCTGGGAGTGCTGACGCGCAAGCGGCGGCAGACGCGCGCCACCTGCGACACGGACGTGCGGGCCTTCCACCTGAGCCAGGCGGTGATGCTCGAGGCGCTGACGCGTTTCAACAGGCTTCCGTCGCTCGAGTACCGACTGTGGCGCAGCTGCGCGCTCAAGGTGGCTCGCAGCATTCTCAGCTTGGAGCCCAAGTACGAGGTGAGACAACGCGGATGGCAGCTCTCAAAACGAGAAGAGGACTACATGCGACTAATGTTGTTGGTAATGTAATTGTTGTTATAGCTGATGCTTACCGTCAAGCCATCGTCAACTCCGGGTGAAACCATGCGTGTGTACATATCAACTATATCAACTAACTTGTACAAGCAGACATTTAGACCAGCTGGTTTGATACATTCAAAGAAGCCGTATACTAAAGCTGAATTCACAGGGACCAAGAAAGAGGGCAAGAAGTGACTATTTGTAACTATCACTTCATAGAAGTAACTTATACAACTTGCAACCATACTCAGTGAAAAGCATGGTATTTCAACCTTGATTCAGTCTTTGAGCCATTAAATTACAACAAATGAATGCAGATAAGGTGAGCAGACTTTGACAATGGGACAAATAAGCAGGCGGGCTAGTTGGCACAGCATTTTAGAAAACCGTACGAGTGCAAGAAAGATGAAGACGAAAGGAACATGCACCGCAATCGCTCAACAACAGGTCGTGACTTGGGAACAAGTGCCGTGTGTGTAAGTAAAACATTTTTTAAAGTGAATGTAAAGGATCTTTTATGCGCTTTATAAGGGTTTTTACAGCATATGCAGGTGCCGCAAATCCCTGCAACCTTACTAACTCCACCAAACTTCACAGTAGAGCTGTCTGTAGAAGTAGATCACAAACTAAAAGAGAAAGAACCATTATGTAAAACTAACACATTTTGTGAGACACTTTTCCAGACTTCATTTGGAATCTGGAATCGGTTACCAAGCGATTTTGCGTATTTATAACTTCAAATGCTGTGTTCAGCCACTTTGTGATGCATTGGCATCAGCTTGAATATGCGACGTATTGTTCTGCGTAGCATGCAATATTCTTTTCTTCACATGATTCCCACACTGTAACGCCTATGAAGGTGCTGTGGGTAGCTTCAACTCTCGCACACTTTTGACACCATTGCCACACGACCCCGTGCGTTGTTCTTCCATGCAGAACTGGTCTCAGAACAAGCTAATGATGCACCTGGATCGTGCATTCCTGCCCGACTTGAGCGCTGTCAACAGCTACCTGGTGCGACCGTCCATGACGGACGTTATCCTGGTCCAGGGCGTGGCGACTGACGTCAACAACTCGGACGAATTCCTCGGACCTGTCTGCATTCCGAGCACCGTCTACTCTATCACTCTTAGGGTGAGTCCAGTAACGAGTCCTATATGCCATTGGCCACTTCCATATGGCTCAGTGTTGCAGTTATCCAGTTGATAAATGGCTTGAACTTGCTTGTGGTATTAGCGATATCTACACAATAAATGCACCCATGAAATCTTGGAGCCAATGTTAGTGTGTTGCATGTTAAATGAGACAGAAGCTAACCCAGAAAGCACACACAGCCGCCCCAATTTAGTAACATTTTGTAACTATTGTGCACAGTGGAGCACAGTGGAGTCTGTCAGCGCCATACCTTGAAAAAAATGTATGGTAAATTTGTTTTGTGGGCATGTGCTTTGTGGACATGCGTTTCTCTTCACTCTTTTAGAACTCAATGCGATGATACAGCGAAGATGCACAGAAAAAGCTGCTGCTCGTGCACGATAGCTAAATGTTTGGGCGACTGTACATCTATCTCTACGCCATCAATCTGCACCCAAAGAGATGATATCATGAGTAAGAGCATAGATGTATTTAGCAGTACCGCTAGGGCAAGAAAAACGTTAATTTGCTATCAGAGGAAACGCGTCTCCTTACAGACACATTTGTGTGCCAGAAGATCTTTAGCCTATAATCTTTTTTTCATATCATGGCATTTGCGAAATTCGACAGTGTTAGTATATATTAATGCAAAGTGTTAGTACATTTGTGTCGCAATGTAACAAATCCTGTTAACTGTTAACATCAAAACTTGACACTCTTAAACTTCTATTGCGCAAAACTGGAATGCCATGTCCTTGCTTCATAAGCATGTTGGTTATATTTATTTTTTTGAATTTATCTCCCATAAAAGGAATAGTATGTATCCTGCCATTACTAGGGACATTTTTTCAGTTGACATTCTATTAGCTCATTATATGAGCTTTCATCTTTGACTTAATCTTGACTTCTTCAACACTCCTTCCTGTGGCTACTGCTACGCTGACAGGATAGCTGCCCATGCCTTCACTGTCTCTTGCTATCCAATGGTGCAAATTTTTGCTTTTTTCTGTCCACCGCAGAAAAATGTTTACAACGACCGCACCATTTTGGTGATTGTTGGAGACGAGAACTTCATGCCGGATGCCAACCTGGATTGGTCTGGCACCGGTCAGCAGCGACGGGCCAGCATCATGAACAACTTCGGGCTGTGCCTGCTCCACGACGTGCGCCGAAGACAGTCCGTCATGATGGACCGAGGCGACGAGGATGAAACCCGAGTGGTGAGTACATTATTGCCATAGCCAAGTGCTGGTGAAATCTTCTACGCGCATGGTGCCTACAGACAATCGAAATAGCCCCCATCTCTACAGCTGCTTGCCTCTCCTGTGCAAAGGTTCGCAACTAACAGTGCAGTTCTTCCACTCTTTTTTACCTCCTGGTAGATAAAAGATGCCATGTGAAAGCTATGGGTGAAAATCCCACTGACAACTGTTGCTTGTTCATCCATTCATTTTTCTTGGAACTCAGTATTGCCACGCTTCTCTTATCAACAATAAGTAATGTTTCCTAAAGCTTTTCTTGGCTTCATTTTTTATTGCTACCGTACTATACAGTTATAGGAACGGCCCCCTTGCTTGATTCCCCTTCTTTTTATTTGTATGGCAAACACATTGTCACAATGTACCGACTCACATCTTTCAGAGAACATTTTGTAAAACATAATGTGTCGATAGCATCGTAAAATGCCATTCCACAACTTTCTTCTTCCCTGTTCTTCTACTCTAATTCTATCACTCAGCGGTCATGGTCGGACAACTTCCGGCGGCGGTTCATGTCCAACGCGGACCCTTCCCAGCTGGCCCTTGGCAAGCGGCGCCTCTCTATGTTCAGCGCTGGCGACAAGGTGGGCCTCGACAACCCGTCCTTTGTCACCGACAAGAATGAGCACCACAACGAGGACAAGCCCGTGAGTTTCACCGCGCTTCTCGCAATGCCTGCAGGCACGCGCGCGCTGTGTACCGACCGATACACTGTTACAAAGAATGCACCAACACGCAATTCTCGGTTTGCGAGCGTTGCTAGTGCTGTCTGAGGCTGTGTAACAGAAGTGGCGCTTAAATCGCATGAGGCTACATAACAGCATACCATTTGGCACCGTAAATGCTACCAAGCTCATATTGCAGTTTAACTGTGTCTAAAGTAAGCATGTCAGTGGAACACTGCTTACTTTGTTCACTGTAATACGCTTATAAAGGGAGCACGTGAGCGATCTGCAAGTCATCTTTAGCCGAGCCAGACACTTCCACAATCAAAAAGGGCAATTTAGCCCATTACTCTATGATGAAAAAGGGAAAGAGAGAAGGAAACCAGCCACATTGGTGAATAAAGGGAAATAAATGTATGATGATCCTTCACATCACAGCATTCACAAAGGCACACCTCCATTTCAATGACTTGTATAAAGCTCGAAGCTACCTTTATAGTCAAGAATTTGCTATTCACATGACAGTGGAGAATCAGAAGCTAATTTCACGTGTATAGGGGTCTGCTGCTGTGACCGTAATGTTATGACAGTGTTATGAGCGCCCAGCCCTGTGTATTAGCAGCTCTGGTTCGACAAATAGCTAACACTGTTCATGCATATTAAAAACTATTTTAGTGCACAATGGTTGAGAACAAAGAAACAATATTTGTTGTTGTTCATTGTGTGCTAAAAAGTTTCCAAGATGCAACTCAAGCCACCAGCCCATCTTTCCGTCAATTCATTCTTAAATATGGCTATGTCTTTGTGCAGAAATCCTGGTCCGACAGATTCCGGGTGCGCTTCGGTCCGACGGAGCCGGCGTCGGGTAACGCCAACATGGGCGGCGGGCCCGACCGTAACAACCGGCGCATGTCTATGTTCTGTCGGATGGAGCGGATCGACAGCTACGGCAACGTGAATGACCTGCAGGTTTGTAATGTACCTCTACTGTGTCATGTATAGTTACATCTGTAATCGTACTACACATGTCCTTACAAGTAACAGTGCGACTTTAAAACAGAAAGATGTGTTGCACCCAATTCGTCGCACCCTCTGTCTTGTTTGTTTACCCGTTCTTTTTATAAAGTTCAACGTGAGTTGTGGTGCTTTTAACATGCATGCTGCTCAAGCAGGCTATGTGCAATTGTGCCCAGAGGTTATACAGTTCCAAGATGCAATAAAGTACGATGACAATGAGCAGCACTAAAAATTAAAGGCTAGTTTTGTATACTTTACAAAAATCTAAATGCATTAAAAGTTTTATTAGGAATTCAATACATACAGAGCACTAGTAGTGTTACGTTGAACCCGACAGCAAAATTTTTGTCTGCAAATTTTTTTTCCCCCTGCGATTTGTGGCTTTGTGTCTGGTAATCCCAAAACTGAACTGCAAACACTCCAACTAATTGTATACTCGATGCTAGCATTGTCAATTGTGAACAATTTTGCGTAATTTCAAGAAGGCTACCTAAAAACCATCAGAAACTAGAGCCTCACCGTGGGAGAGCGCCTAAGATTATGTGCACTCAAGCTCTGGTGTCGTTAAACGTGCAGTTTTCAAATCAGAGTCCCGTGCGCAAAGAATGTGAGTGTTCAAGTACGTAAAGTTTGTTAACAGTGTATCCTCTGGAAAAAAAACAAATATCATTTCTTATCTAAGCAGCCAGAACTACCTTGAGAGCAGCCCGACAACTGAGTGAAAGGGGCGGCCAACAATAGCTGCTGCTGGGAGCCGGTTGTGGCATTGCGTGTGGCCCACAAATCTTCCATGACACTGACAATATACTCGCTTTACTGGTGTAACGTCACGCGGGGCTTCAATCTGCGTCATACCAGTGGCAACGTAACGAGGTGCTGCCAACTCAGATGAGCCCTCGCATTTACTTTAAAACCAAAACAAAATAGCTTAAAACTGACGTCTACCAATAGCAATCGGTCAGTCAGAAGTGCCCTTGTATACAGAACAATCGAAAAGCAACCATCTTAAGGTTTCGATTTTGGTGTCAGTGACTCTTTAACAGCGGATCAGCGGACATTAGAACTTTCTCTGGTGAAGCAGTTACATTGATGTTAAGCTTTATTGTTTTCATAAATAAACATACATGCATACAGAAAAAGGTTGCAAGGCTACCTCTCACTGTCAATAAACTTTTATGGTCGAGAAAAGCATGCTGACATTAAAAGACATTTTTGTCCTTCTTGAGATACAAAAACGTGAGAATGCCCGTTACAAGCAAATAGCGTCGCTCTAGATCAGGGCTACTACCATTAGGGGTCATAGTAACAAAAGATTTCTAGCACAAATACTATTAAATTCGTTTTATGCACGAGTTACATTACAATTTCATGTCACTTTAGATCAGTGCTACTACCATTAGGGGTTGTAGCAATAAAATATTCCTACCACAAATGCTATTAAATTCGTTTTATGCATAAGTTACATTAAAATTTCACAGACGCTGAAGGGCCCAACTTTGGCTTCACATCGTTGACCCTAAAAACTAAATTAAAATTGCAAATCATTACAAACTGAAGGTCATCCACCTTTACTTCTGGCCCAATTTTAAGGTTAAAAATGAAATGCAACTTCAGTAACACAGTTAGGTAGCTTAGTAGCTGGCTTCCTGAACAATTCACACATGAAGTCTTGCTCAAGCGTATGAAGCGTTTCGATGGCAGAGTACACTGCACTTAAGATAAAAATTTTCACGCATCCATTCAGCCATTTTAATAATTGCACAGTGGCTATTCCTGGTGTTAGTAGAAAGAAACGAGGATACAGGAACAGGATTTATTGGGTGACGTTTAGTATTGTTGTTGTTAAATAGCTGTTAGGCAGAATAGAATGCAGGCACAGAAAACACAGAGCACATCATGTGTCTACTGTCTAACATTCCATTTAGAAATGTCTCCCCATCCTGCCTTGTACAAGTTGATTTTGTAAAACTTTTTTAATTAATGCTCCTAGCAATGTCCCAGTCATTATCATAATGTAACTGATGCAAACATTATCAATGTAGAATATAACATCATATTTTATATTGACATCAAATATGTCTGTGCTACACCATAGCAGAGACAATACTAACTCTTCATTAGTTTGTTACATCCAATAATTGCTTACATTCGAACCTGGCTGTATTGAGGTTTAACAGATGTATTTGCAGAAAGACAATCCATGATGACTGTTGTCTGTTGTGCAGAATGATTCAGTACCCAAGACACCCGAAAGACAGAGCCGGGCAAGCACCAAGAGCAAAGAAAGCAGTGTCAGTAAGGACAGTAAGGACAGCAAGGAGAGTAACAACAGCAAGGACAGCAACCCCAGCAATGGCTCTTCCAGAAAGTCCGTGCCGGAGATCGTGTTCAGCCACTTTTAAGCACGAATCTAGGACACTTAAGGAATGAACTGAGCAGTGCTAGCATAAAGCTCTCACGCGACTACCAAGCGGCATCACCAATTGGAGGATTTGGACACCGTATGTGACGATTAGTGGTGCGCATTCGGACGAAAGTGGCGACATCGCTCGGTGACTGTGTGCCCTTTGTGGAAGAACAATTTGGCAGCTTCGTTGGCGGTTTGCAACCATGCGCGAATGTGCTGTGTAGAAGTAAGAAACGGTCACACCTCTCGTCGAAGGCACCGAACACAAATGAGAACAGAGTGGTGCCGAAGTCAGATGCGCACACAACTCAATTTGTGGCAAGGACTGCTTTGTGACCTAGTCAAGGTCGGGATATGACACGCAGTCCACACGCTGACCGTGAGGCCTCGGCATTTTGAGCTGGCAGGATGTTTCCAACTCCCTGATAAATAAGTAGTTTTGCTTCAGTGTGCCAGAAGGCTGTTTTAACAGCCTAATGAAGTTTTTCTATGGCTGGTAAGAAGGCTGTTTTCAACACCCTTGTGAAGTAGTAGTGTTGCTACTGTGTGCAGAAAACAGTTTCTAACTCCCTGATGGAGTTTTCTTACGGTGGGCTAGAAGGCTGTTTCCAACACCTTTATGAAGGAGTATGTTAGCTACTGTGAGCTGGAAAGCTGTTTCTAATTTTTGGTGGAGATTTTTTTTTTTTGTTGGTGAGCTAGAAGGCTATTTCGGACACCCTTACAAAGGAGTAGTGCTAAAGTGTGCTGGAAGGATCTTTTTAACAACCTTCATGAAAGAGTAGTTTTGCTGAAGTGCACTTTTAACTGGCTAATGAAGGTGTAGTTTTGTTACAGCGTGTTCGAAGGCTGTTTCCAACTTCCCGATGAAAGGAGTTGGTTCTGCTAAGGTGCTTTGTTCACTAGGTGTAGCTACTTTCAATAAACATGCCTCAAGTGTAAGGACACGCAGATCAAGGTCTCTAAATTGAGACATGCCTTCAGCAACATTCTAACCAGAAAAGTGTGTCCAAGTCGGAAGTACTCACTGGCTGCCTTTGTTGAGACATTTTCACAGATGGTCCAAATGCCTTTGAAAGCCTTTCAAGTGCAGCAAGTGCACTTTTTGAGCTTCTTAAAGCAACGAATAATTGTCCTGCTTCGAAGAGCACAGATTGAAGTCGCCCGCTTTCATGGCAACTTTTAAATTTCTTTGACGAATCCTGCGGAAAGCTCTTGACATACTATACCTCACACGTGACGGACAACTCGTGATACATAATTCGTCCCGACTATGTATTCTCACTCATCTACCGCAGAAGGAGAATAGCTAGGGCTGATCAAGCTACAAGGAGCCAAATGGGAAAAGGACGGTGCTGGTCAGATAGCTCAAAAGAGCCGTACGTGGTCACAGCCAGTGCCAAGGAGAGCTGCAACATTTGTGCTAACGCAAAGAGTTCTAGATGCCGTTGATACATCGGCACTTAAAGACTGCAGAGCAAAGATGAACGCATCTTTTGTTTACTTTTATTCACTGCATGCATGCCTTTTGCATATGCATTAAAGCATTCCCATTTTGGGTTATTTGCGTAAAAACATTCCACAACTAGACGCTTAAAGGACAACTAAAAACATGAAATTTGGCCAGGCTTCAACGTGTCCTAGAAACTGTAGAGCTTGCACCGTACAGAAACCTGTGCTTGTTACATCGCTCATTGTGTGGAACTAGTTGTCCAAGAAGTGAAAATTTGGTGGCACAGTTCTGGAACGACAACGCACGAATCCACACTTCTCTTAAGGCCACACATGTATCATGGCATCTCCGAGGTCACACGCATTATTCCTAGAGGAGCCCCGACATGCTGTCCATCAAAAATAAGCACCCAAAGTTCTGAACGGCGATCAGGCTCAACCTGAAGTTTGCTTGAAGCCTACAGCATAGGTTCTATAAATAGTGAATTTGCTATACAACATAGGGCCACATTTTTTCGAGCATTCAATCTGACATGTACCTTAAGTGATCTGACACTGGCCAATGTTTATCTAGGAAGAGAATTCAGCAACTACAGTGACCTTTTTTTTTTTTTTTTTTTTTGTCGTGCCATCACACTGATCCACTTAAATACCAGGTGATATTTCAAACAAAAATGGGTAGTACACCATGCTAGTAACATATCTTGATAAAATTTGTACTTACCGGTTTAGCCAGTTAGCGAGCTCCGAAAGTCGTATGACAAAAAGTGGCCATTTGTAGGCAATGCACAGCATTATCAATACAGGAGCATACAGTGCTGCGCTTACCTTCTTGAACTACATCATCGGCATCTGTTAAAAATCTACTGAATTCTTAATCCCAATCAACAAAAACAAGAAAACATTACAGAAAACAAGCTCAAATTGATGTGTTCCCGCTGTTGTTCCCTTTTTTTCTTTTTTTATAATCTCCAGCCAGTATCTTGAGAGGTGGCAGTAAAACACTTACAAAAGGAAATTGAGCATTTACATTCGCAGGTCATACTGACTTAACTGTTCCCCTGGATAGCACTTCCTCAATGGAGTTTTCATTGTCAAACCAATCCTCAGTTCATTTCACTTTAAGGGCTTCCGAAAAAGACATTACACAAGGGACGGGTTAACAAATTTCCACATAATTTACACATTATTAATTTCATATAGATTAATTACACGTTGTTGAAACAAGGACGGGCAAGTATTGGCAGCAATGTCAGCAAGAAGGCCGTTCCAGTCTTTGCCAGAACGTGGGATTAATGAGGCAGAGATATCATGTGATAGTGACTGGCAAAACCAAACCACATTATCCGAGAAGCAATCAATTGAAAGTGGCATCCGAAAAACACATACGCTGCAAGTACTAGATGGCTTGAACCTGGCAAAAAAAGCAGTGTTTTGCAAGCCACGCGACAGCACCGATTGGCTGAAAATGCACAAACAGAATCGTCAGGGCTCCTCTTGGAAACATTCTTTTGAGTCCCCGTTTCTTTCTGTAACATATGTTGTTAAGTTTGATGTTTTTGTAGTTATTTGTTTTGCATTGTTCGTGCCCTGTTTGATGTTTGAAAAGATGCACATTGTACTTATTAAACTATATTACACAAATATGGAAAGAGCCTTGCCTGCCTTCCGAGCTATATGCATGCTCGGCAGTGAACAAGTCAATCCCTTCAGAAGCAACAAAGTAAGTATTTGGCAATTTCACCAAAAAGCTATGTGTTTCGAGTCAGCTTGAAGCTTTTATCGAGGAACACCGAAAGTCACAGAAACCCGTATAGGTGTGTTGCTTCATGTTAAGTGTCTAAAAATAGTTGTGGATCTCTCTATGAAAAAGTTATGCAAGAACAATAAATTTTTTTAATTAAAAGGTTGCAAGAAATGAAAAAAAAAGATGTTCACAATGAAGGGCACAAGACAAGTTCAAACCTGCACTGTCTATTCATGGCCCGAACCACTGAATAAATCGCAAAAAAGAAACCCCAAAACCATGTGTCCATATGCTAAAAATGAGATACGAGGATTACAAATACGTCTTTATTTGCAAATACTCGCAGCGATTGTCGTATTTGTATTGGAACTCTTTTTATTACCAGTCACAAAGCCGAATAGCTCGAACATGCTGTCAGAAGGAAGCGTTCAAAGTGTTCCGGAAGTAGCAAAATGATAATAAAAAAGGGGTGGAGGGTTGGGGGCTCGACACATTTAGGAAGGCGTCATTTTTGGCTGCCTTCCTTGTAGCCCAAAACATCACATTAAAACAACGATCTATTTCTTTTAATGAGATCTTTGTACCCAGCTATTTGGAATATTTTGAAGGGAAGCATGCAACATTAATTTGGAAACCAAGGCAGACGAATGAAGCTGTTTAGAACATGACGGAGAGGTGACACAGAACGAGGAACCATGTCCACAATTGCACAATCTGCAACTAAATTTGGAATGTCTGTCCAGAAAGCTGCTTTCAAATTTAGCAAATGTTTTTTTTTAAATTTTCTCCTTAAGCAGAATGCATCCTCTTGTCTCGCTTGCCGCACGTGTTTCGATTTTTGAGCACAGTCTTATAATTGGCGTTCGCTGAGCAGGAGTTCTTTATGTTTCCCAGCACATTAACTAGTACCGACCTTTTGGAAGATTACTAGTGCTGGCATGACTAAATTCCTTTTCAGAAGAAAAAAAAAGCGACGCTGTTGGGCATTGAGTACCAGTCCTCGTTTATTACAACCGACGACTCTCTGTGATAAATATGACAAATATCCACAGCTGTAACGTGATCCGCACGCAGTCAGTCGTGGGTCTGTACGTGTTCCAGTTCATCCAGGAACATCTGACACTTGGCCATGAGCACCTTGATGGCCTCCGCGACGAGAGTGTCAGGTGCATAGGCACCCGTGGACTCCACAGAAACTGAAAACGACACGACGGAGACCTTCATTTTTTCCCCCAGAAATACGAGCAAGCGAAGCTACGACCTAGAGTAAGTTAGCTTATCTACACGACTTCAATACCTGTAGCTAAATTATTGCACCCCAGAAAAGGCAAAATGACAATGACACCTGTTCTTTTCCTAGTCACTTCGTCGATACCAGAAGAAATGGCGATTCGTTCTTGCTTGGGAAAAAAGAAAGCATCGAAGTCTGTAACTACACCAGGTGAAACGATTGGACACTGACTATTCATCAGTGTACAATGATGAAAAACTCCGAACTCTTGGTAGGTGTAGCAGACCACGGAAGTTGTTGAGACTGGAAAACAAGGTATAGACTTTTGAACTGCTCATTGCAAATTGATTTCGTACTTCATTCTAACTCAGTTCTGCATTCAGTAACCTCTCTTCTTTTTAAAAAAATGCATAATACATTTCAGCATACAGAGTACAGTACTCGCGAACTGAAGCTGTGAAAATTTAGGGCTATGTAATGCATGTACTTATGCTTCCAGCATCTTTAGTTCCTGTCATATTGCGAAAACTTTGGCTCGAACAGTAGCATCATAGCTGACATTACCTTTAGCGACATCGTGTGGTTACCTTTAAGCAATAACTTGATGAAGTCAGTATAGTAAAAAAAAAAGTGTTGTGTTTCAATCCACAAATGCTGTACATGTTATCGTATCGAGAAAAGGGTTTCCAGGCACAAGAGACAAGTTTTAGCGGCTCAGTGTTTCTCCACAATTAGTTGCTGTATTTGGTCTAATTGTACACTACATCTCGATAGCAAGCTTAAATTCAAGGCCGCCTTCTGAGACAGCGGAAATATTCAGCGTCTTCTTGTGTCGCATGGTCCTTAAATTTTCGCTACTGACTGTATGCAGCTAACTGATTATACAATGAAACAAAAAAAAAAGAAAGAAAAACAGGCAAATATATTTTGTACAGGTTACACAAACTGCGGGTGCTGGAAACAAACTCCTGCAGAGTTGTTGGGCGACAGAGGTGAAAGAAAGGACAAGTACGGAGTAAAAAAAAGATCAGATTTGCCACCCTTTACTGGGGCATGGAGAGACTAGACAGATCAGGAGAATATTAGAAACGGCACATAAACACACACACACACACATCACTGCTTTCACACCACAGGATGACATTCGGTTAGTACTACAGTCGGTCATGCAACTTTGTTGTACACAAGACTTGCAATAATGTATTTGTAGCTGTTTGCCACGGCCTCTTATGAGCACACTATACTGACTAGGTGACTTCATCCAACAGCGGCCTGTTGTCAATAGGTATCAGCACTGTCCCGGGAATCTGTACCCAGAACGCTGTAGTACTGATGACGCTTAAGCAAAACATGTTCAAGTATTGATTAAATATTCAACGTCGCACCGAAAGAACAACCACACACAGAAAGAAACAAATATAGAACAAATTCCCCTATCGGATGGGAATAGTTATGTTGGCCACACGGGGCGCTGCGTCAATGATCGAGCGAGGGAACACACTTTCACGGTAAAGGACGGTGGGCATCTGAGTGGTCATGTTACAGCTTGTGGATGCACACCAGACTTCACGCAGATTAGGATCCTGGGAAGAAGTGCAAACAAGTTAGCACGGGAAATTTTGGAGGCATATCACATAAAGAAACGGGGTAATAAGTGTGTTAGTGAAACGTCACTAAACCTGTATGAAACAGAAACACGTTATCTAGAGAGCATGCGTCCGATAGCGGATTAAGTAAGAGAAGGGCTGATCATGTTGTGCATATGTCGACAAAGAGTGGGCTCATAATAGCCTGTTTCCTCAAGGAATAAACAGTTGTAAGAGACCGCCCGTGGTATCTATATTTGTTTCTTTCCGTTTGTGGTTGTTTTCGGCGTGACGTTGAATAATATTTAATCAAGACAAGCACCAACTAACCCAACAGCGAGTTTTACGAGATGTTCAAGTATCTCCTTAAACTATAGTCAGTGAAGTTTGCCCTTGCGTGTGGAACACAGAAGACTGTGAAAAGCCGACCACCAGCCGCACGCAGCCACGGTTGAACCAAAGTGGAGGAGGTGCGATGCTCCAATTTTGTCGAACGCCCTAGCCAAAAAGCATAGGTGGTCCGAGAGCTTGTGCGAACTTCATGAATGGCGTCATTTCTGCTGGTGGTAACATTGATAACGCATCAGAAATCCTTCAAACTCATAATATTAATAATAATATCTGGGGTTAAACGTCCTAAAACCACAATATGATTATGAGCGACACCGTTGTAGAGGGCTCCGGAAATCTCGACCATCTGGGGTTCTTAACAGGCGCCTAAATTTAAGCACACGAGTGAATCTTTCAAACTAAAAAAAAATAATAGTAATAACAACACTGAGAGTATGTCGACGCTCTCAAGAGATGTCGTTAGAATAAAAGAAACAAAATCCACTCACAGATGTAGTGGTCCTTGACCCGTGACAGCTCAACAGCGTCCTTGAGATCATCAAACCGAAACACGTTGCGGCTACAAGTGTCTGCTCTTGCGTTGGCAACCCTGGCAACTTTGTGACCTGAAGCAGTAATGAGATACAGAAATCAACTGTTACTAGAGAAGACGAGAAGTTGACACATCCCCATTGACAGCCCAACTACTAGTGACTCTCGCTTTTCACGACCCAAACTACAGTATGCGCAGTACAAAAGCATGTCATAATCAAAAGAGAACAGACACTTTTTTTTCTCAACCACCTGTGGGTTTGTCACTGGCACTCATACAACTAAAAATAAAAAAACTGATCACCCGTGCCAGAATGAAGCCACAGAGATTGGGAATCAAACCCGTAACCTTTCAGCTCAGTGGCAATAGCCACAGAGCAACCACAGCAAGTGCTCCTTGAATTTCACGACTATTTCATTCTTTTATTACGACATTGAAAAAAAAATGGTCGGTGGTTGTTTAACAGAACTGCAACAGCTATCTTAGAGGAGGCAAATGAAAATGAGCATAGCTATTGTGTGCTACATTACCACCCAACCCAACCTATGAGACATTCACTAAAGTTAAGAATACAGTGGAGCCCCGATTATACGATTTTCAGGTGACCATGCAAAACCATCATATAATCCGGGCGTCGTATAGTCGAAAAACTAAAAATATAGCAATGACACTCAGCTTTGCCCCAAAAATGGGTATAGACCACCTGAATAAGCCCACGGCACGATCTCGTGCCTCTGCTCGAAAGGTAGATCAAATTATTCTAAGCCAGCGACAGCTAATGACACCGTAGCTTAGTTGAAAGAGGTGCGAGTGAATCTCTATTCTCAAGTTTATAAACAAATTAATCATACGTGCACATTTCTACTGATAAATGGAGTCCTAATATTGCCTGCACCTCAAAAGTAAACCGAAACCGTGTTGCCAATAGCCTCCCGTCAGAAGAGTCAGACACAGTGTCATCGCTATCACATAATGACAATCGACCACGAGCGTGCGTAGAATGCCTTCGTGTGCGACTGAGCTATACACGTTGTAATTTTTTTTATTTTTTTTTTTTTTTTTTGTGGCCTTGTGAAGTGCAACTGGTGATGTCCCACTGTTAGTATAAACGTTGACGTCAAGTGAAAGTAATCTTTTACAGTGAAAACAGCTGCGCCGCGCCCTTATGTATCCGCAAGCCTGCGACTGCGAGTGCGACAAAGGCAGGAGATCAGCTGTATGTCGACCAGAGAATGTTTCCATGGACCGAAAACTTTCACGTGAAAGTATCAGCTTTTTGGCCAGCTGGAACTACTTCGTGTGGATAGAAGCTTGACTAGGTAAACGACTCCAGATACGTGCACACGCGATTTCGGCGTGTGCACGCCGCATGACTTTCCAGGAGAATAAATTTTCCATTCGAAGAAGACATCTGTCTCACTCTCTACTTTTCCAATCGTCAACCTAGGGGAACGCAAGTTTATATTTTGCACTCGTGAATATTTGGTCCACTCTTGATCCAAGTAAACGCATTCTTTTTTCTTTTGGACGAAACCTGAAAGTCGTTTTAAGATGCGGGGTCGGCGTAAAACTGCGTCGTATAACCAAGGTTTTTAAAACATTATTCCTATGGAGATTTTGCCGGGACCTAATCGACTGATCATAAAATGCGGGTCGTTGCGAAACCGGGGGACGTATAATCGAAGTTCCACTGTATGCTGAATTACTGCTACATATCAGTTGAGCGTATAAGAATATTTCCCTAAAGATTAAAAAAAGTACCTAACAGTCGTAAAAAGTGTGCCCCAGTGTGCTGACATTATTTTACAGATATTTCTAAAGTACATACTGCAAAATGCGAAGCTGATGCCCTTTTCCCCTCCTTCCATGAGTGAGGACCCCCTCCCAAATCTGGTCAGATTATCCTTCTCTGTATGGGTGGGGAGTGGGGAGGGGGGGAAGGAGGGCGGGGAAGGAGGGCGGGGCACTTGGTTGGTATTTTACGGTCTTTTGCGTTTTCATTTTTTTTACATTAGGTAGTTCTTTCACCAAACAAAACACTTCTTTGATCAATGAAAGTTACCATTTTCAATGTGCCGTCTGTGACCGGTAGAGCACCAGTAGCGTTAAATTCAGTTTTCACTTCAATAACAACCAAACAGATGGTTGAGGCATATCTATGAGTGACCATATGACGTTGAGAGCTTCAAAGATAAATAGCAAACAAACTGGCATCAAAAAACTGTTTTTTCACAACAAGTGAACGACATCCCAACTACAAGCACACCTCATCACATCGGTGTTGCGACAACAAAAGCTCGCAGTAATTAAGAGTACATCTTCATGTGTATACTTGATGGCATCACACCACATCTGTTTAGTTCACAAGAGAATGCTCCCGACAGTTTACACTGCCCATAAAACCATGAATTTTACTCATTGTAATATTCTGATATAGTCAGCATTCAACAGTGTTAGCACTGATGTGCAAAAAAAAAAAAGGGTCTCCTGCCACGACAGTGTGACATATATATGTTCATCATCAGCATCAAATATATACCAAATCTACTTCTGTGTCACCTGGGACTTAGTTACAATGAAGATAAAAAGCAGTATAACGTTATCACTGTACATACCTCACCCGACAGACAAAACAAAGAATTTTTTTTGAGAATTCGAGTGAGAATCGAACCTTCAAGTAGTTATAGCACCTGTGCTTGTAGGAGAAGACGGCACAGGGCTTCAAACGACTCACCGTCCGGTTCCTCGTCCAGCTCAATGACTCCTTTGGAAAAGCAGCCCTGAAGCCGCTCGGCCTGTTCGTCCCGCACGGGGCGAAGGAGTCTTATCTCCGGGAGGAGCCGGTAAGATGCTGTGGCTGTGAAACAGGGAGGGGTCAAGTATAGACCTTTTTCGAAATAAGCCAGTTTGCTGTCCTGCTCTGCCCAACAACTGACGGCACCTGTCATCCTTCAAGTGAAGATGAGGTTTTGGTTGCATGTGCTGGAACCTGTATATTATGAGTATTCATATCAAAAGAGCCGAGTCTTACATTTTTCGAGTCATAGTGCAAACAAACTGCACTTGAGCCCACCATTCGCAGAAGTGACCAGCCAGCACAGAAGGCAGCTAAGCTATACAGAAACAGGACCGCGTGACATTTTGGCAAATGCTACATCACTTTATGGTCGCTTTCTGCGCTGCTACGTCGGTCTCCGCAACAAGCAGCAGCATAAAAGACGACCGCGGCGACTGAAGCAAGAATAAAAGCGGGGTACATTAATCTTCGCTTTCAAGAGTTGAACACGACGGAGACATCCACCTGCACGCACACACACGTTATATGCACACATCCAATCACTAGTCTGCCTTCACTTATCTTTGTAGACCCGAAATGCGCTACAAAAAAAAGCCAAAGTGCAAATGCCCCCTGGCTCTAATCTTTAATTGCACCAAGCTCAAATTCTCACTCACGGTCAACGCTGCTTTCTTTCGCTCACAATCAAACAGAAGTGACCAGGCCAACATAGAAGGCAGCTAAGCTATACAGAAACAGGACCGCGTGACATTTTCGCAAATGCTACATCACTTTTGGTCACCTTCTGCGCTGCTACTGTCGATTTCCGCTGCTATTGTCGACCCCGGAATTCCTGCATAATGAGCTATTTATTGCTCTCGCATTAAAAGCGCGCTTCTCCCATAGGACTGCCTTCCGCATCATAACAAAACAACAGTTACATTGTGAGAGGCGAAAACAAAACTCGCTATATTAACAATCATTCCGTGGCTTGCCAGTACTTCATAACTATGGTTTAAAGCTCTGCGATTTTTATCCTTTGCGAGAAGTGAAAAGTCGAAAATGTCAAGTTGGCAAGAGGCGCTAAGAGCCGTCCTGCCTGGGCACAAGACCCCTACTCACCGACAGGCGAGAACTTGGCATGGACCTGGCCTGTTCCTTTGACACAGTGCAGCTTCAAGTCAATCTCCTGCACATACCACGTAAGTAGAAAAAGAAAGAAAAAGATTAAAGCAATGGACGCATTGCAAGATAACAACTCTACCACACGGAATAACTCGCACGCTCTTTGAGGGTGTGCGTTTCGCCTCTAGTGTCATTCGGACGCTGTCGCACAGAAACGCTTTGCGACACTCCCTGCGAAGCGCACTTGCCAGCGAGTGCATTCCCCACCCTCACTTCAATGTGCCGAAGTGTCTAACCTGAGTAGCAGCGTTTCAAAAATAAACAAGTTACTATTGAAAGCTGAGTACTTATTTCTTAAACTACTGCGTTCACTATCACGAATATTGTTACGCACTGAAGCATGCTAGACAACAAAGAATTGGCTACCTATTCTCGCTACTAGGCTGTTTATGAGAACGGCCACCACGGACATGCCCAGCACACACCATGTAATGGCTGCGTCCACTGCGTTTGCACCTGAAGTTTATTCTAAGGCTTGCTTAATGGTTTTAACACATTACCACCTATACTGCTTGAAATAGCAAATATATTTTTTTTACCTAATTACTTACCGACATTACGATCATTTCCAAAGTACGCTGGATCAAAATGACACAGAATTCGCCAGTGTAATTGGGCGTTACAGAGCTCGGATGACTTAGCAATACTTGGATTCAACAGAAGGATAGTCTCATACCTTTAAGGGGGGACGTGGCAAGTAAAACTAATTTTTTTATTAATGTACTGTTTGTGATGAAATTTGGTGTGTGTATGTGGATGATTGTGAGGATTCCAAATATGAAAACCGTTTTCAAATACCTCTTGTACTTTTTGAGTTACAAGCATAATTATACTAATTAATGCTCTTCACACTTAAAGAGATAATTATTGCTAAATGAAATTATTTTTTCATATTATTATGTTCCCAAAGCATCAACTTGTGCAAAGAAGCTATTAGTTGATTTTTCTAGTTCTTGTAACCATAAATAAAATTTCCAAAACATGGATGTTGTTTTGCACACACATCGCAGTAATTATAAAATGTGTTCTAAGAATTTTAAATGATGAGTAAGAAGAGAGATAAAGCTTTATTGCACTGCTAAAGGCCTCCTGAGCCTAGTGCAAAAAACGGAACGACTCTATCAGTCTTTGTTAGAAAATGACAGATGTTCTAGCGAAGGCACATAGGCGAAAATCAAGAGTTGAGAAAACTGACTTTGAAAGTTCACTCTTGTTTGGAAGTTCACAACATGCCTAAAACACTCAGAATCCTCCTGGGCAGTAATCCTGAGATGCTGTGGCCTTGGCCTCTGTAGAGCGCAACCCAGTTTTGCACTTCTTTGTCGTGGAACAATGCACCTTTTGAGCCCTCTTCACCCTTTTGGCATCCTTTTCGGCTGCTCGCCGCAAAGAGCAGTCTCCTGGATTGAAGCCCAGTTGAGCAGTGAGCTCTTGCAGCGCACTCTTGCAGCCACCATTGAAACGGCAGACTGCATCTGCCACTGCACTTTCCACACTTCGAAGGGAGGCGAACTGGCTCTTGGACTGGAGTGACCAAATGAGGCTGTTCATACTCTCCACAGCGTTCTGGGTTTTTCCCTGCGCACACCTTTCAAGGAGCTCTTTGTTCGAGAGGCGCTTGTAGATTGGCAGCAGTGCCACTCGCACGTGAGGGGGCAGTTTATGTTTGTGAGGCGGCAGCGGCTCTCCCTTGGCCAATGCCTGATTGTGCGGGCACCAGGAGTCAGTCCCACTTGGGCACAGGTCGTGGTGTGGATCCTGGTCTGTGGATGTTACATGGTAATAAGTGGCCATGATGGCCCTCTCCATGCCAGGAACATCGGTGGGGTGGCTCTTAATGGCCCAGCCATAATAATTCGTTAACTTCTTTATCAGGCCCTGCGTCAGCCAGCCTTTGCCACCCATGCTCAGTCCTCGGCCTTTGGATTTGTGCTCATCAAGAAGGTTGCGCAAGGAAGTGCCCATTCTTTTTTTCACATGGTTCACACACTCCTGTTTCTTAATCACCATGTAGCCATACACCTTGTCTTGCGTGAGGGCAAGGTACGTACGACTGTCACCGTCGCAGAGCACATTGATGTATCGAAGCTTGTACTTGGTAAACGATCTTTCAAACATGATCCTAGCTGCTTCTACTTCCATTTGGCCTGCATTAGCATCAGTGTTCTTTTGGCACTGTGGCTTGTGTTTCTCAAGCCACTCCTCATAGTTGTCGTCACCAGGCTTGGGGCCAACAGCACAGCCTTGGCAGTAGTTGGACAGGACACAGTGGTCCAAGACCAACCAAGCCTGTGTACAGCTCGATTACACAGCCCACGCCAATATGACTTCTGTGCCCCCTCGTCATCCACGTGCCGTCGTAAATGACGTCAATGTTGCCTGGCACTCCTCCTAGGTCCTTGTAAATGTCATGCACCTTCTGTGCACTTTCTGGTTCAATGCGGGTGGCAGCTGATGTGGTGGCAGGGTGGCTGTACTTCCTTTGCAGTCTCTGGTAGGACTTGTGGTGCAGTGCTCGATGCGAAATGTCCATCGCAGAAAAAATGTCATTTATGGCAGATTGTTTTCTGCCAACTGACTGCACAGCCCTCAAAGCACGCACGTTTACCTCAAAGGGGTTCGTTTTTTGTTGCCCGGAGCACCTCGGGGACGACCACGCACTGTTCACTATGCCACAATTGTCACAAAAAAGTTCCATCCTCGCCGCGAGTCCAAGGCAGTGCGTAGTCTCGAGGCGTATCGACCCTTCGTCGCACTTGTTGCACTTTACTGACGAAAGCAGACCGTTCAGCATCTTCTTATTTACAATGAAGAATGTGGAGTCCTTACCGCCGTCATTTTCGTCGCAGCCTTCGCTCAGAAGCTCGAGCTTCCGCTTTGAAGCGGACTTCGATGCTACGGCATCCAAAACATCCCGCCTTGTCTGCGCCCGCTGCGCGATTTCTTCACTGCTCGGAATCTGGGCCGAAACTCGCGATAGAATGTTCGACGCGCGCACGCCCGAGTTGCAACGGCTGCCGACGCGGTGCCACCGCATCGGGTTCGCGAGAGCGTCCATCACGGTCGACGGCACCGGCGTCTGCATCGACGATGAACTACGACGATTTGGCACCTTCCACACTCTCGGCCTCACAACAATCAGCGAAGGGTCTGAGTAGAGGCTCCGTGACGCTTGAAGAGCATGCTCCGTCCGGAACTGCGACTGGGACGGCAGCCGCAGTCGTCTGCCCTTTGTTCCAAGCTTTCCGACGCTTGCCGTACTTGTGGACGCTCCGGAACTTTTTTTGCGGCAACATAGCACCGCCGTATGAGCAAGCACTCAGAAGAGACCACGATGTAAACAAAGCTTGGTAAAAAAAGCACGCGAACTATCACAAAACCAGCAAACTGGCAAAAAAACGAAGCGCACGCCGGATGATTCTCGGCACGGCGGCCCCAGATGCGCTCGCGCTTCAAGGTTGCCAAGGTGCGCGGCGCAGCTTTGACCAGTAAGAGGTCGCGCCTGCTACACGTGACCGCCCTCACTTCAATGTGCCGAAGTGTCTAACCTGAGTAGCAGTGTTTCAAAAATAAACAAGTTGCTATCGAAAGCTGAGTACTTATCATTTCTTAACTACTGCGTTCACTATCACGAATACTGTTACGCATTGAAGCATGCTAGACAATAAAGAATTGGCTACCTATTCTCGCTTCTAGGCTGTTTATGAGAACGGCCGTATACGGACATGCCCAGCACACACCGTGTGATGGCTGTGTGCACGCGTTTGCACCTGAAGTTTATTCTAAGGCTTGCTTAATGGTGTTAACACATTATCACCTATACTGCTTGAAATAGCAAATATATTTTTTTTATATAGTTACTTACTGACATTACGATCATTTCCAAAGTATGCTGGATCAAAATGACACAAAATTCGCCAGTGTAATTGGGCGTTACAGAGCTTGCATGACTTAGCAGTACTTGGATTCAACAGAAGGATAATCTCATACCTTTAATGCTTCTCTAGTCTTCGCTAGAAGAAAGGAAAAGCTACAAACCAAATATTAGCAGGAAACATTTAGTTTAGGGCAACGCCCAACCTGCACTGCAGTGTTGAGAATGTTGGAATGACGCCTTTCTATGGCAAATGCTAAGGATCTGCTGAACGAAGAATGTTGCTAGAGCCAATGTTTCAAGACTTTTTCATCAGGTTGATGATGCACTTGCTTGAAAGCTAACCCACGTGTCGAAATGTTGTCTCCAGTGACATTCCGCTGTTCAACCAATTCTCAAAATTCCAAAGGCCTTATGTACTCAGCAACTTTGTCATTTTTTGGTTTTACTATTGCAAATATGTCACGTAAAAACATCACAAGGTAGTATAACTTTCATAAAATGGAAAAAAAAAATTTTTTTCCCAAGTCATTTGTAGCACGACGCTACAAAAATATTCCTACGAAGTTTCCAGAAAAGGCACGTTGTGGTTACAAAACTTTAATTTACAAAAAAAATCCCAGACCAGGACAAATTTTTCATCAAGATGCTTTCAAGGTAGCATCCTTTAATTATGATTAGATAAGAGTGATAAATTTGTCTATGCACTTATGTCAAACAAAGAAAACAGGTTCTTGATTCTTAGCCATACTTTTATACTGGCACCGGTATACCAGACATTTACAGTCTAATTTAGGCAAGCAACTCGCGCTACCTTCATCCACAAGGCACCCCTGTAAAACACTGTTGTACTGTGCATTCCCTGCAGCATTTTCTCTCAAATTTTCAAAGTGAAGACAAGCAAACATTTGGAAGATGTGAATTCGCGATCCCAGAGCACACGACAAAATGTGGCCTTCCCAGTTTACAGCAAGAAGCCGCGTTCGCATTCTCTTTAGACATCACATTGTCTGAAACATCGTTCAGGCTCAACTAATTCAGAAAATGGTGGCAGGTTGCCTGAAATTCAGAGCATGTCACATGGTGGGCATAAAAATGTCGACAACTGTTGCAAACCATTGTTGGTAAGTGCTCCTAACTTCATTAAGCAATCAGGTTCTCTCTTTTAATGATGAACCGTACAACCCATGTAAACCGCGCTCCTTACTAGGCATGCGCGAATGTTAGAGCACTTCGAACTATTTGAACGAATATTACGGTATTTTCGGATTCTCTTTGCAACGAACGTAATTTGTTCTTAATTCTGAAGGGTTTGAAATGACCGAATATACATGTAATAAATATGAATTGCATGTATCACATATATACAAATCGCATGTAATAGCCATATAGTAAAATTATAAAAACTGCATGTAACATCCTGTAAAAGTGGTTTCACTGCAGTCGATGGTTGCTATACTGTGAGTACACCTGTCCAGGACAAATCTGCACTGCCATGAAGCCCCACTTTAAGGTTAAGTGAACATACTGCACTCGCACTGATCCATCATTTTGAAGTTTAAAAGCTTTTTATACACACTTACATGCTCTAAGTAATTAATTCTTAAAATGTAATGTTTTTTCCTGGTTATCGCTAGCATTCTACTGAAAGTTAAATCCTGCTATCATCCAAAGTAACATCAACATCCCTTTTAAGAACAATGACATTTGCGCATGCCTTGTTTCAATTAAAAAAAATGTTTTGATGACAAATACGCTCACTTTTGTTCATAATATGTGATATAATATAATAATTAAATTCAGTTCAAGATCACTTCACCAACTTTCCATTCGCTTCAAACTCATTCTGAACCTAAAATTGGCTATTCACATGTGCCCACTACTCACACAACGCTAGTTAACCCCTTGGCTTGCCCACTTTCCATGACCGGTTCCGCCTGGTATTCTGGTGAAAAATTTTCACGCCTAGACACACCATGGGTCGGTGCGTATAAATCGCATATAAAGTCTGCCATAATGCCAAAGAATAACAAATCTTGTTTTATTCTGTTAGCAATGCTTTTCTGCGTCAACAGTTTCGGTACGATTTTCACGTGTAAAAAACTTTGAAGCATACAGGCTTGTGAAGAGCGAATTCGCATTTCTCCAATGACTGGCTCTTAGAACTTTCATTGTGCGCCGAGCAAAGCAATCAAAACCTTGAAGGTTTTATGTTTAATTACTTTGGCAAGATCTGATGAGGAAAATTAGCCCACTCGGCATAGGTGACGCCCGTGATAGAATGGTTATTGCACGACACCATGTTTTAAAATAGACGAAAACATGCGCCTGCAGCTGCTAAAAAAATACACACACACACACGCATCACTCAACACACACTTACAAACTGCTCCAACAACGGACAACTAGGTCCATCTAGTAGAGAACATACCCAGCAAACAGCAAACAATGCGTTGCCATCTATGACACATTATAAAAAAAAAAACAATTTCTTAAATGGCCAGCGATTTGCGAGTCAAAGCACTTTTCGCCTCGCTAGGACACTGACGGATCGCTGGCTTCGAAAGCCAATGGGTTAAAGTACTTACACCTGTAAGCAATATAACAGTGAAACAGGTTTACAAACTTTACAACCACTTAAAATCCAATTCATTAGCTAAATCTGAATTGAGACAGGTTTTTCTTTCCTCCTTTTTGTTACTTCCGCAAAAGCAATAAATGCAATCCTTACCTGGCCAGGTCTCAGCTTTGCTAGGATGATGTCGTCGTGCACGGGCCTAGGCGGCTTGGTCGCAAACTGCATCACGTCAATGCGAAATGAGAAGAACAATACACTGCAGCTAAGAAAAAGTGCACAGACAAGAGCACAGTTCTGCACTTCTTACAGGCACGGGTTCACATTTGCACACGCAACATCCCTTTGACACCTCTGTGAAACAGTGGCCCAAGAAATGTTGAGCAATGGATGAAGTCAACCAGATACATTTTCAATTAACTTTAACGTGGTGCGTATTGCTGGAAACGAGCACTTTGCTGAAGGCACTACCCTGTTGTACAAGTCATTCGATGTGCTGCGTTTTGGCAGCTACGTCAAAGTGCAATATTTATTTTGCAAATAATGAATACAACTAATAACAAACTAGGTATTCAAAATCCGGTTTCTTTTATGAAAGAAGTACCACACAGGCGACATCATAATATACGTAGATATTTACACTCCGACTTGATTAATTAAAAAAAAAGTGGGCAGCTCAACACACAACGTCGATTAGATGCATCTATGGTCAATCTGCCATGATTCAAGACAGAAGGGCGTACACTAAAACCTTGATGTAACGAACCCAGATATTCCAAAATATTGGTTATAATGAAATAAATTACAAACAGACTCGCACTAGATAGTGAAAAAAATATGTTTTATAACGAATTTTTATAACGAATTTTTACGAATTTTCATAACAAACTTATTTTCGTGTAAGATGCAACTTTGTGATATTGAGGTTTGAGTGTACAATCGCGAGTTCATATTACTATAAATATGTCAATGATGCTCAAATGCCAAAATTTTGACTCACAATTTCTGCTTGAGATCCAAGGGGGACCCAGTTGAGGTGTTTCGTGTACACTGCAAAAAAAGCTGCAATAGACACTGTCACTCTTTTTCATGCCTTTTACTGCAGGACACGAGTACAAAAGCCAATCGCCATCCCTTACCAAGGTGATCCCTGTAAAGTTCGTCGGGCGTGGTGGCATCTTTCGGGGCCTGCGGATTCTTGGTGCACCTGACCTTCAGCTCAAACTCGACCGTGTCTTCAGGAGAGCCGTCGCTTTCTGAAAAACAAACGTACGAATCCTAGAGTGTTAAAGGTTTTTCTTTGCTCAGGTTGATTGCATCCTTTTCAAAACGATGTCAACAACACTAAGTACACTGCACGCTTCTTGCAGTCGCAAAGTCGTAAAGTTGTGACGATTCGAATCCAAGTTATGCCTTCACTCTCATTTCCGTGTCAGTGTAGCCTGCTCTACACAGTGTTAACACCGAATGAAATCAAGCTAGGCTGAACAGAGAGTATCTGAGCTACTACGCAGCTTGCATTGCAAATGAGAGACGTGTGCCTGTGCTCAGCAGCTCTGCAAAGAAATCATCATCATCATTTATTGAACCCTTAAAGGCCCCTTGAGGGGTATTACATAAGGGGGAGGCAAAAACACAATTCAACAGATGCATGATTGTCAATGGTACAAAGCATAAGCGAAAGTGAACTACATGATAAAAAAAACAATGTCAACAGAAAGAAAAATATATATATATACGTGGAAGAAAATGGCAACAACTGTAAATTAACTAACATATCAAGTGATTTGTGATTAGCTGTTTAAATTTTAAGGGGTTTTGTTCGTGCACTATGGATTCAGGCAGGTTATTCCAGTCTTCAATGGCAGTAGGCAAAAATGATTTATTGAAAGCGTTAGTTGAACCATGTAAGCGCTGTAAACATAGGGAGTTAAAGAGGCGACGCCATGAACGGGTGGGAGGTAGAAGAACGGTATTGCGTTGCGACGGGAAATTATGGTATAGTTTGTGCAGAAGGCAGAGCCGAGTGATTTTGCGGCGAATTTCTGGAGGAGGGAGGTTGAGGGATAGTTTGATACTGGTAATACTTAAGCGAGAACTGTATTGTGAGGTGATGAATCTGGCAGCGCGATTTTGAATTGCTTCTAATGCGTCGATTAGGTAATTTTGGTGAGGGTTCCAAATAGCAGAGGCATATTCAAGTTTAGTACGCGTGAAGGTTTCGTAAGCTAATTTTCGGATTTGCGGTGGGCAGGACATAAGCGATCTTTTAATGTGGCCAAGTGATTTTGCTGAAGCGGTGACTAGTTGTTCTATGTGCTCGGACCATGTTAGTTTACTTGTTATTATTACGCCAAGATATCGATAGGAGTTACCTGGGCTAAGGGTTGGAAGTTCACAGAATACTGGAAAGAAAAGTTAGTGCGCTTGCGCGAAACTTGCATGAATTTACATTTTTGTGTATTAAGCTGCATTAGCCACCCCGAACACCAATTATGTATGTTAGACAAGTCATTCTGGAGTGTAATTTGGTCAGTGCAACATGAGATGCGACGATAAAGCCCACAATCGTGCTGCAAAAAGGTGGATGGTGGATGAAATTTTGTCTGGAATATCATTAATAAAGATTATAAACAAAAGAAGCCCAAGAACGGAACCTTGCGGTACACCGGAAACTACATCAACACGGGTTGATTCATTATTCGCGACAACAGTATACTGAACACGACCGGTTAGAAAATTTTTAATCCAAGATAGGGCTAAGGGGTCTATACTGAGACCCCTTAGAAAGTTTACTTATTAGACGGCGATGGGGAACACGGTCAAAAGCTTTGGAAAAGTCGAGGTATATTACGTCTGTTTGAAAAGAAGAGTCTAGGTTAAAATGAAGGTCAGTAGAAAATTCGTACAGCTGTGTCTCGCGCGACAGTCCACGCCGGAACCCGTGCTGGTTAGAAAAAAAGAAGGAATTTTGGTCCAGATGAGTTGCAATGTGGGAGTAGATTACGTGTTCTAGTAGCTTGCAGGCAATGCATGTTAACGAAATAGGACGATAGTTTGAGGGGTCTGAAGGGCTTCCTGATTTGGGAAGGGGGTTACTTAACTTATCTTCCAGTCTTTAGGAATAAAACCAGTGTCAAGGGATTGGTTAGAAATTAATTGTAGGATAAGACTGGATATTATTTTTGTGCTTTTCAGAATTTTAGCGGGTATATTGTCTGGGCCAGGGGAACTCGAGAATTTAAGGTTGTCGATTAGATTTGCTATTCCTTCGCTTGTAACAAATATGCGTGGCATCTGTGGGAAGTCTCTGGGCGGCAAGGACGGAACATCGGAGGAGGGTTCATGCGTGAATATAGATGAAAAACGGGAATTCATGATTTCGGCGAAGTCAGTGGCGGAATCGGCCGAACCATCGGGATTAGTAAATGGCAAGTTTTGAGCAGCGCTGTTTTTAGAAGACAAATACTTCCAAAATTTTTATGGGTTGTCGCGCAGGATGCCGAGGAGATCATGACCGAAGAATTGTCTTTTTGCATTTTTTAACAGTGAAGTGTACTCGCGCAAACATGTGCGATACTTTTCCCACTTAACCGGGGATTTCGATAACTATATCTCGACGGGCATGGCTCCACAATCTGTGGAGCCAGAGAGCTGCCAGACGTGGACCACCATTCCAGTACAAATACAGCTCCTAGCTGATCAAAGCAGCAAAACCACTCACTTGCACTTGAACTTCTCACTTGCATACTTCAAATCTATTGGTTTTCTTGGCAAACTTTGACCCTTTAGTCAACAAAGTGAGTGTTGTGCCCATGAGCATTCTTGTCTTTTTTTTTTTGCACATTTTACATAACCCATTGAGACTGTCCATTTATTGTTTAGATCAGCTACTACAAGATCTGCATTTTGTTCTTTCTTTTTTCTTTACATACGTTTCAGCCCACGTTCTCCTAGGGCCTCATCTACTTCCTCTCCTATTCCTACAAAATAGCAAAAAGGCAAATACGCAATGGCTAATTATTATGCTTCTAACCAAGAGCTTTCTCTCTTTCTCCCTAACAGTGTCAACAACTCCCACCAGCAGACGAATGCTTATAAGCTCAAATAGGTTACAAGGTGGCAGCTGTGCCCCGGTCCTACAATGTTGCGAAAACTCTAGCACGGTTCATGCTCGTGAGGGTCTTCACTGAGCACACAGAAGAGAAGCAGCTCAATGTACGCAACTACTGTTCAGGTCTAAACTAAAATTCTGGCATCTTACCACTTTCTCTGTATTCGAACATCCGCGGGTCAATGTTGAAAGGCACCAGGCCAATCCGGTGAGCCAGCACCTCGTCCTGAATTATGCCAGTGTTGTTGTACAGGTAGACTTTGTCGGGCGCCATTGTAGGCACCTGCAAGGCACGACAAAAGGTGTTCTTCAAAGCCGAAACAAGGCAGGCCAATTAGTACATCGCAAAAGCACTTGTTGGACAAGTTGGTGCTTACAGTGGTTTGGTGATAACAGCGAAAAATGGGGACATAGTAAAGTATACAACACGAGTGCTCGTGTCGTGTCCTTGTAATTTCCCTGTCCTTCAAGCACTTTAGCGTTGTTATGCCACAACAAGGCCTAAAATTGGCGTTGGTAAGGCATGCTTGACTGTGGTGTGAGATGCATTTTGTGACATGTATTTTGCAACACAATCAACCATACCTAACCAATCAGTGCATGGCTAATCTCTCCTCAAATGGCACCCCGTGAACGTTCTTCCTAGAGCTACTGCGTGTGCCCCCTACAGGAGCAGAGTAGCGCAAGGACCCACCGTGCTGCGTGCAAGAAAAGCCAAGGTTTTGAGGGAAAGATAGGCATCACACTTACGTGAGACAAGGTGGTCACAAGACTATCGTAGCCGACCAGCACTACCCTCACGTATTACCCTGTTTATAAGATACGATCAAGGTTCAATTTGATTATAATTTCGCCCCTTGCAAGTGCCGTCACGTGCAGGATATGATCGAATCTTTACTTGCGCACACACCGCAGCTCCAACCTTTTAAAGACGTGCCAAAAAGCAGCCCTGTATGAGTTAACAACGCACAAAAATAGTGGTTATCATATTATTTTGCTGTAAAGAAGAAAGACAAGTCAGTAGTTTCAAAAGCAAATTGTTCAGACAATGGTTAAGCATTAAACGATGGTCACATTTAGCCCTCTACCACAGTCGGTTGTGTTTGTGCCTCGTTGGCCAGCTTCACCACTGTCTTTTTGATCACTTTCGAAATGACATGGTATTGTCTGGGAATTGAGGACACGACTGATAAATGGAAAAAGAAAAACCCCAACCCCGGCACCTCAAAGAGACTTAAACTGCCTTCGCCGTTCCGTCACGCTACACCCATAGTGAACGCTTTTGGGTCCCATTAGAAATGGCTTGCCCATTTTTTCTTTTTCACACTGAATGGGCACGTTTGCGCATGGAGTCACAGCTACATACCTCTGCAAGCAGTATCCTGCGAATGGCGTTTGCAATTGCCGGGTTGAGGCCCACCAAGTCGAACTCTATGGTCGTGTCGTCCATGGAGATGATCCCAACGCGAAATTTCTAAAAAACATGGGCCAAAGATGGCCGTTAGTGCACATTCATTGTTAAATAAAAGGTACGACATGAATGTTGTTGCGCAGCTTGTTAGACAATGCACTTTTGCTATGAAAATCAATGTTAAGGAATTGCGTCTTGTAGTCGCGTATCACATGTCTTTAACCTTACAGTACCATGTGCAACAAACATTTGTTTTCTTGATTCTTTTGGGGTCCAACAAAGTTCTCGCTCCCGTTTGTCAGGACTGACATTCACAATGACTTAAAAATGTTTGACTGCAAGCTATAGAGCTGGCGGACGCCTGGTTTCACTTACCTTAACAAATTTTTGGAAATCCCAGCTGTCATCTACACCCAGTCTGGCGCCACAGTGGTCAACAGTTTCTGTCTACAAAGATAGCGAAAGAATAAGATATATATTGCCGCGAAGTTCCAAACATGTCACGAACAAGTGAGCAATGTTAGGAGCACCACGAAAACACGCGAAGATAAATGCTATCACACAACACTTGATGAAGCATTTGCATTCGCTCGAAAATTGTGCGATGATTAACACTTGCATTGATCAGATCTACATTTCCTAACATTAAAATCAGTCGGCGTGTTTGGCGGAAGGTAAATGCTAGCGCGTGCATTCGTAAAACTTTTGTATAACGATCGCGCGCCTACTTACATGAAGCAAGTCGTGTTCACGAAGGTGCACATGCGTTCGCATTCGCTCCAGATGCGCCATGACTCGCGTCGTTTAACTTAATCGGCAGCTCTACGAGCAAAGCGCCGTAACTAAGGGGCTCGTTGCTTGCAGAAAACACGAAGTTCACAGGGCATCTGAAAAAACACGTGCTGGCTGGCACGCTATTGAAATCGAACTTCGAAGTCGCTTCCGCGGCATAGAGGGGAATAAGAGGCAGTGGACAGATGACTACTGTAAACAGAAACTAGCAAACCGCCTAGGCAATTAGGTGTGTGAAAAATTCCAGAAGTAGGCAGTTGATAAGCGTCATCTTCTCCACTTCCGCTCGCGAAGTCGGCGAGCGTTTCCGGTTTTGGGGCGGCCAGCGAGTAGGGAGGCGGAGCAGTTGGTTTGGTGCGGTAGCCGCTGGGCAAATCTTCTCTTTCTCAGGAAATATGGTGAGTGGCTAGCGTTTCGCCGATTACGCGCTTACAGGCGAGGGACACGTTTACGGTTCAGCACATGGAGTGGTTATGCGACCATCGGCAAATGCCTGCGAACCGCAGTTTCGTCGGCTTTCGCCGACGGGTGTTATGTCACTCGTACGAAGGCAAATGATCCGCCTTCCTACCGATTTAAAATAAAAACGAACAAGAGCTCTATGGTTCATATTCGGACGCCCCGTTATTGTAGCGTTGTTGTTTGAAGCTTTACGCTTGCCTCTTTTGCAGATACGCTTCATTCTGATTCAGAACCGGGCCGGCAAGACGAGGTTAGCCAAGTGGTACATGAACTTTGACGACGACGAGAAGCAAAAGCTGATCGAAGAAGTACACGCCGTCGTCACGGTCCGAGATGCCAAGCACACGAATTTCGTCGAGGTAAGCGCCTTCCTTTATCGTCAGTGCGGCCTTTTATCTTTACACGTCCCTTCGCGCTTCTTGGGCCCGAGACGACGTCAAACCATCCGCAGGCCCGGCTTCGCTTTTCTTCGGCATTGATCGGATTGCCCTCCGGCATTTTTTTTTTTTTTTTTATGGCCGAGCTTGAAATCATCGGGGCCTAGGTTACGCTGAAGTGATGTAAAACACGCCGCAGCGTGCTTAGCGGAGAGGGCGTTGCGCCGCTGAACACCGCGATGTGCAGGAACGCCCGTCGCGCTTTGATTTAGGTGCACTTTAAAAGAACCACCACAGGTGTCAAGAAGTGACTTCGCAATCTCGCCACCACCCCGTGCCTCCTAATTGCGTCGAAGTGTTTGCGAAACCCGGAATCGAACCGATTTGGTGCGGTGTTAGCTAATTTCAGCAAGATAGTGTCGTTTTCCGTCAGCGATATTTTTTTTTTGTTTGTTTGTCGCATTCTAATACAAACCACTTTTATAAACTTCAAGTCGCGGTCAAGTAAAAAGAAAAATTGACCAGTAGAAAAGTTAACTTCTTCGAATTGTCCTTCCACATAAACATTTGTTACTGAAATACTAAGAATTAGACTTAACGACTAAAGTGAAAAGATACATACTTTGGTGTTTTGCCAGCACAATACATAACTCAAGCTTGTCTGATAAGAGTAAAAGCCAAGTCCAATAGGTTATGTATTTGTGGGGGCCGGTCATGTTTTATTCTAAGTGCATAGTCTAGGTGACCCAAACGCTGGATCACGCAGGGCGTCAAGCCTCTAGCACCATCATGACAGCAAAGTTGTGTGAGGCACAGAACTGTGGGACAAAACAGCTGAGCAGCGGAAGCCATACTCTGCAACCAAAGCAGCTCATCCTCGGTGCAGAAACAAAGGGGATGATTAGCACCACTTGTAGCATGTGCTGTGCTGCAATCGCCTTGTACTAAAAATTCTTTTTAAATCTAAGAAGCTGGCCATAGTGTTTCTGCAGAACAAGGGTTTTTCTACTTCCATCATAGCTGGTTTCAGTGACTCTATAAAAGGGCTTAAAGAAGTTAATCCAGAATACATCTATGATAACATACCATTTAGGAATAAGCATTTAGTACCTTTAGCTAGACAGCAAGGTGGAGAGTTCGTTTTGATTCACTGAGCTTCGAATAATAGGGCACCTTCTCGACATGGATTCCGATGGAGGCGGAAATGTTGTAGGCCCGTGTACTCAGATTTGGGTGCACGTTAAAGAACCCCAGGTGGTCAAAATTTCCGGAGCCCTCCACTACGGCGTCTCTCATAATCAAATGGTGGTTTTGGGACGTTAAACCCCACAAATCAATCAATCTTCTCGACATGGACAGTGCCATGTCGCGTTTTTGTTGCTTTGTCCATGCCAAAAAATTGTGCTGTCAAACCTTTGTGCTTGACACATTGCTGTAATATGTAGCAAGGGTTTACACGCATCACTTCGCACGAGTTAGTGAAAGCGCGCATTGTTTCGATGTTAGCCGGCTCACACAGTAACAATAGTTTTGCCATTGTTCTTGTCTGTGCAGTTCCGCAACTTCAAGATAGTGTACCGGCGCTACGCTGGCCTTTACTTCTGCATCTGTGTGGACGTGCACGACAACAACCTGGCCTACCTCGAGGCCATCCACAATTTTGTGGAAGTGCTGAATGAGTACTTCCACAACGTTTGTGAGCTGGACCTCGTCTTCAACTTCTACAAGGTAAGGCCCCAACGTTCTCCGCTGCTTACTGGAAAAAAAAAAAAGTCTTGCAGTCCCAGCTTTCATTAAGCATTTGTTTAGCAAGCATCTTTGAAACACTGAAATTTCAATGCATCATCATGGATGTTTTTTTCTTTCCATTTCTTCGCAGCCACATTCTCAGTTGAATAACCCTCAAGTTGGCAAGACAAGTCTATGGCTCTGTTAGAACATGAAGCTGTTAATTTGTACTGCGAAAGAGTTATTTGGGCCCTAGCGCATGCTGTCGAGATACACAACTTCACAAAAACTTATCGCACAAACTTCATTCACTGCTGGCTTTATTTTCTCATTCTATGGCTTACAGAGCACTTTCTTGTGGTGAGGGTAGTGTTCTGGAGATGTGAAAGTGCAGTCTACAATACTCAAGCCTTGGCATAAATTATTATAATGAAATTGAACTCCATTGTAAAAGTCAAATGGGTGTAAAAGTACATTGGAATAGGCATTAATAACAAGACTCGTATGTGGTACCCTCGTCATAGAAGACACCTCATATAAAAGACAAGAATTTCGCTACAGTGCATGTCTCCTATAAAGAGGTTCAACTGTAAATGAAGGATAGTTTTGTCATATAGTGTTACGAATGTGCATTTATAACAAACTTTTTAGTTAACAGGCTGCGACATATTAGTGTAAGGAATGAAATATGAATATAAAAAATAAGACGAAGATGAGTGCTGCACTCACAACAGTTTATTAGCAGGGAAGGGTTCCACATATGTATCCTAAATAATGAAGTTATTTCCGTGACAGATAGTGACTTTGTCGAAACGAGGTTCAATTGTAGAGTGAGTGAGATCGCTTTTCTAGTTTGCATTCCTTTGTAAAGATTTGCTTTTTCCATCCCCACGCAGGTGTACAGTGTCGTGGACGAGATGTTTCTCGCCGGCGAGATCCGAGAGACGAGCCAGACGAAAGTCCTCAAACAGCTGCTGGTCTACAACTCGCTGGAGTGAAGCGGGTCTTGGGCGCAAACAAGCACACACAGAAAAAAAAAAAAGCTCGCTTCTCCTTCCAACTCACCACGCACTGACATGCATGCAGAAGGGAAAACGGACAGGTTTGACCGAGAGAGAAGTAGCAGTAGGCCGGTACCGGCGACGGCGTGCACAAACAACCACATTCCCCTTTGAACTGCTCCTGCAACGCGCGTGGGAGAGACTCTCTGGCTTGCAGAGTCTTCTGCTTTTTGCATACATCCATTTTCTTCGTTCCACAGTTGCCTGGCCGCTGCATGCGCCTCTGTTTTACTCACCACCACCGATGTGTCAATGGCACCAGCAATACTCGTCTCCCCCCTAATAGGTGCCCATCCTCCTCGCAACTTTGATGCTCTGAAGTGCGATGCATGCCTTCTTCTCCTTGCTGTTCTGTTCCAGACAGAAAGTTTGGTTGTCGACCGTGTCGGGCTCTCTCTTGCAGTCACTGAAAAAGCTAGTGGTGAGTCGCGTTTGGAATGTCGATGAAAGCACAGCTCCGCCGACATTTTTCGAGTTCGGTGTTGACCTGTTTCAAGTCGGCGCGAGCATTGGAACAGCACTCTGAAAACAGCTGTGCTCTTTGAGGCATACCTTTTTGAGGCACAGCAACGATCGCCTACCGACTCAACTCACTTTGTCGTGCCCCGTACTGCCCTGTTTTGAACGTTGCACTTGCTATCAGTTTCACGACTTTTTGAGAGCACAACACGGGCATGCGCAATAATTATTATTGTTGCGTAGCAAAAAAACTCCAAAAGGCGCAGCTGCTATTAGAGTGCAAGACTGGCTGCCCTGCTTTATTTTTGTTGGTTTGTTTCAGGAGCTTGTCAGTTTTGTTCCCGGTTTATCAGAGGACCCACTGGTGCAGTTCAGGACACGGCCACGCTTGTTACACAGCAACACAGCTAATGCTCGTTAACATGTCAATGACCACTTTCGCAAGCACAGTCGGAACTTAACGTGTGTGGCACGTTGATTGCCACAAAAGAAAGTAGGTACTTAATTGCAAACATTGCTTTGCCATAAACATGTCTAGCTAGTATCTTTGGTTGAGCGAAATAAGGCAGTTGTACAGAGAGCATTGCCTCTATTGACACACTAACCCACCCACGAAACATGCCACTATCAACAGTTTGACTTTCTCCTTGCCGCTTATAAAATTTAACATGTATCTTTCTGTGTTGCTGTTCCTATACATCGATACCGGGTAGAGTTAATGTTGATTGTTGGTTATGGAGTGCACCGCAGATCATCTTGTACGACTTGCGTGTGGCGCTGCGATGGTTTTGTGGAGGAACACCGGGGGAAAGGGGTTGTGGGAAGCTGTATGAGTGGTGTGTAGTATTATGTAAAGTCGTAACATGTATAACAAATGTGTACATAAAATGTCTATCCTTACCGATAACCTTGTCTGTGTTTTTCTTTTATTGCGATAGCAACTGTACGGAAATTTTCGGCAGATTTTTTGCCGTTGCTCCTGCCTTGTTCAGGATATGTATGCAAATATTTACACTAAATAAAAGCCACAAAGAAAAATGTGAATGAAAAAAATTTCCGAAGCACGCCACCAGGATTCAAACATGAGGTTGCGGGATCGAATCCCGGCTGCCGCGGCCACATTTTTGATGGAGGCGAAAAATGCCCGAGGCCCGTGAGCTTCGGGTGCACGTTGAAGAACCCCAGGTGGTCGCAATTTCCCGAGCCCTCCACTTCGGCGTCTTTCATAATCGTATGGTGTTTTTGGGACATTGAACCCCAATGATTATTAGGATTCAAACCTGCGACCGCTCACTCCACCGTGCGCTGCCCTGAACATCTCTGCTACATCCTCCAGCTTGCTAATGGCAACCTGTTGATAGACACTGTTTTCCCGCTGGCAGTATGCAGATTTCCAAGGCGATTCAGCATAGCCCCTTTAACCCAGGAGATCGCAGGTTAAAGTTAAACTCTCCAAGTTGTTTTATAACTGCCCTTGAGATTTGCACAAAAAAGTGGCATGTTCTGTGCCCACTCTGAACTAGAATGCCAGACAAATTATTCGCACCCACTAGCTCGCGAAACAGAGTGCATGTGTGTCTCGTTTAAAGGGGCCTCGCAATACTTTTTGAACATGGCAGCTTACTCATTTCTTGACAAATGATGCCAATAAGTTGAAATGACCGTGCTGTAAGCGCAAAGATGGTGGCCATGAACCGGGCATTGTGAGCTGCGTGGTTACAGGGGCTGCCACAGAATGCCGTGACGCACCTGTGCTGCATTCGATAGTGCAAGAATCTCACTATTATGCTACCACGCTAAAAGCAAGCCCAGTATACAATGAAAGGGCTCATGGTCAAAACGTGCACTGCCAAAGGAACATAGCCTCTTTTCCCCCATTGTATTGTCACCCTAGCACCGTGCATAGCTCTCGGTGCACCCACCCACAAGGGCTGCAGGAGAAAAAAAGCGCATATAGCATGCAACGAGTACCAGTAACTCCGCTCGTACATAAGATTCTAGAAATCTTTGAGCAGTCGACTCGTGGAACAGTAAACTCGTAACAAAATGATCCGACTTGATGGGAAAAATGTCGTGGAGCCCCTTAAGTCGGCCTGGCATTGAGCGGATACCCCACTGTACTGCGCAGGCTGAAACGTTGTGCACATGCCCGATTTCGCAAGTCATCTGTAGTGGTCTCAAGGGTTAGCAGGCCAAAATGGCTGGCAGATTCGTGCGACCATTTCCAACGGCAACCCCAGGTGTCCACACGCCCACTGTCACAGCTCGCGTAGTTTCGGAGCGACAAGCAACTCCATGCCTCTTCTCACATCTTTGTCGAGTTCGCAATGCTAGAGTGGGTACATGCTTACTGAAATACAAAAAGACCCGTACCATAGACCAACAAAATGTTTTTATTAAGTTACATTTCTTCTATAGTGGGTCTTACCTTCTATTCTCCTCTTTTTAATCAGGAGCCTTAACTACTCAACGAGTACTGTTTTAGTCTTGTATTTGAAATTAGTCGTCATTTCAATCAGTCTAAACCTTAGTTCTCAAAATTGTTCCCATCAAGTTAATACGGCAGCCTGACATACAAGCTAAAAAACATAATACTTGCAGTTCAAATTGAATATTTTATGTATTGTTGCCATTTAATATTTCTATTTTTGCTTTTTAATTACATACATAAAAGAGCATTTAAAACAGCACTAAAGCCGAATAACAATTTACGTCGGAGTAAAAACTCAATGTATGACAACATCTAAAACGAGAATATTATCTACAACAGTACCCTACTTACCGAGAAATCAAGGTAAATGCAGAAGAATACAAGCGCCGCAGTAGGACATTTCCAAAATGATCCCGATGACATCAGACGGACCGCCTACAATTAACCACTAGTAATCGATCTAACTGCACTAAATAAAGAACCTTCCATGCATCAAGGGACGCAATGCAATGCTGCTTGTTTGTTTCTGTTCGATTCATGAAAAAAATAACCGCCGGATGTAACAATGGAGATTGGTGCAAGTAGTTCAAAATTTCAATTTTTGCGTGGTTACACGGGACAGGTGGTGCCATCTAGCAATGTGCAGTTGAAACAAAAGTGTCTGCAATCTCGAAGCCAATGGCGGGAAATAGATGAATGGCCGCTATTGCTACTGTGGCTCCCACTGATTTCGGTCTGCTGCTACTAGCGCAGTAAAGCCGGGCAACGTTGTGCACGACAACAGTGACGTGAGACGGACCCGTCGGTTTGCTTCTTGAGGCGGATAATATGAAGCGGGCTAAGCCGATGCGAAGCACTAAAATGTGATTTTATTTCAAAGTAGGCCCTTCCTTGGCATGAAAGTAACACTGCGAGGTTTCTGGATTGCCATTTCAACAATCAACGTCGACTTTAGTTTAGTTAAAGGGGCTTTAGTGCCCCTTTAACAGTCTGAACATCGCATTCTTGACTAATCCCCCAAAGTGAGTACGTCTTTCTGTATTTCAGTCAGCATGTACCAACAAACCCAACAAAAAGTTTTATTCAAACTATAACAACCAGGATACAAATGCTACACAGCAGAGAATGCAGATGCCATACTTTTTGCATTTCTTTCCAGCTCTACTGCACAGGTAACACCTGGCACAGTTCTCTGCTGCTTAAGCAGCAGAGAACTTGCATCACTTAACTTGCAAGAGGACCCCAAAAAAAAGCTCTCCGTGTGGTCTCTGAGTGTATGCCGAACCATGCAAAGCACAAGCCACAGCCCTGAAAGGCAGGCTACAGCTGGGGTTCCTGCGAGGAATAACAGCTGAAAGCTCACTCCTGGTGAGATGAGAGGTTTTTGCGGGTCCTCAACCCTTGGGAAGAAAAAACTACACATCGCCCCGACATAATAGAATCAATATGTAACCGATGATTTGGGCTGGTACACGGGAAATTGCCATTATAGTAGTAGTCCCGGCACAGCAGTGCAGCGGCGTGCTGCACCCACAAATTCTGGCGAGACCCGCACGGCACGGGTTCTTCCTTTAGGACTGTTCAGAGTTCAATGACAATGGGTGTTAGTATTGGGGGTTGCCTTTGCCCACTTAAATAACCGCTAAGGCAACCAGTGGCATTGCCATTTTTTGGCCGTGTTGGTAAGCCTAATTGAAAACATTCAGCACCAGCATACAAGGACGCAAGACACCACCACTGCACTGAAGAGTCAACTCTCTTGCGCCTGCTAGCACTGAATATGATTTTGAAACAAGTGGTAGTACGGTTCTTGAGCTGTGTCCCCTCATGAGCGATTCTAACCTGCAACGGTCATTAAATGTTAGGTCATTGAGCAAGCAACCTAGCTACCGAGCGAGAGCTGCGTTTTCATCATTAGCCACATGTCTCGGCTCCTGCAGCATCATTTTAAAAAGTTATCGTGGCTACCTGTTCATAACTCACGCACAACTGTAACACCACAACTAAAGTTTAACCTCTGGGCCAATTAGATGCCCTTTAATTGGTTTACATACCACCCCTCAGGCTTGGAGAAAATGCACATTCCATTTACAACGAGCACTCCCTTGAGAAGCAGCGAAGTTTTGTGGCTGTGCGCAGAATGTAGACGACGTTTACGAGTGGGACTTTCTTCAGGACCATCTTTCTTTTAACAGGGGCCCATTTTCACTCTCTTCAAAGCTGCCAGATTTCGTCATTTAGTAGTACTGCTACTGATTGATAGCCGACATTTATAAAGAGAGGCATTTAGATCAGATGCACTTCTTCCCACGGGTTGCAGCCGCCTTCTAGCACCACACTCCGTAGTGTGCTAAAATTGCTCAGTAGCAACGCTAGCACACACCAGATTCACACTATGAAGGCAGACTCGTTTCATGACACATGGTGATGTAGATTTTCATCCCTTTGTCATCACCAACTGTGTAGCTTCAAGTGCTCACTGGGAAGTGTGTGACAAATCTCTGTAACTAATGCTCTCATCTTTGAGTAATGCTGAAAACGTTTGCGGCGATCAATTGGTGTGGCAATGAACTCCAGTACTACAATCATCCGACAATTACTTGTAAATGCGGCCCAGGCCGCTGTTAACACTGCCACATCGCCAGTGCGCCGCACGTGGCAGCGAGCATGAGTCCAAGCACGAAAATAGACTCGCAGCACTTTACTCGGCAGAGGACTTCGAAAGTTCCGACGCAACGTGCTTGGCAAGCTTGACGCGTCTGTGCCTCTTCCGTTTTCTGCCGGCCTCCGAGTTCGCCCGTTCGGCCTCCGCAGCCGAGGGCCTCTTGGTGGCCTTCTTCGGCTTCTTGCACGACAGCGGGTTGGGTCCACCGGGCTTCTTGCGCTTCCTCTTGGGCGCCGGTTCCTCCAGCAGGTTCTCCTGCTTTTTGAGCTGCTTGATGACCTCCATTTGACGCTCGGGGGCCTGAGACTGCGCCTGAAGCACTTCCATGCCCTTCTTCTCGCTCTTCTCTGACGGCTTTTCCAGGGTGATGGCGTTGAAGAGGTAGAGCAGCGGCACGCCCACGAGGGCGCGCAGCCGCTCGCTCAGGTCGTGGTCCTGCGTGGCGACCATGTAGTGGTCGGGGTTGCGCTTCCTCACCATGCTGTGGAAGCAGTTGGCGGCCGTGATTGGCTGCTTCTCGTGGCCACAGCGGCGCACGGGAAACTGCTTGATGACCAGCGTGGCCCCGTACAGCTGCGGGCCCAGGCTCTCCGTCTCGGTCACGGCGCACACCGTGGTGCAGAGCTTGACCTCCTCCCCGAGGTACCTGTGAGAACAAAGAGAAACGAATGATGCAAACTTGCGCACTATGCCTCAGCCTCCATCCCGACCAGCATAGAATTTCTGTACGGCATTCGAGTGGCTACCAATTGCTTTACAAGTCCGTTTGACTTCACTACTTACGTATCCGCCAACGATTGTATTAGAGTTCCAGGCACGTTTCAAACTGAGCAATCTCCGGGGCAGGCAGCGCATTTTCTGGGAACATATGCTTACCATTGAACCGAATGGCTAGCAGTGAAGGTGCACCGGTCGTCACAAGGTGCATATTCGATCCCGATTGAGTCCGACCTGGATCGAACTAATGTGTAGCAATCAGCTTATTCGCTCAAACCTCGGAGAGGAGCCAGTCATGGTCGTGAAATGCGATTCCTAACGGACTCTATCGTGATCGCAAACGGCTTACAGTACTGGGCAGATTGCCCTAAAATTATTTGCTACGTCTCACGATGCGCAAGCCGATTTCGTGAGTAGGTAAACGACGTCGCCTGCAGCAGAGAAGCACAGAGTAAACGAGAACTTACTTGGGCATCTGATCCCTGATGTTCACCTTGTACTTGAGGGCAGCCGCGCAGAAGGTGCCATCCACGAGGATCTGGTACGGCGGTCGGAACCCGAACGCGTTCTTGTAGAAGTTGAGGTTCCTCTGGACGCGCCTGTAACGGTTTATCCTCATCCTGTCCTGAATTCAACGCGCGCGCTACGGCATCGTCTACCACGCGAGAAGTTTCGGTGTCGAGCACACGCGTCGACGCAGCGAAGGAAAACAAGACGTCGGCATAGCAAACGCGCGCGTATCGACGTCGAAACAACGCTAATGCCGATGCTAGTGGCGTTCATGAAGATTTAGCAAGGAGAGCAAAGAAAAGTCTAGGACTACAAACAACAAAATAAGAATACTTAATAACTTCAAAACTTGAATTTTTAAATTACTCACTTAAACTTACATACCAGGTTTAAACTTTACAAAAGTTTGCTGCGAATGCGCGAGCTGTTGTTTTTCAAACAATTTTTGTGTTTTTTATTCTTTTATCATCAACCAGCAGAACAAACTTCTTTTTATTTTTCAAAAGCCTGCCCTTAATTGTAGTAATTCGTGGTTTTAAAATACACGTGCTATATAGCTTTATTCTATTTTATTTTTTCTACTCAACCACTTTTTAGACTATATTTACACTCTCTCCACTCTAGAAGCTTACAACGTGAGTCTAGGAACAAGAGATTCCATGAGAAAAATACTCTTGCGGAAGCAAGCAAAGATCGAGATGTTTGAAAAGTCTACCCGAGGAGGGCACTCACCATTTTGCAGAGTGTATGTTAAATAAGACATTACCACCCAATCGAAATGCTATTTCGGCAAGCACACCAATGAAGACATTGCTCTATCACTTATGATTTGGATTGTATCTTACAAAGGCACTGACGCGTTCTCATCGGACACACATCGTCAACAGGGAATCGTGCTCGCACATCCAACCGAAGTGAGCTTCTCATGTCTTCACACCTCTCTCGCAAAGAGTGAAGGTATGAAGGTATCTGCAAAATACATACATACAACCTCTGATCGTTCGAGCATCTTGGGCCAATAGTTCGAATCGAGACTGAATCGACTGGCCCCACAACTTGTTTTGAAAAAGCTGTTTATTGTGCTTGTAGAAACACACAAAAAGAAATTGTTTTGCGCTTTTTCCGTGACATTCACCCAGGCGGCCATGTTACCCTCCCACACACATAAGTACACGCACATGTATAAACAGACATGAGCGTCGCAAGCTCCAATTCACGTCTCAATGTTGTAAATTATTCATGCTGCTGCTAGCCGAAATTTACACTCTTCAATGACAATCGTAACTCACTTTAAACATACTCGTAAACACACATGCATCACTGAATAAACATCCCTTTTTACCTATAAATATGAGTTAGTGAGAGTGCACTTAACTGTACACATAATAACATTCTATATGTGCGTATGTATAATAGTAACATGCATCAGCTGTTTCAAGGTAGAGCAGCAGCAGCAGCCCATTCTTTTTAGCATCGACGGAAGAGTGGAAATTGTATAGCACATCTCTACAGGATAATGGGCGAATAATATAGCAGCCATAGACATCAGCAGATGTGTGATAACTAGAAATTTCGGTATCCTTCATTTATATAGTAAAGACAGCACAAAAGAGAAAAGAAGAAAAACTAGGTAACCAAAGAAACCTGGCAATGCACACAACTGCGACGTCTGTTTACCGAGGCCTGCATCGCATTAGCAGTGCTGTTCTTGTATTACATTGCTACCCAACAATCGTGGATAACGATGAATTATCATCGCCCTAAATCTTTTCAGTCGCTCACTTTGGCGTAAACATTAAACGCTTAATGATTGCTAATTAAAGCAGTTATGTTTTTGAGACAAGTCTTACTCCTTTTAAGGTGTTCTGAATCACTCAAGAATCGATACAACATTCCTTCTGCAATAAACGAAGAAATGCGTCAACATTCCACTCGTGTTTTCACACAAGCTCTTCAATTCAGTTTCTGCAGGGTGACGTTAACATGACCGTCATTCACGATGTGTTGTTGAAGACAGATCTGCTATTGTGGAAACTACTAGTTCTACATTACAAGTGAATGTGTCGTGAACATCGACTATCTTGTATTCTATGATTTATGCTCGAGCTTCGATACACTGAGGCAAAAGTTGAAATAGTGATTGCTAGTTAACAATTTGCCGATTATCACATCCTACATGCTGATGTCTACTGCTGCTAATGATGCACTGCCAGAAGAAAGAGTTTGCTTCACTACATTGTTTAGAAGGAACACTCATTTCCTCATCCAAACTGGTTGTAGTTGCACTGTGCTTGTACGAATGTACGTGCTGTCAAACCTCGATATAACGAACCTAAATATAACAAAATAGTGGTTATAACAAAGTAAATAAATAGCCTTACAGTAGATATAGTGTTAGAAATATACCTTCGTAACGAATATTTGGATATAACAAACTTATTTTCGTGTAAAATACAACTTATTTAAAGTGAAGTCCGAGTGTATACAGTAATCGGAAAAGCTTTTTTTTTTTCTGTGCAGAATTCGTCAGTCTACACACAAAACAACTGTCATTTTACATAACTTGTGCACAATCAATCACACTAACATAACTGTTTTCACTTTCCTTCCTACATTAATGTTACATATACAACAAGAAATTATAAATGAAATGTTAGTCCCACATGTGTTGATCTTCAGACGTTGCTGAAGCTGAAATATCGCACCCAGAGTCCAAAGAACAACGGTTTCAATTACCACTGACAGAAAAAGCTCAAAAGCAAGGTTCTCTATATATTCAGAATGACGTTACGCATTAGTCAGCACAGCAATACTACCATCTTTCAGTGGATGAGTGGAGACAACAAAAGTACAATATAAGTGCATTCACACGATTTTTTTTCTCATTGGAACACTTTAGAATCGCCACACTTGCTGAAGTTTGCCACCAGCCAATTCAGAGCACCCATTCATCTTTTTGTGATCTTACTCCAGAATAGGCAGGAGTTCAGTACATGATTTCAGCACACTTTGGCTTTCCAAAGTTCTCTATTACATGAAAAAAAGAAATAAAACAAAATAGTAACAGGTGGCATAAAAAACGTGGTACAAACATGATACCCCAAACACTTGCTCTCTCATGCATCCACAATCAATACATGCTTCTGAAACATGCCATCATGCACACATACAATAGTATGTTCCTAAAAATGAGGTTGCTCATGTGCCAAAAAAGCCATATAAATACATGATTTCAGCAGTTCAGTTCATGATTCAGCACACTTTGGTTTTCCAAAGTTCTCTATTACATGAAAGAAAAAAAAAGAAATAAAACAAAACAAAATAGCAACAGGTGGCAAAAAAACGTGGTACAAACATGGTACCCCAAACACTTGCTCTCTCATGCATCCACAATCAATACATGCTTCTGAAACATGCCATCATGCACACATACAACAGTATGTTCCTAAATATCAGGTTGCTCGTGTGCCAAAAAAGCCATATAAAAAAAGAAATATCCATACCTATAGACATACAATTATACAGGAAATTAGCAAAGTAATAAATACATAACAATACGTAGTGATATAGCAATAGTCACTCATACAGCAATCAACAAACAGATAGAAAACACTACTGGAGCCCTGAGTGATACCCCTGTAGTACTACCAATACTCATGTGCAAGTATGTTTCATGGTTTTCTTTTTTTCTTTTCAAGCGTCTCCCATTACAAAGCATGCATACAATTCAACAATGCACGGCCCATCATGCTAGATTTAAGTGTAACAGTGTTATGTGTTTATAGTCACTCTGCGAAGGCCTGATCGGGAGAAATAATTGCAATGAATGATGACTCCCTGGCACGCTACAAGCGTTAGCTCAACCACGTGAAAAGAACCAACTATAGATAACTAAGAATAAATAATAAGAATATAAACTGTCACAAATAAGATCATTCATCCAGTCTTAGAAAACACAAAACTAATACAACACACAATATTGTCATAATCATGGCAGTTGCATGAGCACAAATTCAATACATCCGATGTCTGTGAAGCTTAACAGCCCCAAAAAGAAAATTTGAAAATGGGGTTAATGTACATAACTATAACTTTATGATGATTTCAATGAAATGTTTGGTCTCGCAAATTATTGTAACTGCATTTGAAAAATAAATTGGCTTTACTTATGCTCTCTAATCAACTTTTTTAATAGTCAGTCTTAATAAATATTACAAACTTACAAAAAAGCTTAGAGACCATCATAACTACATTTCTGTTTGAAACAAATCCTAATCACTAAAAACTAAATAAAAAAATTATTAAAGTCAGCACCTGGCTGTAGAGAAAGTGGCGTGGTTCATTTGTTCACAGCGTATTTTTGGCGTGAAGTTGCAGAGCGATGAAACATTGATTTCACAATCGGCTATAACCATGTCATCATGGACGAAAAGCGTGCCATGTCAACGCTGGAAACACAATTTCTGACACATCCTAGCTAGGCTTACACGAATCTTGTTGCACATCATTTAACAAAAGTGTCGGTGCCGAAAGACACAATGTCAAAACAGGAAACAAACTCACAATAGACATGCATGTAGTGTAAATGGTGTAAAATAATCTAATCCATTTCATCAATCTACTCAGATACCTAACGAATATCATTTCATAATAGTTCAGTGAGGATCAAATGCAAGTGTAGACATAGTTGGCAGAAGTGATTAGCCATGTATATACTTAGGCCCCATTCTGAATGGCATGCGTGTCTTAATGAACTACTAAAGCACATACCTTAAAGGCACACACACAGACATACATTATTGTTTGTATTTCATAAGCCTTCCTCTTAACACTTAAAGTATAAAATAAAGGCAATAAAAAAACAGGTTTCCAGCACACTAAACAAGCTTACATGCACTTGCATCATGTGCACATAGTGTCGTAACAAGCATGTTCATCACACTCACATCAGGAATAGCTTCAGAGCATTTATAAGCAAAACAAGCACAAACACACACTTTCTTCTTTCACAAACAAACAGTTCTCTACGATTTGGTGTGCTTTTATACTGTGGTACCTGCAACAAAACACATCGTTCTACATATCCGCAATGACGGCAGGCTACGTTTAACGCAGGGCGATTACTTGGAACGGAGCAAGCCAAGAGTCCAGGTTTGTGAAAACAAAGCTGTTCGCAGAAGGCTGTGTGTTGACTAAAAAAGAAGCCGCTGCTTGACATCGATGCTCCTAAGGTAGCGGATTTCCAAGCAACAAGAATTTGAAGAGTGGGTCCACAATAGCAATGAGAATTTGAAGATCCTAAAATACGGCTCTAGGTGCCGTCAGTCTCCGTAGTCGTCATACTCCTCGTGATATGAAAACGCATCTTGTTCTTCTCCTGCAACGAGAAGAAAAGAACCACCAAACAACATTAGCAACACGATGTAGTTGGTACATTGTGAATAAATAAACAATTGAGGAGCCCCCGCTCTATAAAAAAAAAAAAACGGGGGCTAATGAAGCTTGGCATGAACATGCCTGATACATACACTCAAACCTTTTTATGACAAAGTTGAATGTTACATGAAAACAAGTTCATTATATCCAAAAATTTGTTATAAGGGTTTATTCCTAACACTATATCAATTACAAAACTATTTTTCATTTGTTTCATTATAATCAATATTTTGTTAGATCTGCATTCATTATATCGAGCTTCGAGTGTACAATGGGAATGGAAAGAAACGCGAACATGTGGCACTCACGTTCTCTGCTGCATCACCCTTATTTTCAAGTGGTTATAGGGCAGATGTAAACAAAAAGCCACCAGAGCTATTCATGATACATTGAAAAACCATCTAGCATTTTTTTTATTGCGACCAAAGTGAGAGTGTGCTGATGACAGCATGCCGCACCTGTTTGCGTTTCTTTCCACCAACCCCCCCCCCCCCCCCCGAGTAACGCAGTACAGTAAAACCCTTTCATAAGAGAAACTGATGTAAGTGACAAATGCGTAATAAGAGAAGACACCAGTGCGCTTAAATTGAAATAGGGTTTGATAAGAAAATCCACAGACACACACGTGGGCATACAAACGCATGCATACCTTGCTCATAAGAGACATCTACTATAAAGACAAGAATTGCCGTGCGGTGCATGTCTCTTATGAATCGGTTCTCAACTGTACTCTCTTTCTTTTTGTATCACAATAAGCAATGCTCCCATCAAACTATGATCTTCTTTTATATTACTAATATAATTCGTAATAATTAGGAATAGAACAGTCATCCACGAGCTTAGCAGTGCAACACTTTGGTTTCTACAGGCAACAACGATGATCAGAAACTCATATTCAAGCAACAATTAAATTTGGCAACACGAAACCACAATTAAGTGACCTCGACAAATGGCTAAGGAGCCATATTACAAACAACCGATTGCCGAGAAGCGCACAATCAGGAAAGCATTCATTATTAAAAAACAGTGCAAGCGAACTTGCTTGGTACCAGCGCACCTTCCAGCGCTACATTTTTTTTATTATTGTTGGCGCAGTATTTTTTCTTGGTTCGTTCGGGCCACCGAAGTTCGTGTTACAAAAGCTTCAATTGAGAAACTTTGACTGTGAAATATAGAAAAGAAAGAGGGCAGAGACAAATGGTGGGCATAACTAATCGGGATCAACAACGTAAAAATGTATTGAAGCAATATAGGCTCAGGTTTGGGAACTGGCAGTGGCAACTTGTCTTTCTGTCCATTTCACTTTCTTCGCATCTGTAGTCTATATCACAACTATAACAATAAACCTGAAACAGTACAATCGACGTTTCATATACCTCCCTTGGCTTCACTATCAACTCGTTTTAATTAAGCGAGTCCTCAAAAATTTACTTCTTTCATTCACCAAAGCCATGAGTGAGACTGCTTTAGTTGATATTGTTATGTGGAAAATAACAGTAGTCAGTCTACAGCCTCAGCGCAGCTGACCGACAATGTCCACTTCTTCACTCTCAGTCTGAGGCACCTTTCTTGGGTATGTCCCACTATGCCCTGTTTCAGTCAGCTTGAATCACGTAACACGACCCCCGGCGGCAAAAGCGCCGACCCGGCGAGTTTACGGGGCCACAGCAGGAGCAGTGTGGTAACGCTTGAGCCTTGATACGTGGACGATGTCCCTTGACAGCAGAGCAGAAGAGGTTGATAGATTATCAGGGACAATTTCATATGTAGTGTCGGTCACTTGTCTAAGCACGCGGTATGGGCCTGTGAAACGAGAGAGAAGTTTTTCTGAAAGGCCTGCATGTTGTGTAGGGGACCAAAGAAGAACGAGGGAACCTGTTGAAAAGTGTTCGTCGCGATGCCGCTCGTCGTAACGATGCTTCTGTGAGTCTTGGGACGCCATTAATCTGCTGCGGGCAAGCTGACGAGCATGGTCAGCTCGGGTAATAGCGTCGCGTGCATATTCAGAAGTAGATTGCGCAGCGGCTGGTAGGAAGGTATCTAACGTCAATGTTGGTTCGCGTCCAAACAGAAGGTAAAATGGCGAGTGCCCAGCAGTGTCATGCCGAGAGGAATTGTATGCGAACGTCACGTATGGTAGTGCAAGGTCCCAATCACGATGGTCGGCCGAGACGTATTTCGATAGCATGTCTGTCAGGGTGCGGTTCAAACGTTCTGTAAGCCCATTTGTCTGGGGATGGTACGATGTCGTGAGCTTATGTTGGGTGGAGCAGGAACGCAGGATATCGTCAACCACTTTCGAAAGGAACGTACGGCCTCGGTCTGTCAGCAGTTGACGAGGAGCTCCATGCACTAAAATGAGATCACGTAGTAGAAAATCAGCGACGTCTGTAGCGCAGCTTGTTGGCATGGCTCGCGTAACTGCGTAACAGGTCGCGTAACCCGTAGCCACCGCGACCCACTTGTTTCCGCAGGCAGATGTTGGGAAGGGACCGAGAACGTCCAAACCAACATGGAAGAATGGCTCCGATGGGATGTCGATGGGCTGAAGATATCCAGAAGGGAGTCCCGACGGCTTTTTGCGACGCTGGCAAATTTCACAAGCGTTGACATAACGACGTACAGAGCGTGAAAGGCCAGGCCAGTAAAAGCGGCGGCGCACACGGTCATATGTGCGAGAGACACCAAAGTGACCGGCGGTTGGCACGTCATGGAGCTCGCGTAGGACTGTGGAGCGCAGGTGCTTTGGTATTACCAGAAGTAGGTCGTGACCATTGGGCGATAAATTACGCCGATATAAGATGCGGTCCTCTAAGGTAAACATGCGAACAGAAGTGTCTTGCGGTGAAGATTCGAGCTGTTGTATTAGGCGGCTGATATCCGGATCGCGACGCTGCTCGTCCCCGAGATGAAGCACCTGGGAGATGGAAAAGACGCAACCCACATAATCAGTGCTCGTAGGATCGCAATCGGCCACAGGGTAGCGTGACAGACAATCCACATCTTTGTGCAGTTTTCCTGATTTATACACTACGGTGTAAGAATACTCCTGGAGGCGGAGTGCCCAGCCGGCGAGACGACCTGTGGGATCTTTGAGGGAGGCGAGCCAGCAAAGAGCGTGGTGGTCGGTGAGAACTATAAATGGTCGGCCGTATAAGTAAGGGCGAAATTTCGCGACTGCCCACACCAGCGCTAGGCATTCGCGCTCTGTGATGGAATAATTACGCTCCGAGGGGCACAGCAGCCTGCTGGCATAAGCTATCACGCGATGCTGCCCACGTTGTCGCTGAGCCAACACAGCGCCTATTCCGTAACTGCTGGCATCTGTGCGGACTTCGGTCGGTGCCGTAGGGTCGAAGTGAGCCAGCACAGGAGAAGTGAGCAAAGTGGTCAGGTCGGAAAATGAGGCTGCTTGCGAGGGACCCCAGGTAAACGTCTCATCTGGTTTGAATAAATCTGTTAGGGCCCGAGCGATTTCCGCGAAGTTCTTGATGAACCGCCGAAAAAAGGAGCAGAGCCCCACAAAGCTGCGGACATCTTTGGCAGTTTTTGGCACAGGAAAGTCCTTCACAGCTTGAACTTTTTCTGGGTCAGGCTGTACGCCGTAAGCGTCAACAATATGTCCAAGTATTGTAATGCGACGGCGACCAAACCGGCACTTGGATGAATTCAGCTGAAGGCCGGCGAGACGGAAGACATCAAGAATTTTCGACAGTTTCTCAAGGTGCGCTTCAAAAGTGGGAGCAAACACGATCACGTCATCCAGATAACAAAGACACGTAGACCACTTGAATCCATGGAGCAGGGAGTCCATCATTCGTTTAAAGGTGGCGGGGGCATTACATAGGCCGAAAGGCATGACTTTGAATTGGTAGAGGCCATTGGGTGTTACAAAAGCCGTCTTCTCTCGGTCCATGGGGTCCACAGCAATCTGCCAATAACCAGAACGAAGATCGATGGAAGAAAAGTAGGCGGCACCATGGAGGCAATCAAGGGCGTCGTCAATGCGGGGTAGAGGGTATGCGTCTTTCTTGGTGATGTTGTTAAGGTGGCGATAGTCCACACAAAATCGCCACAATCCGTCCTTCTTTTTAACTTATACCACCGGGGATGCCCAGGGACTGGAGGATGGTTCAATAATGTCCTTCGCTAGCATCTTGTTCACCTCCTTCTGAATTATGCTCCGCTCAAAAGCAGACACTCTGTAGGGACGGCGGTGAACAGGGTTGGCATCACCTGTGTGTATGCGATGCTGGACAAAGGACGTCTGCCCAAGAGGTCGGTCGCCAAAATCGAAAATATCCTGGTAGGCCTCGAGAAGATGTTGTAGGGCTTCAACTTGCGGAGGCGGAAGATCAGTGGCGATCATGTCTACAATTTGACGGCTGCCCAATGTGTTGTGAGTGATGTGCGCTGCGGTGAAACAAGGGTGTCTAAGGCAAGCACTTCAATTTGTGAATCGAGCAACGGACACAGGTGGGCCACGGAAATGCCTTGTGGAAGCACATGATTCATGTAGCCGAAATTTACAAGTGGTAGACAAGTTTTGTTATCCGTGATGCTGAGCACCGTATAGGGCACTGCAACATTGTGCGCAAGGAGTACGTTGCTGAGAGGCATAGAGTAATAGTCACCGTCGGGCACAGCTGGTGAGCACAGAAAATCGACATACGTCACAGTTTTGGAGGGCAGGTGAACAAAGTTGCTGCATTGTAATCGGCATGTAAGTTGGTACGGGGCGTCACTGATTTGTGGCAGCTCTAGGCGGAGCACACCAGTGGAGCAATCAATCAGAGCAGAATTGGCGGCAAGAAAATCAAGGCGTAGTATGAGGTCGTGGGGACATGTTGCAAGCCCGGTAAAAAGGACGACCACTTGATGACCGGCTACGGTAAGTTGAGCTGTGCACATACCGACGACAGGGACTGTTGCGCCATCTGCAACTCTGACGACACTGGTCAAGGGGGGCATAAGGACCTTCTTCATGCGACGACGAAAACGCGAACTCATAATACAGACGTGAGCGCCCGTATCTATCAAAGCCTCAACAGGTGTGCCATCAACATATACTTCTAGGGTGTTCCGGTTCAAACGTAAGGGCAACAGAGGATTTTGGGTAAGGTCGACAGGGCAGCTTCACCTCCAGAAGCTGCACAGCCTAGTTTTCCGGGGACATACGGCGGTTAAACGATGGCGAGGAAGGGCGGCTTTGAGGCGGTGGCAATGACGGGACAGAGTGGCCGTAGTCCGCAGGGGCAGTAAATGCTGTAGACTCAGTGCGGGTCGGATAACGGTGGTTTGGTGGGCAGAATGAGTTTCTGTAAGCGGGGTACGAGCCAGAAGATATAGATGGCCATTGGCTGCGGCAGTAACGAGCGATGTGTCTTGCACGACCACAGCGGAAGCAGATTGGCTTATCATCAGCTGTTCGCCATTCAGACGGGTTCCTGGTTCAAATAGAGTACGGGCGGCGATGTCTCATGTCCACAGAAGCTATCGAGGGACCAGTATTATCTAGGGTAGGTGCAGTGGACAGGATACCAAGGTTAGCGAATTCCTGGCGGACAACAGCCTGGATCAGGGCGACAGCGGGTGTTGAGGCGTCTGGCAACGTCGGTTTGTTGGCAGCCGGGTAAGCGGCCTCGAGTTCACGTCGGACGATGCGCGTCACGTCTTCGGTCATAGACGGATGACAAGGAGTGGCTTCGCAAGACGACGTTGCCGCGGTGTTGGGTAGGCGCTGAAACTGCTGCAAAATGCGTCGACTCTTCACCTGCTCGAGACGGCGGCACTCTTTGATCATGGCGTCGATGGTCATTACGTTGGTAAATACAAGCAGGCTGAACGCATCGTCGGCGATTCCTTTTAAAACTTGCGAAATCTTGTCAGCCTCAGTCATGTTGGGATCCGCCCTTTGACACAACGCTAAGACATCTTGAATATAAGTCAAGTAGGGCTCAGTGGACGTCTGTGTACGTACGGCCAATTGCTTTCGGGCATCAAGCTGTTGACCGAACGGGTTGCCAAAGAGGTCGCGGAGCTGTTGTTTAAACATTTCTCAGCTTGTGATTTCGTGCTCATGGGTCTCAAACCAGATGCGAGGGGTCTTGTCAAGATAGAAAATGACATTCGCAAGCATAACGGTTGGGTCCCAGCCATACTGCTTGCTGACGTGCTCGTACATACGAGCCACTTGTCCACATTCGCGTTTTCCTCTCCAGTAAAGGTACCGGGATCACGGGGTTGCGTTAGGGCGACGTACCGGGTTGCTGTCGTTGCTGAGGTAGGTGGCGAAGCCGTATCCTCACCCGGAGCCATGGTAGCAGACTTAAGGAGGCGTCCACTGCGTAGCTCCGTTGTCAGAAGAGTACCCAGCACTTCCACCAAAATGTTACGTGAAAAATAACAGTAGTCAGTCTACAGCCTCAGCGCAGCTGACCGATAACGTCCACTTCTTCACTCTCAGTCTGAGGCACCTTTCTTGGTTATGTCCCACTATGCCCTGTTTCAGTCAGCTTAAATCACGTAACAATATTAATCACTTGTGAAAGGCACTCAAATCCAGCCCCCTTCTTTAGCCAATTGCTCACTATCGCACTGCTCTCCTCACAACCGACTAGCCCAAACTTCCACATTGCTCAATAGGCTTGATATGGTTAGATTTAGTACAGGTGAGATGGGTTGCGCTAGGTGAGGTGTGCCATACATGGCTTTACACCCCAGGAAAGCCAGCTAAACACAAATTGACAGTAGCCTTCTTCCTCGAGAAGCTTCCTCCAGAAGTAGCCAGGCCAATCCGACAAAAATGTCAACACAGAAAGCGCAAGCACAAGCATGCTAAATTCTCCGTTTGCCTACCTCGCAGCTTGTTCAAAAGTTGACCAGCACCCAGGCGGAACTCGTCATCGGGATCCTCTTCTTCCTCCTCGTCTTCTTCTGCAGTAAACGTTGGAGGAAAAAAAATGAAAACTGTAAGTGTTTGTTTGTTCCATCAGCTTCACTTGACAATAACTTCACTTGATAATAAGCAAAGTGCAGTAGTAGCAGTTGAAATGGCAGCGCCATACCTTGATATTCAATCTCCTCTTCCAGTTCTTTCATGGCAGCCCTGTCATCTGCAGCAGCAGGCTTAGCAGCTGGACTGACTATGTCATCCTGTTCGACCAACCAAAGCATGCACGTTTTAAAAATGCATAAGCTTGTGCGAATATTCAAATGCTTTGAATATTTTAACGATTATTGTAGCATTAGAATTCACTTTGAATGAAATTTAAATTATTAAAAATTTCGAATTATTCAAAATGAACAACTAGATGCATTAGTCTGTATGTAACATCCTGTAAAGGTAATTTCACTGCACTGGATGCGTGATAATAAACTGTGCAAGCACCTATTCAAATGCATACTAACTTGTATGTGACACCCTGTAAAAGTGATTTCACTGCAGTGAAGTGGTGCTAAATTGTAAAAACACATATAAAAAAAATCTGCACCGCTGCAAAGCCCCACTTCAAGGTGAAATGAGGATATAACCCTCACACTAATTAATTTTTTTTTTCATTTTAAAAGCTCATAATAACAACTGGCATGCTTTAGGTAGAGGAGATTTTAAAATGCAACATATGGGCAAGTACATGGTACTTCCTGTATGCATGTCCCCTTCACCACGTCCTTTTACTTTCCCTGCCTTTCATGACTGTTATGCAATTCTGGGGAGAATTTTCCATGACTGCCATTATGGTCAACACTCCAAACCTGTCGCCGTGTTTGTATGTGTGACAAAATGAAAAACCTGCCACGAGGCAACGCGGCAATGTTAATGGCTGTACGATCGATGCCAGCGAAAGAAAGTAGAGCGCGTCAATACTGAACCTAAGCTGGCAGTCTAAATTTTGCTGCAAAGCATGCCAGAGGCTACTGGCAACGACACTCACCTCGTCATCGGAGATCACGTCAGGCTTGGCCTTCTGTTGACTACTGTAGAGAAACAAAAGAAAAAGCAAATAATCAAGAACGAGGCCCAAAATTACTTGCACTTATGTCCTCAACTGAAAGGCAAGTTAGAAAACGCTAGCGACTTTAACGAACACCTGCGTAGCCAAGATGCAAGAGGTAAAAAAGAATTCGATTGATATGTGGGGTTTAGCGTCCCTAAACCACCATATGATTATGAAAGACGCTGTAGAGGAGGGCTCGGGAAATTTTGACCACCTGGGGTCCTTTAACGTGCACCCAAATCTGAGCGCACGGGCCTACAGCATTTTCGTCTCCATCGGAAATGCAGCCGCTGCAGCCGGGATTCGATCCCGCAACCTGCGAGTGAGCAGCAGAGTATTATAGCCACTAGACCACCGCAACAAGGCAGTAAAAAAAAATTAAAGCAGATTAAATTTTCACCCCATCTTTAGGCATCAGCAGAATTTTTTTTCACGAGGTGATGGGTGGGGTGAGAGGGGGGGCGGGGGTGGCAGGTGAAAAGTCCTGTTTTATCTCGGTGTGGGGGAGCACTGGGGTGGTTTGGATGGGGGGCAGTGTTTTTGTGGCCGAGGGGGATGCAAAAGCCCTTTTTACAATACCCCCCCTTCCCTCTTCCCAATCGGTAATGCACATGCCCCCGAGACCACATGTAGCATGCATGTCAAAGCTCTGTATGACCACAGACATATAAAAGACCTTGTTTTGCAACACGCTTCTGTTATTCAGAGACGAACGCGTGCCCTGCCTTCGACGTCAGAAATGGTGCACACACGTACAGGGCAATCGACTTGACTGTCGACATCAGTGAGCTGAACGCGCCGGCGGGAATGGGTAGCAGGCCGCGGGTCCTCTTTTTCGGCGGTTCGGAGACGACCGACTGCGTTTCACTTTTGTCGGCCTCGCTGGCAGAAGGCTGCGGCTGCTGCTGCAAATGCAGAAAGTAAAAAATTCGATAAAGCCCACACTGGCAAGAAAAATATTGTCTCGCTTGTTATTAACCGTAGAGGCATTATCATTATTGACATTAATCAAAACTAGTGAATAATATCCGAAGGTCGCAGGTTCAGTACCTGCCAGTGGCAAGCAGCCATAATTATTCGTTCACTTTACTTTCTTAATGTCTGTCTATACACTCAAACCTCAATATAATGAACATAGATACAATGAGATATTTGCTATAATGAAGTAAATGAAAAATAGTCTCGTTATAGATACAGTGTCAGGAATAACCTTCATAACTAATTTTGGAATATAACAAACTTATTTTCTTGTAAAATGCAACTTTGCTATAATGAGGAGTGAGTGTTTTAATGTTATGATGAGGTGTGAATACACCTAAAATACAATAGCTAGTTTCCCCTAACTCTCGCTTGGCTTCATTATCTGCTAGTGTTCATCAAGGTTTTGGGGAATAGAGAAACGAGCCCTCAAATTTTTCTTCTTTCATTTATCATCATCATTAGTTATTCTGAACTACAGAACATGGCATACTTCCTTCTAAAACAAGAACCGATGAACTGTAATGATATTTAAAATGGTGTCTATACAACCTTATCGGTAATAAGAAGTAATAGTGGAAAATAGTACAAAATAAGACAGAAATCAGCAGTGCACCCGTCAGCAGCACCCGTGTGGTGCGCCCGGAGCTAGTGCTCCCTTCCAGGGTTGCCCACTGGTGGTTACTTTTCCCCAAATTGGCGAATTTTAGAGGCCCGTGGCGACCTAAAATTATGAATGGCGACATGAAGAATTTTCGGCGATTTTCGGCTTAGTTATGCATTCTACTCAGTGTCTTCAAAACAAGTGGGCGACAACATATTTTCTCATTTTTGTAGTTTGAGACCCACCAAAACAAGGCATTGAGTACGTCTGCCTTGCTTCCTCTTGTGTATTTCCTCAATTCACCCAGATCCTGGAGGCACTGGCACACTGGTGCGTCCGCCAGCAACCTCCCAGCAAGATTCAGATCAGCATACTGCTTCCCGTGCTGCCAAGCAGCCCGAGTTATCCTACTAAGTTTTTCGCTTTAAAAGCTTTAGGGTTCTTTAAAGTTCGCTTCAGAAATGGCTAGGTGACAGTTAGGCTGCGTGTTTGGACCGCAGCACAAACTATCCCGAGTAGCTTGTCTATTCATTCACTGCTGTAGTACCCCGTAACTTGGTATGTAAAGCTTAAACTTGTTATTAACACTCTTCTTGGGCTGGCTAAAAAATCGGGTTCTTTAGGCAGGCTTCAGAAACTGCACTGAGGTGAATGTGTAGCGTAAACATGAGCACAGAGAAAGCGCAGTGCGGGCATTGCGACGGGTGCGCAGTACTTTCGAATTTGCTTTCGTTGTTTTGTAATTAAGTTTGATTATTGGACACATGATGCCACTACAATGGTATTCTCTAAATCTGCAGGAAGGCTACGCACGCAGTCCCTCTCTTGTTAAAGTGACCGTTTCTCTCGGTATTCGCTACGACTAAAACCAACAGAAACTTTTGTTATGAGACGCTAGCATTCAGGGACGCTCCTGGTGAATGCATGCCCTTTCTTAGTGCTTCCATGATGAAGCGGGTGATGCGAATGGCATTGAAAAGCATTGATACGATATAATTTAGGAGACATGAATGGTACCGTACTTCATGAGGCTATACATGCCGTAATTAGCAATTTTTATTTCTAGGCATGCCACTCATATGTAGAGTGGCGACTATTTTGGCAGAATTTGAAGAAAAACGGTGACTTTTGCCAACTTTTCGCTTGTCATTGAGCAAATTTCACTCAAAATCTAATGGCAACCCTTCTCCCTTCTCAAATCATCCGTCTATGCACCTGCACCTGCCAGATGCAGGTGCAGATACAGGGCATTCTAGCTTTGTTAGCAAGTAGCTTCAAACCGGCACGTACTCCAACACACACTGCACGGCTAACTCATCCAAGAGAAACAACACAGAAGCGGGATGTCAGCAAGGACGGAGGCATCCTGTCCATTAAGCAAGAACTATAATTAGTTACAACTTTCCTTAGCAGTACTGTGGAAGCTATGGAACATAAACACTTGCCACTGCACACATCAATAAATAGTACCTATATTTATTTTCCAATTTTCAGTTTATGTCTAGCTTGAATGAGTAAAACTTTTTTCACTATAAAAATAAAACAAGTATAGAAAGGCCTTGGTAGAAAAAGAAACACTCGTTGATTTGGGGGCAACATAACATTTTCGACACGCCTATTCTAGCAGTAAACATATTCCCGATGCTAGCTGGATGGACCATATGCAGTTGCAAACTCGCCGTTCTGTTCTCTGAGAAAGACATTCTCCATGTGCGACAGAAAGCGGCTGTTAAAGCAGGCCAAGCAACTGATCTGCAACATCTGTGCTGGGTTAGGTGCCGCAAGCCTGAATCATCAACAAATGCTGTTAGCAAGCGAGTCCGAAACCAACTGAAATTGGTTGCAAGCTGCCGGACTGCTTGCACAGTAACACGAATGCGCAGATGTTTCGCCCCTGTAGGCTTCACACCTCTGCAAATATGAGTCAATCGTCTACGCCGTTTTCAGCTGGTTTAGAAAACAAAGCTGCCTGCCTCACCTCAGAGCTCTCCTGCTGCGGCTCGCTGGAGGGGAAGCCCAATTCGCTGTTGAGGCTCTTGAGGACATCGTAGTTGATCTTGTTGGAGATTTTCTTTTCCTGGAGCATCTTCTCGATCGCCTCGCCAGCGGTGTTGGCCTGTATCGGCACCCTCTTCCGGCGCTTGCGCTGAACGAAAAGGGAGCGGGACAGCAGCGATCAGCAACAAATAAACACCACTGCGGTTTGCATCGATGGCGACAAAAGGTGCAACACTGTGCCCAACAAATGCTGTGAAGAGTGACACTCCAGGAAAGAACAAAAATATTTGCAAGTTGCAATGGTTCTTTAGTTCAGTGTCTATTAACATTTATATTAGGCACTAGAGAACGATACGATGCTGTGACAGCAGTGAGAATTAGTTTCAGACACAGGAGGTGCATAGTTGGCTTGGCTGTGAAAGAACAAATAAACCAAGTGGATCCTTTGACTAACTGATTGATCGATTGATTGAGCTTGGCTTCCTCAAGTGACACAGAGGCCATAGGAGAATCTACAGTAACCTACTGCATATAGACACAGCCAGTTAGGCACTGCAGCACTTCATACTGATTGACTGTGACATTCCACTTAGTTGGCTTGGCAATAAAGTGATGATGGTTTTATTCCGCTTAGTGATTTCAAGCAAACAAACTTGGAAGCAATCCTGAAAATAAATATACTACAAGTAGCATAAGACAAACATCCACAGCTTAACCTCATCTTGATAGAGGAGAGAAAATTAAAACCAACCTTCTTGGTCTCTGGCTTGTTGGCATTCTCCTCAGCTTCTAATGCTTTTCTTGCTTCTTTTTCTGAAAAATATGTGGAAATGAGATACTGCACATCACAGTCGTGCGGCTCATAAACAAAAACATTTCAGCACTAACTCACGAAGTTCCCAGTTTTTTCATACCTTTTCATACCTTTTCAGCCTTTTCATACGTGTCTAATTGAACATGCATGGTAGAAATGGTACCGAACAATACCACTCAATCTATGCCCTAAAACTAAAACCGGACAGCAAGAATCAGATGTGTGAAACCTATTCTGTGCTTAACGAGAACAAACAGACAATAATGCCACGGAAGGTGTAGAGGATGTTGTTGGAAGTAATTGTAATGTAAATGTGAAGAAAGCAAAGTGGACGAAAAAATAATTCGCCGAGGGCAGAGACCGAACCTGCTACCTTTCGAACAACGCGTCCAATGCTCTACCAACTGAGCTACCACGGAAGCTAGCCCTCGTTCACTTTATGGGGTATATCTGCACATCAAACGTGGCAGCGCCACTCAAATGTACACTTCTTTAATCTGCGGTTGTCACCCTTGTCTGTCTGCAGTTGTCACGTCTCTGCCTGTCTTTCACAAACTATTCCATTCTCCCCTACTGATGGCACAAGCACCCCATTACGTATTCTAATAGTCTGATTGCCATAACAAGGTCAGAATTCAGTCAGCGCAAAATCACCTTCTTTTCACTTTCTCCAATTCTGCAAACAGCCGAAGGCTGAAAGTGCCTCCACATCTCTATCGCTCTTACAACTTAAGGTAGAGCTTTTACAGACACTTTACACAGCTTGATTATTTTACGTGTTTCATTAGGTTCGTCTTCCACTGTTCCACTCATTTCGGTCTTTCAATAGTTCATTTATAAACTCATCACTTCATCGTTCAGTAACAACATGTAGATTTTTTGTATTATCAATATTATATTATTATTTTGTATTATACGATTTTTATTTGCATGTGTTTTACGATTCTTGATGCTGTGAACAAATTTTGTAGTTACTTTTTTTTTTTCCATTCCAGCTAGCCCACTTCAAGGCGCGAGGCTTCACTTACCACGCCGGGACTTGTGCTTCTCAGACAGAGGAGTCAGCCCCCAGCCTTCACTTTTAGAGACATTTTGACTACCTTCAATGAGATCACGAAGCATTATCAATTAGGCCATAGGTCCTTTCCATTACAACACGAAAAGTTGTCTAGGCCACAGGCAATCTCTCTTCGCATGCTTCAGACGGGAACATACCCTAGCCTCGTAACCTATAGCCATTACTCTGACGATTCAGAACTTTGTCCAGACTGCCAGAATCGCAGTGATTTTAACCACATGCTCTGGAGGTGCCCCTCTTTACAAAGAAAAAATAAGAGGAATTTTCTGAAAACTCCTTTCATGTAATGCTCACGAGTCCAGTTCTCATACACAACTCAAGGCTGTCCAGAAGGCCCACGATGCGGCGGTGAGGCTGGGCCTCTCCGTCCCAACGTGGGAGAGGCCCGCGATCCTACCCCTATAAAATGGGGGTGGAAGCCTTCAGGACCCCAATAAAAGTTTTTCATCCATCCATTTCCAGTTGCCTCTGTGGTGTCAATTGACTTGAGGCATTAGAAATGAATGAACAAATAAATGTAGTCGTAGCAGAAAACAGTACAATACAACAAGCACAAGAAAGACCAAACAGGACTGTGTGCAGCTTTCTACTACGATTATGTACCAACCAGACTTAGAAAATAAACATCAAGCATTCATGCCGAATTCATCACAAAAGCAGTTCTCAAAATTTTCTAAATTGCCTACCCTCCATCTCTTTCAGATACTCCGCGTGGGTCTGCAGCCAAAACTTGGTCTTCAGTCGAACTTCGGCGTCCTGTCATGATGTACTGCACACACAAACAATGAAAAGTGAGGTACAAACACCGGCATATGAAACGAAACAATCCCAGTGGTACTCAGTAAAACAAGCTACACAAGCAGTAAGGTTAACAATGGTTCGGTCAGCAAAACTGCAACCGAGGGACCAAGTGAATACAGACAAGGAGATCGCTGTACTAACAACATTGCGTTAGCTATGAACTAACCAGCTCCTCTGAAAACCGCTTGGATGATGGTGTTAGCACATCTATTTCAGTACAACCAGTTGTCCACATTGGCGAAAATGTGTTTGAACTCGAACCTCAATATGACGAACACAGATATAATGAAACATCAGTTATAACGAAATAGAAAGAATAGTCTTACAATAGACATATTGTTAGGATTATACTTTTATAACAAATTTATGAATAGTAACAAACTTATTTTTGTGTAAAATACAACTATGGTATAATGAGGTTCCAGTGTATTATCCGTATTCAATTCAAATCATTCCGCACTGCCTCTTAACACACAATCGCACCTCACATTGCTCAGACAGCCTAATAAGCTCTGTATATCGTGTAGAACTGCTGCCTTTAATTAATCCTATAGTTTCTTATTCATATTTTATTCATTTTTAATTCATTAGCTTATATTCTTTCTAAAGCTGTAATAGGCAGCAGGCTCCATTTCGTTTTGCAGTGTAGTATTCCTCCACAGCATAAAAAAAAAGGCAAACTGCAAGAGAATCTACTCACACTATCAAGTTCTTCGTCATCGAGCCCTTCCAAGTCCAGGACACCCGTCTCCGCTGTTGTTTCTACAATTAAAAAAATGCAACAGCGAAAGACAGAGTGAGCACTGATTACGCACGATTCTTATACTTTCGTACATGGCAGAGCCTATCATATACTTTCCGTACAGTTCATGTTCTTTGCACGGTGCCTAATTTCAGTGACCGAGCCCGCATATTAAAACTTAATTTTATAGTTTTTATATTAGCTGAACACACGGCCAAGTTAACTTAATCGCTTTTGTTTTTTATGGTAGTGCATTGCAGTAATGTTTTACTGCAGATATTTCCTCCCCATGTTTTCACACAACCTCAGATGTTTTTATTGTAATATAAATCTCTGTTCGAGCCAGGCACTGCAATTGTGCACGGGCTCAATGACACCACTGGAGCAAAGCGAGGAAAAGCAGCTGTCCAATGAACATGGCAGTGGCGTCTTGTCTTTCAGGCGCATCCTATTGCTCTGCCTAGAGCAGATGCACCATCTACTGCATTGCGTGCGTGAAATGGGGCATTAGACAAGGGGTGGGTAGGAAAGAGAAATATATAGTGGTAGGTCATGTAACGTTAAAATATTGAGTTAATACATCTGTCATATTATTGCAGCAAAATGAACAGAAAGGACTAAAAAAAGCTCATCCTTGCTGTCTTGTTTCGTGCTAACTATTCATTGCGCTGCAGTATTTCGCAAAGATCAGGTGAGAATGCCATAACTCCCTAAGATGGCCTTTCAAAGGCAGTTTCGAAAAGAGAAACAACATAAGCAATTCAGTTTCCTGGCAGTTTTCTGGAAGCTTCTGGCTTGCGATCATTCCTACAATCATTCTCACAAACATTTCCACAAACATCCCCGCACTTCCATGTCAAATAAACAAGCAAACCGAGCTGACCTATGGCGTCTCTGACCCTCATGCACTCCTCGATGCTTTCTTTCAGCCCTAACGTGGCCGCCGTCGGTCGTAAAGAAGTGACGATTCTACTCGACTGCTCAGGCTTGTCAGGCGTCAAGGCACTCTACTTCGTCCTCGTCAGACACGTCCTCATCTCGCAGTGCCAATCGATCAGTGACTGAATCCTCTGCTGCCAATCCCGATGCAGCAGAACCCTCATTGCTCTGCCGAGTGTCGTCCAGGCACGCGTTGATGGTCTCCATGGTGTTGCCCATGATGAACTCGCTCGATATTCGATTTTCTTCCTCTTCACTCAGATGGTCGTCTTCTAATGGAGAAAAAACAACAAGCAAGCAAACAAAGTCAGCTGTCATCAAAGGAAGGAACCATGCAGCAACAAAGTAGCACCCAAGCTGCCGAATGCTTTATGGGTCAGTAAACAAGCTTAGACTGTTTTTTTACATCACTCAAACAAGCTCGTCCATTCATGCAGACAGCCACAGCGATCTCATTTTATGTGTATCACAGCACTACACACCGCACCCACCAGAGCTCAAATCATCGAGTGCTCTCATGAGAGCTCTGCGATCACCCGCGATGCCAGCGTGTATCGTGAGTTGAGGAGGCCAGGCAGATGTGAGACGGAAGGTACGATATAACTGTCCGTAGCGCCTTAGTGTATCGAGTGCTGCCAAATTTAGTTTCAGGATCTCCTTTAAGGAATCGAGAACGTCGGTCTCACCTTGAATGGATGCGGCGAAACGATTGCGAACTTTTCGCCGCCGTTCTTCCAGCTCGGCCTCGATCTTTTTCTGGAGCTTTGAGATCTCCTCAGACACCTTTTCCATGCGAGCCTGCTCCTCGAGGCTCTGCTTCTGCTTCTTGCGCGCTGCCTGCAAAGTGTACGACAGAACGGGAGATTGGTTTTTCAGGCTTACGGGACAGACGCTTGTTTCGGGACAGAAAAACATCAGTGGGCGAGAGCCGGGGCCAATAAGTGCACACTCGCCTTGAAACAGGGAGGGTCTTGCTCTTCTTCCAGGTCGATCGACATGAACTCGTCGAGCGTCAGCTTGCTCGACGGCGTCTCTCCAAACTCTGTCAACCTGCGCAGATATTGATAGAAGCATGCAAATATTAAAAAACGCCAAATGTTGAAATGAATGACACCCTCTTCAAGTCAGTATTGTACACCAATAGACACTCATTCAATTCATAAGCACGAATACCTTCAGAATAGTTTAAGAATATTTCAAAGCGCCCACGATAACTGATAATCAGGCGAGGTGGGCCATGTCGGAGGATGACGTACTGTAACAAAAACGACGAGACTTCACCGGCAGTTGCGGAGGGGACGGCCGCCGTCTCGCAGTAGCGTGTGTGGTAGTCGACGCAAACAATTATCCATCGGTTGCCCTTAGCCGATTTTGGGAAGGGGCCCAGAAAGTCAATGCCCACTTGTTCAAAAGGTGCGCCTGTAGTAGGCATCGGCTGTAGAAGACCAGCTGGACCAGTTGATGGACGTTTGTGACGCTGACATTGCATGCAGCTTGCCACATAGCTCTCAACAGACTTCTGCATACCAGGCCAATAAAAGCGTTCTTTAGTCCGGTGAAGCGTCCGCGCCAAACCTAAATGTCCAGATGTAGGGTCGTCGTGCATGACACTCATAATAACTGTTCGCAGGCTCTCCGGGACCACTAGAAGGAAACGCGCGCCGCTGCTGGAGATGTTCCTTTTGAACAACAGTCCATCACGCATACAGAAACGGCGGGCACTAGTAGAAGCGGATGCAGGGGCGAATAGTGGTGCCAGTTTAGCATCCTTCCGCTGTTCTGCTCTGAAACTGGGATAGTCCGGGAACGTAGGCGACACAGACGCTACAAGCTGGTCAAGGTCATCGGATTCACAGTCTGTTGTACTAAGTGGCATACGTGAAAGACAGTCCGCGTCAGCATGTCGACGACCACTCTTGTAAGCGACGGTAAAACTGTATTCTTGTAGCCGGAGTGCCCAGCGCGCAAGGCGGCCACAAGGGTCACGAAGGTTGACAAGCCAACACAACGAGTGGTGGTCGGTTACGACTGTGAATGAGCGTCCGTACAGGTAAGATCTAAACCACTGAATTGCAAATAATACCGCCAGGCATTCTTGTTCCGTAACAGTGTAGTTTTGTTCCGGCCTGCTTAGGGAGCGACTTGCGTATGCGATGACGTGTTCGCGGTCGCCGTAACGTTGTACTAGGACGGCTCCAATACCTATGCCGCTAGCATCTGTATGAAGCTCTGTCGGAGCAGAAGGACTGAAGTGCTGAAGGACGGGTCGTGACGTCAGCAAAAACTTCAATTGACAGAACGAAGAATCACACTCCGGAGTCCACTCAAAGGAATTGTCCTTTCGTAAGAGGCATGTGAGAGGATACGCCACGTCGGCAAACTTCGGAATAAAGCGGCGGAAGTACGAACAAAGCCCCAGGAAACTACGAAGCTCCTTGACGGAACGCGGCGCATTGAACGCCTCAACTGCTGCTATCTTCTGGGGGTCAGGGCGGATGCCATCCTTGTCAACGAGATGCCCGAGCACAAGCGTCTGGCGGTCTCCGAAGTGGCATTTCTTCGAGTTTAAAATTAGGCCAGCGTTTCGGATGCAGTTCAAAACAGTATCCAGACGAGAGTTGTGTTCACTGAACGTGCGGCCAAAGATGATGACGTCGTCGAGGTAGCACATGTTCCACTTCAAGAGCCACGCAGAATGGTGTCCATAAACCTCTCGAAGGTTGCCGGTGCATTGCACAGTCCAAATGGCATTACGTTGAATTCAAAGAGCCCATCAGGGGTTACAAAGGCAGTCTTTTCCTTGTCCTCTGGGTGCATCGGAATTTGCCAATAACCGGATCGTAAGTCTACGGAGGAAAAATAAGAGGCCGAATGTAAGCAGTCTATTGCGTCCTCTATACGGGGCAGCGGGTATACGTCCTTTTTAGTCACGGCATTCAGTCGGCGATAGTCGACGCAAAATCTCCAAGATCCATCCTTCTTCTTAACAAGGATTACTGGTGCTGCCCACGGACTGGCTGACTCTTGTACCACTCCCTTTTGCATCATTTCCTGCACTTGGTCGTTGATAATTTGTCTTTCTGACGGGGAAACACGATATGATTTTTGGCGAATCGGACTTGCCGCGCCAGTGTTGATGGTATGGCGCGTTCGAGACAGGGGGATAGGGATTACTTTGCCCTTCTGCGCAAAGTCAAATACCGAAACGTGCTTTAAGAGCACATTCATTAAAGTTCGGCGCTCGCTTGAGCTAAGCGACTTATTTATCGTGGCCATAAGCGCCCCGTCTAAATTGTGACAACCAGTTCTGTCACGTTCTTCCGGCACGTCTGTGAGCTCGACCACTGATAAGGTTGCGTGTTCTTTGCTGACCGAAGCTAATTTCAAACCATTGGGTAGGGTCACGGGCTCAGAGGAACAGTTTACAGCCCATAGGCCAGTTCTTCCGCCATCAATCAACACCACACAATGGGGAACCAACACATTCTTCTTCACGCAGTTTATGTGCATTGGTTCTACGCTTGCATCGAAGCTGTCAGAATCAGCGCCGCGACAAACAACAGGAACACGTACGGTAGACAACGCAGGTATGAACATATCGCCACAGACACACAGCGTAGTTTGGTCATTCGCTGGAGTTTCCAGAAGTTCTGAAGGCATCTGGCCACTCACAAAGACTTTCCCCGTGCGACAGTCTACAGTGGCACCACATTCTCGCAAGAAGTCCATGCCGAGAATGACATCATGTGTCGACCGAGGAATAATCGCAAACTCTGTCGTTATCATAAGGCCTCCCAAAAATACCTCAGCACTACACACACCAATAGGGCGCAATGGCTCTCCACTCACTCCACAGAACGTCGAAGTTTCATCCCAGGTAAAAACAACTTTCCGCCCTAACACGTCTTTAAAAGAACCACTCATCACGGAAATCGTTGCACCTGTGTCCACCAACGCCATCACAGGCACATGATCCACCAAAACACGCACTTTGTTTTTAAACATACACACAGGAGGTATTTCTCTTAGTAGCACGTTTCCAGCGACCTCACCCCCATTGGCCGCGCTGGCTAGTTTTCCGGTGGCGAAGAGGGCGCTTATAATCCACAAACGAATAAATACAACATGGTGTGGAATTGTGATAAACAACATGCCTGTGGGCATAGAACACAAGAGCTTTTATATAGTACAGGTATTGGCAAGGAAGATTGATAGTTTACCGGCTGTACAAGAATAACTAACACTAGGAAGGGTTGTTCCCGATGCGCCTCATCCTCCCTTTTGTGCTGAAGTTACAAAAACTAGGGCATAGATGCCATTTCATAATAACAGCTGAAACAGCTGTCCAATATTCACACACTTGAGGAACTCACCTGAAAGGATATGCATACTCGGTACTGAAACGACACGTGAAATAAAGACACTTTCCAAGAGAAAGTATGCGGACCAGCACCAACCCACACTCATTATTAATGAATCAAAAGCATTAAACAAATAGAAAGAGATATGGGACCAAGAACATATGCGAAAATACAAGGATGAGATGCCCAACTACACATGTATACCAAGAAACAACACCTTCTCTCACATGTACAGGTCCCTCTTCTTAACAAACTGCACAGCAGTTTTTACAAGGTGTGCTGGCACCAGTTTGCCCCACTCTATACGTACGCTAAATACTATACAGGCCGATGAAAAGGTCACTGACCAAAACATTTGCCTTCTCTGACATAGCAGAAGCTTCGAGTACCAAATGTGTGTTCGTACTGCCACCTTCTACTACTAATCACAATCTCATAAAGCTGAGGATCGCAAGTGCATGCGCTCGTTTGCCCCCCTCCCCTTGTGACCAGAAATGACAAAAACGTGCAGGGAGCTTTTACCCCTTAACTATTTTGATATTCTGATAAGCTCGGTCCTAATAATGTTTCACTTTTCAAGTATAGGTACTGAACATTTCTCTTCTAAAAGGCAAGTTCTTGGTGTCGAAAAAAAAAAAAAAAGAACCACATAAAAGCGCATTTACACTCGAGAGACACGACATCGATTTTGGGGTGCGGGTTCTCTTTGGGAGAGTCTTTTGTCTTGTTGTCGGCTTATATATACCGCAAAGACACAAACAGTCCGCCGGTGGTCACTCGAAGACTCTGCCCACGCCTTGTCGTACTCACAGTCTTTCGTTGGCCAATTCTGTAGTCACATTGGAGGCACACGCAGAGACACAGCGACACGAACTAAACTTGCACAGCTGCACTTCATTTCTAGTCATGCTCCCTGCTCTGCCATTGTCCCTCTCCGGTTATGCTGTGCAGCCCCTCCCCCCCTTCCTGCGTGATAGCCATAATCCACCATGATGGGGGTGGTTAGACACAATAGGGGAGGGAAGAAAAGCTTTCGTTGGGTGCTCCTCCAAGATTGCCGGCTTCTTTTCGCTCAGCCGCAGATCTCCCAAAGACACGCCACGACAGGTCTGAGGATGCGTTTTGCTGCTGTTTTCAATCTGTCATCATGTTACACTACGATGAAATGCTGAAGCATCATCGTTGTCATCGGCCTAGTGTGACTGCGGGGTCTGGCGACTCATCGGTCGATGGTTTGCGTCTGCCTCGTGTTTTTGTCGAGGTCATGTCATTGTCGTGTCGCTCTAGTGTGAATGTGCCTTAAGAAGTCAAATTAGCTTGAAAGTATGTAGTTCTGATTAATAACGAGAAAAAGAGCTTGCTAATAATTAACAATGAATAAGAAGCACGCACAACAATCCTGTTAAAACTTTCAGCATTGTGAGAACAGTTTCATCAATTTGACATTATTAATCATTCCAACAGCAGCAAAAAGCTTTTCCTACAAATGGACAAGCAACGCACGCGATAACGGTCTCGGGAGAGTTTGGCAAAAAAGAGCTGTGTCTGTCTAAAGTGGTTTACCCAAAAAAGAGCCGATTCGATCGATTCTTCACTAAACACAGGTTGGTTGGGCGTGGTCACTCACCTCTTGCGAATGGTTGTCTCACACACCTTGACGATGCGGACCAAGTCGCGGATGCTGCGGTTGAAGTCATGCAACCGGGAGGCGACGAGGAGTGCAGCGCCGCACAGTCCGGACGGCCGACGTCCAGTGTGCATCCAGTCGCGCTTCATGCGCTGTACCATTCGCAGCGCCGTCATGGACACCTCGTGCGTCTTGTCTCCGAAGTCCAAGTGGTGGGCAAAGCGTGTGATGTACAAGCACGGGTCTGCATGAGAGCAGTAACGCTCGCATGAGTACCACATAAACTCTAACAAGCGTCCAGAGCAAGTGCCCCCTCTTTGGGAGATTCAAATATTCGGCCTCTTTTCCCCACCTACCATTTTCACTGTTTTATTCACTGTTTTTCACCCAGCAAGGGCGAATGAAAACAGAGTATGCATGGGTATTCAATAAAGCATGGGTGTGCATTCTTTATTTTAAGTGGCTTCCTCCGTCATCATCTTGACTTCTAACTCATGATCAAGCACCATCCCCCCGCCCCGGATTTTGTCGAGTTATTTTGCACCGGGAGCAGGACAATGGCTCGGAATTTTACGGTTGAGCGACACGTTTGTGCTGCACTTTGCACTTTTAACTGCCAAGAAAATATATTTGGCTAGGCACCACGATGTGAATACGATGCATGAATAATCCACTTTCTAGTGTGCAACAATCATTAGCAAAAAATGAATCCAATCAACGATCAAGCCAGAAAAAGCACAGGGGCATTATCTGTCGTTATTCGAATGTGGCAAGACTGCACATTAGAACATCTAAGTTGAATGCAGACAAGTTGTTTTTTTGAACTCCAATTGAAAATGTTTTTTTCATACAGATGTCATTGCGTTCACCTGTGTGACAGCAAAGAAGTGACCGTTAACAAGGGACATAATTTGTTAAAGACTACATCACATTTCCCATTTGACGTTGGATGTAGGTCTCTACTGTACTGTTATAAGCAAAACTGCCATGCTAGGACCTCTTAAGAGGCTCGCATTCCAGCCAGACTACAGCTATTCATAGAGGGCTGTCTAGAAATACATATATCTCTCTCTCTCTCTTGCTTTCAGGACCTTCTGAGGACCAATTACAGGCTTCGAAGCAGAGCTACTGTGTTACAGCTGTCTGGAGGAAGCAGTAAGGCAGAAGGCAAGGATTACAAGCAAGCAAGAATTGTGATGGGGCAAAGTTGAGAACATCAAAAGTAACCCCTCAGAGACAACTGCCGTGCTTAGGAAAACTCAAACCCACATGAAGCAAGTGTAAACGCCACCCATACATGCTACACAAAAAGGTTTTATTGGTACGCTTTCATGGATAGTACCACCTGACCAAGCTGCGCATGGACAACCACAAGTACAGTCATGCCATGCACAACACTCAAACCTCATTATTACAAAGTTGTATCTTGCACGAAAATAGCTTTGTTATATCCAAAAATTTGTTATACATGTATATATTTAACATCGTATTGATTGCAAGAATCTTCATTTACTTCGTTGTAACTGATATTTCTTTATACTTGTGTTCAGTATCACGATGATGATGATGATGATAACATAAAGGTATATATTTTATATAAAAGTATATAAAAGATTTATAAAGGTACATATAGAAGTATATATTTAACACTGTATCTATTGCAAGACTAATCTTCATTCCACTTTGTTATAACTGATATTTCGGTATATCCGTGTTCGGTATATCGAGATTTAGGTGTAGCTGGCAAAAAAAGTCTAGCTAGTTGCTATGATTGCATTATGGAATTGTGGGAAAACCACGGGGACACAGTTGCGTATCATCTGTTTAGTCTACATCCTTGAGTTTTTCACTCTATTCTACAATGCATGCTACACACACCTTGCCAAGGCTGTGTGCATAATTGTACATATAACAGGTAGCTACGTTTTTTTTTTTTTGTAATTGATCAGTTACTTTTTCTTTTCACAGTACTGTCATCATTATCATTCAATTAACTGCAACCAGTTGTTTCGTTGACAAGAAAGGTATTACGAAAAACACAACATTCGGTGCTCGAACTTCATCGCAACTACGGCGGCAGCAGCAGAACAAACAGCTTCGTGGTTCGCACACATAAAGAGCAAGCTGACCCACGCAAGGGCTCCTCTGCAATTGTTTCAAACTTTGTCTCGATGCTCCACCGGATCTTGGCTGACAAACGCTCCAACAATAGCTCACACCCTCCGAGAGAGTCAATTTGTCTCATAAAAGCCACCATCTTCCAAATTGCTTCTGTTTTTCGTTTCCTTTCCTGAAAACTTGCCGCATGACACTTTTCTATCATGATTGCAGTCATGCTATCTGGAACTACCAGAGTGCGTAATGGTTAAGCAACAACAACAACAACGACAACAAAAGCAAGGCATGTCCACGAGTGAATGATGATGAGTGGGCAAAGCAGCGAGAATCGTTCGGTGTTATTGTAAACCACGGTGACATTGACCATTCATGCATGAAAATGAGTGACGAAGTGGTGTAACGTTATAAACAAGGTTTATTGGTTGCGAATGGTATGTTGTGTCGAGTTGCGAATTTCGTTCTGCCTTCATTATTACTTCTTTGTGGTATTGCATCCAGCCTGAAGTTGGCAAAGACGAGGTCTGTACATGTTTCCCTGGTGGCTGTTTCCAGTAATACAAAATGGATCATAGAGCATATCGAGACATCATATACCTGCACAATGCAGCCGTTGTGCATGATCATCGTGGTCATCACGGCTATGGTGCACACCTACGGACAGTCCTCAACCTTAAAGGGGCCTGCAACACTTCATGAGCATGGTCAGAAGACACTGCGGATCAGTAGTAGAGGCTCCCGACAACAGGCAAGCCAAATATTATAGCACCCCACGCGGCCTAGAATTCACAATAAACTATTGAAGTCAGCTAAAAATTGCTTTCTCTTCTCTCAACAAATCACGGAATATGCCCAAAAGTCACACGTAGCAAGCCCATCTATCAGCCATTGGCTGATTTGAACATGGCGCGCTAACTCAGTACAGAGATCGCAGCGGGAGACAGCTACTTGTCCACGCGTGATCACACTGAAATAAAAAAAAAAAAAACATGCATTCGAAAAAAAGAAAAGAAAAAAAGTGCTCAAGGTCCCGAGGCACGCATGACGTTTGTCTGTGGCCCTGCCATCCCTCCCTGCTTAGCTTTCAGCACTTTCGTCGGGACGAGAGAATGCAATGGCAGCATGTGGCAAACCTTTGCAACTCCACTCGCGCTGGACAGATTCTTTAAACTTTTGCAGCGTTGAATTCGTGAGGCCATAAGCTCTTCCAGTGAATTCATTCCATTGTTACTTGAAGAAGTGTTTCAGGGCCCTTTTAAGGAGCTTCACCCCCCAAAATTCAGCCGGCTCCGATTGGCTGACACTGATTAAACAGCAAAGCTGGTAGCATGCATCGGGCTTGAATGAAGTGGGCGACTGAAGTGGGAGCAGTGGCGAAAGCAGTAGTGGGCATAGTGACCAGTTGTGGGAGTATTGGGGGTGGTGAGAAAAGTGGCACATATTCGCAGTAGGAATTACCCACAAGCAAGTGGTAATTCCACAGTGGGACTTACCCACTTTCTGTGAGTAATTCCTGCTACAGTCTACGATCTATGATGGTCCCCGGACATGAAAGCCTGAACCAAGAACAGCTCCACTGCTTAAAAAAAGGCCTGGGAGACAATAATTTGGAGTGTTTTACGTGAAAAACCATATGATTATGAGGCATGTCATAGTAGAGGGCTCTGGAAATTTAGATCATCTCATAGAATTTCGCCTTCCTTGAAATGTAACTGCTGCAACTGGGATCACTCAGCATAGCATGCAAGGTAGCCAATGATTACAGCTTTCAGACAAATATGAGACTCGAGAGTTGCTACTTCATTTCAAGCCTAGCATTTTCAGTGACAATATTGGGAGTGCGATATTTATCAACAATAATTCTATACCTTCATTGAAAACCAAGGTACAAACATCGCTGTAGCATGCGCAAATGTCACCGTACCCACAAATCCTCCCTCCAGCACACATCCACATTTAGCATTTACAGCGTTTCTTGCCAACGCTTTAAAAAAATCACAAGGAGATGTGGCCAATGAAATTTACAAGGTGTGAAAGCACTGCACAGAGTAATGTGAAGCAGCCAGGCCTACCAGATGTATTTTATCATTCATGTTCAAGTGGTTCTGTGCCACCCATTGTGCTTCGTAAAAAAAAAAAAACGCATACAGCGAGAAGGAGAGACTGCGAGCGCCAAAGAGTGCAGACGCGCTTCTCGACCGCTCCTGCTTTTATGACCAATTTCACAGTGAAAATCACCACGTGCATTTCTCAGAGTGATATCAAAGGATTTGCCTCATCATCCAGATTCTCAGGATACCAAAGACAAGGTGGGCCAACTGTTTTTCGTCTTTTTATGGCCTTTTTTCGGTGCACACCAAACAAGACGCTGTTATGTTAAGCCCAGCAAAACAGACCGGCTTCCTCAGGGAGCCGACGCTGTAAACCCAATAGAATCCATGGCGTCGGCAGGCGACGTGCAAGACACCAACGCCGATTCTAGGACGGTGGATGTACAAAACGATGATGATGAATCGCCAGCCACTACCGAGAGTGAAGAAGGCTGGCAGACCGTCCACTACGGACGTCGTCGAAAGCCCGGACATGAATCGGTTAGGGACGGTGACAGCTGCCATGGTGCTAACGACAAGGTATGACCCGGCTTTGGTAATATGCAAGCCAAAACGCAGGGAAGATGAATGAACCGCATTGAAAAAGCTAGCAGAATGCCCAAGCTACCGGCGGGAGACTACAAAATTGGCATCCGACCCAGAGGAGGCCTACGCGTAGCCGCACTCAGCCCAACGTGTATAACCACAGGCATACATGAAGCCGCGGCTACACCACCAGAAATCCGGCACTTCGACAAAATATGCCCCAACAAGACACAGTATGGTAGTAAGCACCCCAGATTCCGACCGAGCTGACCAGTACAGAAAAATCAAGAAAATACTTATACGAGGCAAAGAATACGAAGTGGCAGCATATGAAACAGCACCAAAAGATACAGCCAAGGGTATCATTAAAGGAATCCCACTGGAAGAAACTCCTGGTAGCATTAGGGCCGGCCCTTGTCACTGAAAGAAACTTCAGCATAATCACGGCTGAACGACTGGGGAATGCCACAACAGTCATTGTGCTCTTCGATGGAAACAAGGTACCCTCCAGTATGTGCTATGATGGAGTAATAATACCGTGCACACTATACCGCAAGCAAATTGACTACTGCAAGCAGTGCAACGGACTGGGACATAGAAGTGACGTGTGCCCCAACCCCCAAGATAAACTTTGTGCTGATTGCAGCATTCACAACCCCAAAGACGACCACAGACGCGACCCTAGCTGTCAAATCTGTGGAAAAGACCACACTACAGCCGATAAAGGCTGCACGGCCAGGTTCAATATACCTTACATTGTAAAACAGAGACACAGGGCCAGACTACTAGAACATCAAACGCAAAGCTCATCTCCACTAAGAGGACATCCACGGGAGTGCTCAACATTGAGTCAATGAGGGTGGCGACTTGGGCTTGTTGGTATGGTTGCATGATGATAGATGGTAGCGCAGACAACGAACACGGACAGCGCTGTGTTGTGTCTATGTGCCTTCTCTTGTCCGTGTTCGTTGTCTGCGCTACCATCTATCATCACTCAACATTGAGACCCAGAAAACGACAACAAACAAGATCCTCCTCCCGTACAAGGCACCGCAGCCCTGCAAGCTCCGAACCAAGTTCCAGGTCAGGATCGGCGTCTAAGGGACCAACAAACAAGGTGAGCTGGGCATATGGAGCATGCAGCTTGCGACTGGAGGGAACTCAGGAGGTTAAAAATAACAACTGTAGCAATAACAGCACCAGAAGAGCTAGAGCGGCTTAAAGATCAAAACAGGCGAATGAAAGAAACGATACAACAGATGCAAGCTCAAATAGAACTCCTCACTATGGAACGCGAATGCAGCAAACCCAAAAGCCCTAATATAACTAATACGGTATTGCAGGAGGAAACACCCATAGCCGACGATCGCATGATGGTACTACCCCAACGTTAAAACGAAAGGCCAAAGCGCAGAAAACTACGGATCCCCCGAGCACTAAACAAGAAAGCATCTCACAACAAACAAGGCTGGATAACATTGAGAAAAAAGTAGACCAGTTATTAACTGCGTTCCAATCGATCCTGGAAACCACCCCTAAGACGTCTGTTGATCTGATGACACTAGCAGCCAGAGTAGAAACGCTGGAAGAAGGACACAACGCACAAACATCCGCAGACCCTCAGGGCGCAGTCGCAAACGTTCACGAACAACTGCAGGCACCATATCCTCTGCAGGCAACTCCCACGAAACCACCAACCCCTCTCATTCACCCACCTATTTTCACGCCTCCCACACAAATAACGAACAGCGATGGTGAGGCATGGTAAAGGACAACTCCGCATATGGCAATGGAACTGTAGAGGATTCAGGGCTAAGAAATCTGTCATCCAGCAGTAAATCCGACAAGGTAACAAGCCAGATGTTATTTTACTTCAAGAAATGCATGGCCTCGCCACACTACCAGGATACCAGTCAGTAAGTCCTGGGCTTACTCAATCTCTCTAGTTTTCGGGTCATGGTGGCTGTTTAAGACAAATGTGCGCGAAAATTCAGGTACGCAGCCACACTTTTTGAACTTCTTACATTTGTCCGCCCATTGCAAAAAGTGTGGCTGCGTACCTAAATTTTCGCGCACATTTATCTTGTACAGCCACCATGACAAGACAACTAGAGAGATTGCGGAAGCCTCTTTTATTAAAAAGAATATTGATAGTTGTGTTAGTTTACAGTCTATATCACTGTTAGATTGTTAAATCTTGTTTCTGGACGACACATAATCATGATGGAACCTTCTCTCCAGTTTTTTTCCCTTTCTCATCTTTCTGGTATATAATTTTTTCTCTGAATAAACCGAGTTTCAGTCTGCGCTTGTTTGTCTCTTTTCTTGTGTCCCGTTGGTTTGCACTTCCAAGTTATTTCATTATGAATTTGTACCAACTAGCCCGCCTGTCAACCCTTCTGCTATACCTGGAAGGCACAGGACTCACATGCTCCCCAAAGAAGTTGGACCTTTTTCTCTACAGGCCAGCGGTCAGAAACAGATCAACCAAGTCAGAGGAACACAAGCGGCAATATGAGGAAATTAGGATTCATACACAGGAGGGCACAGCTATACCAATAGTCCCAAAAATATGGGTACTGGGATTAGTAATCGAGGATAATGGTGCCACCAGCGAGACTATACGCAGACTAAATGCCAAAGTGACGAATGCGACGAGACTCATTCGCAGAGTCACGAATAAACACCGAGGTATGAAAGAAGCCCACGTAATTCAGTCTAATCGAGACCTTCGTCATAAGTCACATAACCTATGTAGCAGCATACCACAACCGGCAAAAAGCTGAAACTAGCAAAATAAAAGCACTCATCCGGAAGGTCTACAAAGAAGCGATAGGAATACCCGAGTATGCTAGCACAGACCTACTTCTTTAGCTAGGACTACACAATAAGCTTGAAGAGATAATAGAAGCTCAGCGCATATCCCAGCTTGAAAGGCTCACTAAAACTAAAACAGGAAGAAATATAATGAGTAGATTAGGAATCAGTGTATCATGCACAACATGGTGCCAAACATGACATCCTCAATACAATCAGAGCTAGCATCGTCTCTAACCCGATAGCGGAAAACATGAACCCCATTATTAACACATACCGCAGAAAACACCGAGCAGAAGCACTGCTCCAAGCACACGGCACGAAATAGTAAATCTCTCTTTGTAGATGCTAGCCCATACCCTGAACGAAAGGCTCACACTGCTGTTGTGATCGGCACTGTCTGGCATTTGTATTAATGCATGCTCTGTCATAACAAACAATATAGGGGAGGCCGAGTAGGTAGCCATAGCAATGGCTATCACCTCCAACAAACATTCATTCATACTGAGCGATTCTCAAGTAGCCATAAAAAATTTTATGCAAGGACGGAATTTCACAACAAGCCCTCATAATCCTCGTTAATAACCAAGAACTACACAAAGTAGATGAACCCAAATACCTCGTATTGTTCCCGGCACACACAGACATTAATGCATCCAATCTGAACGGGCTGGCTCATGAGCTGCCGCGAGAATTACCCGCCGCGCAACCCGACTACATCGCTCGGTGATTATCCCTGGCGCCGCCGCCGTGCCACACAAAGATCGATTTACAAGCTACACAGAATACATGCAACACTACAGATGAAGCAAGGCGCATCTTTCCCGCACTGCACCCGATTCTAAACAGGCAAGAAGCATCAGAATATCAACAGCTACAGACGAACTCCTACCCAAACCCTGTGCACCTCCACAGGAGCTACCCACTCTTATACCCGGACAAAAAATGTAAGATATGTGTAACAGAAAAGGCGTCTTACAAACATATATTATGGGAATGCCCCAACTTATCAATAAGTTCTCCTGAGGTCCTCCGGGAGGAGTGGCGGCTTGTGCTGCTCAGCTCGGAGGTTCAAGACTAAAAATGGGCTATTTAGCAGGCTGTACAGAGACAAGGTCTCCCAGTACCTCCTTGTGTGGTCTAGCCCGGACCACAAACATGCTGGATACGGAAGTAAAGTTCATTCATTCATACAGCGGTGAGCAGGCGTTGCTATGAACAGCTCAGCCAAATCTCATTGTCGTGTGCGGCTAGGAGAGGTCGCAAGTGGTGCAAGATGTTGCTACTTTTTTAAGCACCTTGTTACGATAAAGAGGCCAATACTCACCATCTCCAGCCGACATAAATTAAGAGTGGCATTTGGTATGCGCTTCCAGCCACCAGGTGCTGCCACTGCACTGTATCATGCACCAAAGTTAATAGAGAGCAACATCAATAGCGAACACAGGAAAAAACGAGTTTCAGTTACGCATCAAGGTGATAATGCTCACTTTAATAAGCTTTCATAACCTTTGCAGCCTTCTAGCATGCCTGTTTGGAGGAAAGAAATGAGAAAGCGCTTAAGCATGCAACAAATACATGCAACTCCGCTCATTCTCGAATGATTCGATAATATTTAATAAATAATATTACAGGGGTTGACTCGCAAGGCACTAAACTCAGTTACTATGACTACATATAAAATTGATAAAGTATCTTTAACGAGGAGTGAAATAAGCTAGTGAAGAAGTCACACTATTTAGCAGTTATATTCACATGTTCAAAATACTCAATTTTTTCAAAGCAGTAATTGCCAACTGAAATGCATTAGTTTTCAGAATTAATACAAGTAATTTACCTTTTCCTGTAAGGTTTACAGGTCCTGGCCATATTCCTTAATGAAACGTGCCCTTAAGCCATGTGAGCATGGCAAGCTTGGAAGTTTTTTTGGGACGTTAAACCCCACATATCAATCAATCGAAGCTTGGAAGTTTTGATGCATTGAGGTAAAGGTGCACAAATTGGCACCACTGGCCTTTGCGACGTGCAACAATCAACAGCAAGTTCATTCGAAAGAAATCCAGGTGACAAAAACAAAAAAGACATTTGTCCACAGCATTGCCATGTTAATACATGAACAGATGCATGTTCATGCAAGCATGTTTATTTTTGCAGTGCATCACAACACCTCAGTGAAACACATGAACACCAAATTGGGTAGATATAGACATGCTATATTTCCATCTCGCAAAGCAAGGAGAAAGACAAACAGTACGAAGGTACTCATCCTCTGAAAGACAACTGTGCTTTTATTTCGTTATGCCACATACTTAAGAATCAATACAGCCATTTACATTCGATCTGCCTTGAACCGACAAAACACTTCAAGACAACTTTTCAAATGGAACAACATAAAAGGCCAAATGCAGAACAATAAAAGTGGGATCCATTCCCTCACTGGTTTTTTCAACCACCTTGTTCCCTCAATCGTGGACCGATGGTGGCAACCCTGGCCATGACAGAAGTGGATCAGCTACTGGAATCCTTTATAACAGCCTTCTCATGCCTCAAACAGCGAAACCGAAACAAAAAGACATTTCACTACTTTTTCCTGCCACCACGCTCCTTGACTTGAAGCACGATAGTCGAATTCGGGCCGAGGTTGTAGAAGGCCAGCGTATTGGAGTCCTTGACGAACATGCCCTCGTACTGGAGCTTCTGCTTTCCTGGTGGCATGCCGAGCTCCTCGTGAAGCTTCGCCTTCAGCACAGACACCGTGTCTGTCAGTGGCAGGGTCATGGTCAGGATCTGGCCATTCAGCTTCCATTCCGGCTTCTCCTGTGCACCCGGCACTTGTACCCGCACCGTGACGGGCCCTTGTTTTTCGCCAGGAACTCAGCCTCGGGGATCAGGCTTTCCTCCGTCTTGGTTTTCTTGCTCGGCGGTTCGTCGTCCGCCGGCAAGCTCGGAGGCATCTCCGGTGGCAGTGGTGCCATGGCCGGAGGCATCGGAGCGAATGCCATTGGCGGATGGACTCCCTGCGGCATGCCCAGCATGCCCGGTGGAGGACGCAGGTGCGCCATCATCAGGCCCTGCGGGGCAGCCATCATCGGGCGCGGAGGCGTTGGCATGGGTGGGTGCGCAATGACAGGTGCCATCTGGGTCCGCAAAGCCGCCGGCGGGATCAGTGTCGGCGGTGCCGTTGACTTTGGCGGAGGTGCCTGTGGTGGCGGAGGGGGCTTCGGTGGTGGAGGCTTTGGTGCGCTCACCGGTGGAGCAGCCGAAACGGGCGGCGGAGGCAAGGGTGGAAGAGGAGGCAGCATCTGCTGCTGGGAGCCGTGCTGCGGCTTGGCTGGCCCAATTCGTTCCTTCTCCTCATCTGGAAGGAGACCCTTTATCTTGTGGATCTGCTGGATTTGCTCTTCGATGGTAATATTGGCGCGGGCAGCACGTGTGGCCGCCTCCATGCTGGCTGTGTGGCCATCCCAAGTCACCTTTAAATGAATGAATATAGAACAGTTGGTCATAAAAAGTGAGAGAGCAAAGCAAACCACCTTCCTGAATGAATGCCTTAGCAACATGTCTCAAACAGGTAAAGCAAGGCTCTAAAGGGCAATGTAAAGCAAGGTAAAGCAAGGCTCAAAGGGACTTGCTGCGCAAGTTTAAGTACAAAGAAGTCCATAAATGAAGTTTCATGGCAATTATTTTTTTAAGCACAACGGAAAGCCTACTGGGCAGTGTCAAATCATGGAATGCTTAAGAGGAACACACCGCAAAACACTTGCAATCACAATTTTACTAACTGCAGCAAATATGAATCCATATAACACATGACAATGAATACAGTATACAGTGTGCATGAAAGTGGTTCATGTTTGAGCTTAGTGGTTTACTGCGCATGCACACACTACGCGCGCATGTGCCCTCTTTTGACATGGTCTGTTAGCAGTCGTGAAGGCAGCACCGCTTCTCACTGTGTAGCTCCTTTAGCTCGTAAGCAGTACAAGACTGGGTGCGGCTGGACAATAAATATTACACACACTCAGATCCTCGAGGACTAATTATGGCACACATAACAGCATCAAACTGTGCAACTACGTGGAGCTAAGTAATTAACTGCAAGGCTCTGCTACTAGGCTGTGCGGCATGCTGGTTATAGTTACCTTTCAAATACCACTTAATAATATAAATCCTGCTTAGCACGTGAAAAGAGTGCTTGAATCCGTCACTATAACTCACGGTCTTTTCATTTCTATCGGAATCTAATCACACATTCTAGCCCCCAGTTGTTAGTCCCTTTAATATCAGGAAAAACCTTTCCATAACTGGACAGCTAATTCATCAGAGGCCCCAATTCAACACAGCAGAATTGGTTAGTCAATGTGAAGAAGTTTAATATTGTATCTCAAGATGCGCAAGAGCGCTTGATGTTGCTGAAGTGGGCAATTATTCAAGTTTAATATATGATATTCCCTAGTGGTCACTACGGGTAGGCGCGACCTCAAGTCCGATTCATAGGTTGTCACTAGAAGGTAGCTGTCAGTTACGACAGCCGTTACCAATCCCCAGGCCACATTACTCCCGCTAGGTGTGGGAGCGTGCTAGTCCTTGATATTCCATAATGTTTAAGCTTGAGTGCAAAAAGTAAAGTTTTCTTCATCGTTTCTTTGCCTTCTGTGCAATTTTCGAGCTGAACATTTTTGAACAATTTTTGAAGTTGAACATTACTCCTAATTCACTGTCTCTGTAAAACCATGCAGCCAAGACAACAGAGTTTCAAGGTAGACGAGCACCGAGACTGGGCAAAGGAAAAACAGACGCCGAGAAAATTGAAGCGAGTGAGTTATCCATTCTTAGTCTGGGCACTCATCTACTTTCACATTTAGTGCCGAAACTCGGGCGTGTCAAGGAAACATTGGAAGGAACACAGCGCAGTAAAAGTTGGAGACAGGCAAGGGTGACACACACACACGGCGCTGCGTGTTCATCACCCTTCCCTGACCTCATTTATACTGTGCGGCGTTCCTTCCAATACCTTAAGTCGCACTAAACTCGCCCTAAATTCTCGTGCTTATGAAACTGAGCACGAGGTTTCTCACCTTCTCCTGGGGCCGCCTGTCCTCCTTCGCCGATTTTCTTTCCGATGGCCGTCTCCTCGTCGCCGAATCCGAAAATATCCGTACGACGCTCGGCGAACTGCTTCAGGCTGCTCTCGATGGCCGAGCCAGGAGCGAACACTTCATCCTGCTGCATCTTCTCCTGGAATGGCGCGGTCGCGCTGTTCCACCCAGCGTGGGTCCAAAAGACCGATGCGCATGTGCTCCTGCATCTTGTCAGCGGGAATCTTCTCGCCTGTGATGGGAGAGATGAGGTACTGCTCAGAAGAGGGCTTCGCGGGCTTGCCACCCTTCGGGTTGTAGTCCTTGCGCACGACGACCTTGTTCGGGGTTCGGAGGCAGCGGAGGGAGCTGAGGAGGCGCCTCCTTGGGAGGCTGCGGCGGCGGGCTCGGAGCCCGGGCCGGAAGACTCGGCGTGGTGGTCGTCGAAGTCGTTGTTGACGTCGTCGTCGTCGGCGGCGGCGTGTCGTCCTCGTCTTCCTTGTCGCTCGCTCCTCCGCCCTCTTCGTCGGACTCGACCTCCATCTCCACCTCCTCTCCCTCTTCCTCCATCCTCTGCTGCGCCAGCACCCGGGAGCCGACCTCGTCCGGGGTCGTGGGAGGCGGGAACAGTCCCTGCTCGTTGGGCTGGTAGTCGACCGTCTCTACAACGACGAAGTCGTGCCAGTCGATCTGCGCGTACTGGACGCGCTCGCGCTCGGCCTCCTCCTCTTCGCGACGCTTCTGCGCCTCCTGGAGCTTGGTCCACTCGACCCGGTAGCGTACCTGGTCCAGGATCGACTTGGGCTCCTCGGACTCGCGCTTGAGCCGAGGCATCAGGTCCTTGCCCGGCACCAGGATCTTGGTGTACTGCTCGAGTAGCTTCATGAAATACGTGAAGAGGCTGTGTTGGGGGCGCAGGAAGTCGAACTGGTAGTTTCGCTGTTCCCGGTTCATCAAGTTTGTGAGGAACTGGCGACCGTTGCGAGCCACGAACTGGGCGGTCAGCTTGACGATGTCCAGGTCGAGCGCCGAGATTGACGGCGGGTCGGCGACGAACTCGAACTCCGGCGGAGGTTCCTTGGGCACGATTGGTTGCTCGACAATCTTGGAGATGAGGTCCTGCTTGGAGGCCGGGGCGCCCGACTGTTGCTGCTGCTGACCGGGTTTGGTGGGTGTCGGAGCGAGCGCCAGCTCCGGCTGTATCTTGCCCTCCTTGGCTTCCTTGACCTTGTGCTGGTAGTAGGCATTGTACGGATCGCCGGAGTTCAAGAAGTTGAACTTGGAGTTGTTGATCTCGTTCTGCCTGATACGAGCCTCAAACTCGGGCCCGTTTCGCGCTACGAACGCGGCGGTTTTGTCGACAATGTTGCGAAGCTCGGGCGGCGGGTAGATGATACCGATCGTCGGCGCCTTAGCGGGGGCTGGTGGTGCTGGTGCCGGCGGTGGTGTTGGCTGTTCGGGCACCGCTGGCGCGACCGCGGGCGCAACCGCGGGCGCAACCGCCGGTTCTTTCAGTGGCGCCGCAGGTTCGGGGGCTGCGGTCTCCGACGCAGTCGATGGCGCCGCGTCCTCTTTGGGCGCCTGCTCCTCCATCGGAGGAAGCACGACGGCATCCTCCACGGTGGGCGGCATGATTTCGCGTGCTTTGATCGCCTCTCACGCCGTTATTGCGCGATTCACTATGCGAAGCGCACAAAACAACACACGCTGGACCAAAATGGCGACGTCAAGACTGTTTATACAAACAATATAGACGTCCACAACGATGCTGTTAAACGCACGTGACGGCGATGTGGTAAGCAGCGCCGCCACACATCCTCTCTGAAACTATGGCCTTTGCGATCACTTCCGCGGTCACAGACGGATCGTGGAAAAACCGTACGTTCAGACTCGAAGTTTTATTTGAATATCCACACGGTATCACAATTGTTGATGCAGATAGAGCAACAGGCGGGTCCGAAATCGCATACATCAATGCAAATAAAAACTATTTCCTGTGCAAACCATAAGGTTTCCAAAAATTAACGTACATTAGGAAACTCTAAGGTTCAAACAGCTGCGAATCTCAAAGGCCTAGTGTCCTCATTCATCTATCACGATAACTTTTCAGCAGAGACGATTACAATCCGCAGTCTCGAATCCTTTGAACAAACCGCAGAAAAAAAAGTATTACTACAATCGAAAGGCAATATTCTAACGGTGCACAAAATACAACGTGTTACAAACAACAAAGTAAAAGCGATATTACAAGCACCAGCCCGAAACGCGGGAGGTTATCAGGAGAGAAGGTTAGAGTGCACGGAGAGGATATGCCCGCGCTGCATTGTGGGTTTTTGGTTCTGGTTTCCTAGCAATAACAAAACAAATAAATAGGAAGAAACAGCAGAGACAACGGCCGCAACAACGCAGAGGCCGCGAGCGAAGGAGGGAGGCCTCCGCAGCCGTGTTCAGGGCTCAAAAAAAGAAAACGAAAACCAGCTCGACAACACCGCCGCAGCTTCAGCCCGCTCGCTGGCTCCCCCTTTTCTCGACGTCGAAGTCTCGGGCATCGGGGACGGTTCCCATGGATCTACTAAGTTATCGCTGAAGACTGTCGTCCCACAACGACGCGAAGCCGTCTCGCCGAGAAATGTCGGCTAGGGCGACGCGACGACGCGAGGAGTCCAACAACAGCGTCACGACGGCGAAGCAGTGGACCTTCCACGGTGAGTGCTAACACTCGTGCGCCGCGTACACTGCACACACATCGGGTAGTTACACTCTACCTTGGGGCTCTCTCTCCGTAATTTGTTCTTCTTTACCGTGTCTATTTTGTTGCAAGGGACTCCAGGTTTCTTAAACCGTCGGGAGATGTAGCCCCCACAGTATACGATATCTCGCGTCGGGTCACGATACTCGTGTTACGAGAAGTGCGCATAGTAGTACGCGTCTCGTTCCAGTCCTTTTTGAGGCATTGGTTCTCCGCACATCCAGAAACCAAATGTCCAGATGGCGGCGGGTTCAGGAGGAAAACGGTACCGATATATTTGTCGGAAGTTTGTTTATTATACACTCCGCCACGAGACGCGTTCCGAGCACTTGTACGAATTCAACGCAAACTTATCGGCGCGTGCGTTTCACCCGCAGTGTGTATATACGCGCTCGAACATTTGTATTTTGCGCGAGCCAGCGCGTCGTTAGATCGTCGGTAGCTACAGCGTCGCTAGCATCCTAAAAGGCAAACCTACAGACTAACCAATATGTCTCGCATACACATGAAGTTTCATTCTAACTGGCGTCCGATACGGGACATGCATATACATAGCCTAATAGATGCATGCACTCGTAGAATTGCGAATATCGTCTGTGTTTTATGTATGTTGTATAATAAGTAACGCTGCACATAGAGGAGTCATATACTACGTCTAGTATTGCGTGATAACGTTGCGTGGAGAAACGTTTCACGGCGGAAAAATGGTTTACGTCGTGATCAACACGGACTATTCTTACACCGAAACCTGCAACACGTACTAGTAAAGGTACGCGCTACGCCGTCAGGTAATTACCGGTGACAGAGGTGCCCACTGTGTCGTACGGACACTGCAAACGCCACTTCCTCGCTTTCGACGTTTCCCCTTTCGCAATGTAAAGCCCCTAGAATTTCGTGTGTTGGGGGCTTCATGAGCTCACTCGCGCCAACTAAACGCGACGCGCCCACCCTCGCGCCGACTCATCTACTCGCGACCTTGATCGCTCGAACAACGAGGAGCGTCGTCAGGACGGACGTCGTCGTCTCGGCACGGGTTTGCTTGAGTAAACACTTCGCAGTGGTGCGACGAGTTGTGTGCCGTACGTGCGCGGACTCGTCAAACGGCTAAAATCCGCGCAGGTGGCAAACTTACGAAGCAAAGAAGCACATCAGCTATCTCAAAATGGAAACACGTTTTTTTTCTGCGGACGTCCCCGTAAATACACCTACGGAAGCGACGTAGGGATTGCGAGATAGCATCGCCGAGGTGACGCACGTAGTTTTCAACGCGCAAAAGTTGCCGTCGCGACGTAGGTAAGAGTCGGCGTTGTCGATAAAATCAGCGTGGAAGAAAAAAAGGCAACCTCGGTGCTCTCTCTTCCTCCCCACTTCTACGCGGTCGTGTTGTGGTTATCAGTAGTTTTTCGAGTGGTGCTGTTCGCGACGACCCCAAACGGCCTGCGACGACGCAGTCAGAGCGAGAAAGAAGTGCACGAAGAAGTCGTGCGTGACGACGATCGAGTTCCGACGCCCCGGCGAGAAAAAAAAAAAAAAAAAACGGGTGTCTTCACGCGCCAGTTTTCACTTTTCGTCGGCGTGACAACCTCTGCGTCGTCGTATTCTTCTTCCTCACGTGTCGCACGTGTGTGTGTGTGTGAAGAAACTGACCTCGATTGTGGAAAAGTAAAAAGTGAGGAAATTTCCTCTCTCGCAACCACGATAAGCCAAGCTTAATTCCAAAACTGCGGACCTGTTTACGAGCATTTCTTAATCCACACCGGCCTCTTGGCCAATCGGCGATCGAGGAAGATGAGCGTGAACAACCGTCGGAACTACGACATCATCAGGAACAGCACGCGAAGATTTAGGCCAACAACAAAGTGAAAAGAAGCTATGGCCCGCACAAGACGGTCGTACCGTGTGCAGGAGTATCGAGGTAGGTTATTTGGCTACGCTAGTTATCAGCGCTGACGTTGCCAAAGCATACACTGCTTTGTATGGTAACAGTTACCCGCCATCCTATCTACTGCTCGCTTTCACGAGGGTAACTTTCGAAGTGTACCCACAGTCACGCCTAATGACCGCATAATATACCCCAAAACTGCCAAGGCTGTCCCACCCCAACAGGTGACCCCCACCGTACCATAATAAGGAGGAGGGGGAGCTAGCCTTCAACTGCCACTTTATGAAAGCAATATTCAGTAACATGGACACATGATCAATGAACAGTGGTGGGTAAGTGGGGTCCTCATCTCCCCTTGTGTTTAGGCCTTGTGTTCAGGGGGGGAACCTCTTGCAAGTGTCCTCCCTTGAGAATTATCTTTCAAACATTACTCAGCCCAATGACTATGCGAGCGGAATTTATATCTCGACTGTCTAGGTGGTCATTACACATAGTGTACAGAACAGTTCGTATTGAACTATCTTGAACGCGTGTTTATTTTCAAGTGGCAACTACGCTCATACTATGGGCTCTTTAATACCCCTGTCACACGGGCGCCTGTGAACACCGTTTAACTCCCTCGTTCATGACAAGGGAGATGCGGCCCGCGTCACACGGCCACCCTTACGCAAACGAAGGTAAATGGAGCATTTCACAAAGGACGTTCGACATCTCCCTTTGCAGCTGAACGAGGTACTCTCGTCCCCAGTATATGCAGGTCAGAAGAATATTGTGAGCACTAAGTTGCCGCAGTGAAAACAATATACATTTTGGCAATAATAAACGTTCTTTTGTTACAGTACTTATTCATAACATGTGTTTCTTTACATATATATACGCCCATCAGAGTTCAGCTACTCTCCACACCCATGCCCTCCACACCGTGCCTCGCTTGTCGGGCACTGCCATTTAAAAATATTTCAACCGTGCGTGCGGTTGTTGTCATCGCCGTGCTTACGTTTGCTCGTGGGAGGAATTACTGACAGCATTGCATCATCGTCACCTGCTTCGACGGCTGCAGGGGTGATGCGACTTGATCTAATTCAAGGCTAACTTACGGGCTAGAAAAACAACTAGTCGTCGAGCACGGCGCAATAGTAAACAAACATAGCGTTAGGCACAAGGTGGCCAGCGTCGCTGCCAGCATCGCTACATTTAGCGAATGCATTTTAATTTAAAAGTTTTATTGCTATCTTTGCTTCAGACCTACTTAATGTGGTGTTTTTTTTTTTTTTTTACACCATAACAAAGATTCCCCCTAAAAAAAAGCAACTAGAGATGAAATTAGGATACTTCTGCAAAAATTAACAGTGCCGGCAGAGCCGCCCCTCGCAACAACTATTACAACCTTGTCATTGCTGTGTGACACTGCCACGATTCCGTCTCCGTCGAACTCCCTAGGGGAGATTTACGTTGACGGAGTTTGGTGGTGGCCATGTGACAGGGGTATAAGACTGCATTGAAACTGCAACTGCCATTCGACCTTGTTTCCAAGAAGACTCAATAGCACAATATGATCACGCGAGCTGTGAGCCTTACTGCATTCTTTATTTCAAAGCATGATTCAAAATTTTATATCGTTAAACATAAAGACTATATTCATATGAACAAAACGGCTACCATAGCAAGATCTGTTTCCCCCCGTGCGATTTTCCTGGACTTACGCCACTGTTAGTGAACACAATATCATATTTTAAGCAACCTTTACCCCTGTCACACGTGACAACTTAAATGCACTTCGAGTGTCGTTTGCGCGCTGTCACATGAGCAAGTTTAGTGTCACTCGCTGCAAAAGTACACTTGCCGGCAAGTGCGTCCCCCAACGTCACTTTGCTGCGACGAAAGTGTGTAGCCTCAGTACCAGTGGCTTGCACAGAATAGGACTGTTGCCTAAAGCGCACTCATACCATTTTTAAACTATTCTTTTCGTTATAACGGATACTGATATGTATTAAAACAAGCCATAAATCGGCAAAAATTCTTGCTGCTCTCACCCTCTGACCAGTTTCCGGCCACGTCCGCTAGGTGGATGCAGCAGCACATGCTGTGAAATGGCTGCCATCCGCCGGGTTGTTTACTTTCAGGCACACTTGCACATGTGTAGGCGAGTCGCTCTCAAGTCGTTTTATGATGGCGTGTGTCACTGGTGCTACTTCAACGAAGACAACGTGGTCTGACGATGACACACGGGTGTAAAAGTAACATATATGTATTCCGCTACAAACAGACTATTGCCACTGTTATCATTTCCAAAGTACACTTCACTTTATCGTGTAGCAGCGAACAGTCGAAATGACACTTCGTAAGTACACTCGCTCAAAGTGCACTTAAGTTGCCACGTGTGACCGTGGATGCACGGCCATCATAAGAAGTCTTGTGTGACCTTTCAGTATGCAGCTTGCGTACGCTAATACACAGGCCAGGAGCCCAAATACAGGCTGCCATGCTTGGGCTGCAAAGTTCTTTCAGCTTCATCTTGCATTTCACAATCCCTGAACTGACGAGGTCAGCTGGGTGTCTGTAAGCTTTACAGAAAAGCAAAAATTGCAAGCCCAACTTGTGAACTACCAACTACGTGCCGCTTTAGTACACATATACAATGCCAAAGAATAAAGTGGCAAATGCATTCTTCCACAAATATGATTTTTTTCATAAGTAATGTTATTTCTCATTTGCAACTGCTTCCAAATGGACAGGTGAACAGATACACTTTGCACCAATACTGGGGGGGACAACGTCAAATGTTCGAGCTGCTAATCGTACTGCCAACCGGCTGCAAGAATGTGTTGTGAAAATAGAACAAAAAATGCACACTTCGTATGCACTTGCATTTACCAATATAGTTTATGATCTATATTTCAACCTATTATTACAGCTACATAACAAATGTTGAGAGCTACCCAACAATTTCATGGTCTTTGTGCAGAGTACCAGGCTAGTGGGTATCAGGGGAGCTTAGACCTCATTGGCAGATAGTCAAAGGCTCTGTAACATCGCTACCGTGTAACTGGGGGCAGTTGTGGCGGAGCGTTTTCTTGTATAATTTTCAATGAATTTGTGATGTTGGCAAAATTAAGGTCAATGCCATCAGTGTACCCTATTCGAGAAGAAACAGCCAAGGAGGCACAGTCTCGCACTGGATATCGACATTGTGCTTGATGCATGTGTTAATCGAGTTTTTCATTTACAGATTAACTTGTCTATATCAAATCTGAAATGGTATAAAAAAGAGACCTATACACAGGTAATCTGATAACTAATTTTCATTACCTATCTGAAATATATTCAAAGACGTATTCCAAGTATTCAATATGTGCAGCTTCCACTGCATGCGTTCGATTCTTGCCTTCCTGATCTATGTTTAAGTGGAGGATAGATGAGTTTAGCAGAGAGCAGGCTTGCTAAGTGGAGGCACTTGCGCGGTTCAGATCCCCATTCTCGATTTTATAAACTCCCCTTATTCTTTTCTCTCCCCACCTCTCCTTTCATCAGCAGGCCAGCAGCTGGGTGGTGGGGGCGGCGCACAGTCACCCACCAGCCCCACGCTGCCGCCGCAGCAGCCTCCGCAGCAGTCCGTCTCCCCGCCTCCATACTCAGTGTCCCCGCCGCCCGCCTACCTGCAGTGCCCTAGCCCACCACCGGGACCGCTGCGGTCTCCAGGTGGCTCCAGCAATGGGTCTGCATCGTCGTCGTCTGCGTGTGGCGGAGCGATTGCTGGAGACTCTTTGAGCGTGCCTCTCAGGCTTGGACCTGGCCAGACCCGGGACCCCAACTGGCAGGCGTCGCGAGCCAGCGTGCGGGAGCGCAACGCGGCCATGTTTCGCAACGAACTCATGAGCGACGTGCGGTTTCTGGTCGGGCCAAAGGGGCCCCAGCAACAGGTGGTGCCGGCCCACCGGTACGTGCTCGCCACGGGGAGCTCAGTGTTCCACGCCATGTTCTACGGCGGACTGGCTGCACCGCCTGGTCAGGACATTGAAATACCCGACGTAGAGCCGGCTGCCTTCCTCGTTCTCCTCCGGTCAGTATTGTTGTCTAATGTGGACTTTGTGCAGTAAACATCCAGGCCACGCTAATGTGAGCCATCGCAGCAACTGAGCTGTCATGGTATCAGTGTTTCAAAGGAGGAATGTGAATGTGCACAGTACATTAACGTGTTGAAATTTCCCTGCATCAGTCTGTTGATTGAACTCTTAAAAGCCCTCCATTACGGGTGGCCCTTGTGTTAGAAATCAGCAGAACAAACATTTGATCAATCGGCCAACAGTCAACGAAGCATTGTTAGTTCCTTTGGAAGTGCTTTTCGAACTAATAATTCTTTATGGCCAAAAGTTGTAGATACGCTCCATTTTTAGAGGAATGCAGACTTGGAGGTCCTTTACTCATGAGCTCCATTTTTAAACAAGCAATTATGCATCACATTTTATGAATTCCAAGAAGCTGTCCGCCCAATCAAGCCACCTGCTGAATAATATGCCTCACAAGACCTTTAATTCCTGCAGGTACCTCTACTGCGATGATATCACACTAGAGGCAGACACCGTGCTTGCCACGCTGTATGCAGCCAAGAAATATCTGGTCCCCCATCTGGCACGGGCCTGCGTTGCCTACTTGGAGACCAGCCTGACTGCTCGAAATGCCTGCGTCCTGCTCAGCCAGAGCCGCCTTTTCGAAGAACCAGTGTTGGCACAACGCTGTTGGGAGATCATCGATGCTCAGGCGGCCCTTGCCCTCTCCTCCGATGGCTTTCCAGATGTCGATCGACCCACGCTGGAGGCCGTGCTCTCGCGGGAATCTCTAAACACCCGCGAGGCAGTCATCTTCGATGCGGCCCTTGCTTGGGCTGGCGCCGAGTGCAGTCGGCGAGGCATAGAACCGACCCCTGAAAACCGGCGCGAATGCCTCGGGGAAGCGCTGTACCTCGTCCGCTTCCCATCAATGTCTCTTCAGGAGTTTGCTGATGGTGCCGCACAGTCTGGTGTCCTGACCCTCCGCGAGACCGCCGACATGTTCCTGCACTTCGCGGCGAGCCGCAAGCCCGTTGTGCCGTTCCCGATTCAACCACGTCTAGGCCTGCCGGCGCGCGTCTGCCGCCGGTTCCAGTCGTGCGCCTATCGCAGCAACCAATGGCGCTACCGGGGTCGGTGCGACAGTGTCCAGTTCTGCGCGGACCAGCGCATCTTCCTGGCCGGATTTGGCCTGTACGGCTCGAGCAGCGGCGCGTGCGAATACCGCTCGCGCATCGAGCTCAAGCGGGGCGGCAAGGCGCTGGCGCAGTGCGACACCCGCTTCCACTCGGACGGGTCGAGCAGCACCTTCCGTGTGTACTTCGACCACCCCGTCCAGATCGAGGCCGACACGTACTACACCGCCTCGGCCGTGCTCGAAGGCTCGGAGCTCAGCTACTTTGGCCAGGAGGGCATGAGCGAGGTGTCGGTGGGCAGCGTCACGTTTCAGTTTCAGAGCTCGTCTGATTCGACCAACGGCACAGGAGTCCAGGGCGGCCAGATCCCAGAGCTCATCTTCTATGGGGCGGCCAATTCACCGGAACACACCTCGTAGCTATGGCGGTGGTGGTGTTCATGGTGCGCGAGGTCAACGAGTGACTCCATGCCTGTCTGTTTTTTTCCATGTGTGACCTAAGCGACCAATGTTTTTGTGCTAAACAAGACTGCCCCACTTTGTTGTATCCCCACTGAGTGGACATGGTTTGCGGAGGGCGTACTGCTGAGGAGGAATGCAAGTGCCCACTTCCTTCCTTCAAAGCGGGCCGAATCAGCATGCCCGCAGAACTCATCCTGCCAAACTCCAAGGTGCTCTCTGGACCATTGCCCGACAGTGCAACGCCTTTGGCAGCACTCAGATCATCTCTCGACTAGAGTTGCACTGTGCTGCAAAACGAGTTTGATTCAGGGCCCAATTCTATACAGATTCCTTTGTACCTTTTCTTTTTTTCCTGTGTGAATTTGTGTGTGTTAAATGTTGTGTTTCACACTAATGGGCAGCTAATGACAGACCGAGCCAACAGGTGAGGAGAGGAAACAGACTTTTTCATTAAGCACATAAATTTTTGGACACCAGTACACTTGTACTTGCAAGATAGTCGATGATGCAATAATGACACAGAGGAGCAATTTCGCTTTACTTCACATAAAGAACCACCTCACAGAACATTAGAGTGAGCACTTGTTGCCATTAAATTCATCTGGCTGTGAAGCACAGCAGCCAATGCTCCACTGTTCGTTCTAATCCAAGACGTGTGGAGGAGCCGCGCCTCTTCCTAGCTGTACTGTTTTCAATTGTACTTGTCCAAAAATGTAATAATGCCCTATGTGCAGTTCTCTCCTGCAACAGTGCAAGGTGTTGCAGAAGACTTCTGGCATTAAGCCGCGCCATCTTCGACTCTAAAGGTGGCCATGACCGAGAAGTTTAAGCGTTCCTCCTCGTACTCGGTCTTAAAACATCTCCGCACAGCGTTTCCTTCACGGATGCAATGTAAAAAAAGTGCAGTTGATTTACAGCATGTCATGCCCTATGGGCGGCTATGCGGTGAAAGAATTGTTACGAATACTGTCTAGCTGATGCCGTTCTCTCCCATGCAGCCCGATGTCGCCGAAGTTTCACCACTTTGCTCGGCAAAACCAGTATGAGGCGGAAAACGATAACTGCTCTGCCATGAGGACGTCGGGCAGTATTAGTTTTGCTTTTATCCGGATACAAAAAACTATGCATGAGCCAGTTTCCAAATGCTCGCGAGGAAAGGGTGAATGTGGCGGGAAGCTTTTTGGTCAATGCCCGGGCTGTCCTAAAAGCTTCGTGCAAGCAATCTGGCAACAGTGGCATTGTTACGGAGTTTTTTTTAACCGCGCAAATATTTATTCCACATGCAAGTAGAGTGAAGCAAGTGAGATTACTAGTACACCTAGCAGGTGTTGGCATTAAAACTTCGATGTGCTCTGAAAAAACGTTGCTCCGCTTACGACTTTTATCCACCGATTACATTAAAAGCGCAGCGCTTTATTTACATAAACTAACACCCTTGCCCCACCCTCGGAAACGATTAAAATGCCCCAGCAACTAAGTAGGTCCTAGAACAGCGCTTGTAGCAACCCAAACAGTCAAAGTATTCTGTAGAAACACCACACTTGTTACCGCGTCCAGACCGTTTCTATGTCCACAACGCAATACCTCGTGCGTTTCGCTTACCTGCGTTCCGTGCTCAAAACGAGCGCCGGCCGTTCTTCTCAACCTGGGCGCACCATGTTAGTCTCGCGAGGGCCGCAAGACGTCGCAGCTAACCGTGCTTGCGACTCGCACACCGCCTTTTTGCTCACTGCCGCTTGTATAACCAGTAGTTTTTCGGGTGATCCGTAATGAAATTCGTAGCTATTTTTCATAACCTCTTGTAAGCATACGTACCGAGTAGGCAATAGCGCAGCTAGGACGCAGGCTTTCTATGCTAATGCATTCATTCTTTTGTGATGTCAACTTAATGAGCATTGCATTAATTTTTCAATTGTAACGAGTAGCATGTAGTAGATAAAGAAAGCCACTGGTAGCAGGATACAAGGAAACTGAAAGTAAACTACAAATGGTAACATCTTTGAGCATTTACTGGTATCTTCGATGGCTAACGATTCCTTTGCATTGTCCCAATGACGCCGAACGAGACAGACTAGCATAAATCGATCACTCCACACAACTGCAGGGGTAACCTTTAAAAAACGTTTTGGGCTCCTTTTTCTCGCGATAGAGGTGTACAACAAATACGTTTTTTGCTGTACGTCGTATCATAAAGAAATCGTCTCATCTCTTCTGGCCCCTCTTCAAAGCACATCTTGCCCAAATTTCTGGGGCATTCCCCAAACACGGGCATAACAGTCCTCGTAACTAGGTCCTCTAACATATCGCAGCATGTGTTGGTGTGCAAGGTAAGCGGTAGCAGACTGACATTTGAACCGTCGCCATCCACTGGAATGCAATTGGATTATGCAGGAACGTTGTCACCACATCTTTGTAAGATAACGCTGGGACTGTCACTGCTTTGACTGTTAAAGGACGCTGGACTGCATGAAACACAACAGGTGTGCAGTGAAAAAAGAGAGAGAGAAAGGTGGAATTGCATGGTGTCTTCATGCACCTGACATACTTATAGATGTGGGCACTGCAGATGATTCATTCAAACAAGTATTGTTATCATTGGTCTGTTTGGCACTGTTCTCACGCAAGAAAAAAAAAAAACTGCTTTAAACTGCAGAACACCATTCACCAAACATCTCTGGCTTGTGAACAGCAACAGTTTTGTACACAAGGTTCAAAACTTAATTGGCAAACGGGCCACCGCAAGGTAACCAAACTTTGTTTCACTTCACAACACCTCTAGCACGCTTGAGATATTTACCTTCTATGATTGCTCCCTGAACTTTTTTTCAAATTGATTTTACTTTTCAAAGGGGCCCTGCTACACTTTTTGAACGTAGTCTGTAAACGCTGTCGATATATTGTTAAGGCTCCTGTGAACACGCGAGTTGAACGTGATTGCACTGCGTGCAGCTAAGAACTTCTCACTTTCATCAGCAGTGGCTCCAACTACGCATGCAGCAAGCAAAAACGACTAGCATTCAGCGGTTTCACGAAAGAGCTAATGCTCTTGTAGGTTGCGTGCTGCATTGCTTAGATGTCTCTGTGAGAGTGTCTGAATGAAAAGTAACAGCCAGTACGGTCAAAATGGAAAGAATAAAAAGAAGCTCTAGGACTTGATGCAAGATATGACCCACGCTCCCTTCTGAGGCTGCAGAAACAGTGCCTTTTCTTCACCTGAATGTTACATCAGCTAAAAAAGAAGGCACTCTTTTCATGCAATAAGTCCACCTTTTACTAGATAGATTCCATGTCTCTCTGTGGCAGGGATAATCGTGTGGCCACGAAAGATTGACATCAAGCTCGATGTCTGTCAACTTCGAAAGGTGCTGCAGGGCTCCTTTAATGTGTGTGGAAACTTGCTCACGGAAATGTCCACGAAGGTTGTGACCATCCCTTTTACTATGCGGTAAAATGTGGCTTTCGTTGTGCCCATACGCCGAAATTTTTGTTTGCACGCGACGGGACGGGTGGCGAAACTGTTGTCCCAAACTCATTCCCTCACAAAAAGATGTTGCCTGGGACACCAATACTGAATGACAGCTCTCCAGTTCATCTGTGGGCTGTCTAAGTCGATGGAAGACTTATTGTTGAGCGTGAAAATGCAGTATTTTTCAATCGTTTAGTTTTAACAAAGTGATGAGGTTTGCTCTTCGATGTTCTAGTTAGTGCTGACAAGATCAAGAGAGCCACAAATTGGGCTATCTGGCGGCTGTTTATCACTTTTCGTGCTGAACACCATGAAACGACGACGAAAAACAGAAACATGTTGACAGTGGATGGTGCACCTTGTCTGTTGGCAATGTGTCCCGTCCCCCTTTTCCTACCTCATTTTGTAGTACGTAGTGCAAGAAGTAACCGTGGCAATAAAGAAAAGAAAAACCAAGAACATGATCCAAATTCAAGAAGAATGCTGGAAGGTCACCATAGCACAGAACGTAAATAAAGGCAAGGTTAATTTAACAAGCAGGCCTGACGTGGTTTGACACGCCGCTTTACTTTTCTGGAGCTTATTGGTGTTGCCTCCTGTGTCAGAAGTTCGTTCACTTGATAACAGCCCAGCACTTCTGCTTGTAACGAATACTTCTGACATTTCGATATTTTTTTATCTAAAGTACAAACTTTTGTGGGTGATTTTTGCGACTGTGACATCTGGTGGGATGTGACTAAAGCACTAGCGCTACAAGCCTGCAAAATTTTATTCTTCCTACAGTTTTTTTTTTTTTTTCACGCAACAAAAACGCATAAAAGATAGTTCTTGAGAGCACTCGGACGTAGTTCCTTACAGAAGAAAAATGCCTGAAGGAATGCGTTGACTTTGACATGACAGCGTCGTAAGACAATTCCATCTTTGCAATAAAGCTACCAAATGCTTTTTGAAGAAAACCTTACGAAAATGCACGAACTACAGTTGTGATTTGGGTAGTTTTTGCATTTCTCACTGATCGTTTTTTTTTTGTATGTGTGAAAAAGAAGAACCCTGCAAACCCAAGTTCAGTGTGTGAATTGATGTATAGAAATGAGTGAAGGTTCTCGGTGGACACCAGTGGTTGTCCACGTGTTCCAACTATGCACCGTTGACTGTTTTCCTCCCGAGTAAGACGCCCGTTGTAACGAAAAGGCCAAGACTGAACCGAGCCGTTCCAACCGAATGCAATAATAAACAGCCCACAAAGCTTTTTTAGTCTCTTTCTTTTAGGCCCCAGCCATAAAACCTTTACGCCTCTTCAGTGAACAAATATGTAGCAAGGAAAGAAAATTAGACACCGTTTGCAAAATCCCACTTCATATCATTGCATAAGTGTGAGTAAAAAGAACAACTGCCAGAAAAATTTCATTTTGGAAGAGTAGGAATGGGCGCCCACAAATGGAGACCTTGCCCCGCTGTGGTGGTCTAGTGCTTACGGTGCTGGACTGCTAATCCGAAGGTTGCGGGATCGAATACCGGCTGCGGTGGCTGCACTTTCGATGGAGGTGAAAATGTTCAAGGCCCATGTACTTAGCCATGGGTGCACTTTATAGAACCCCAGGTGGTCAAAATTTTTTTAGCCCTCCACCGTGGCACTTCTAAATCAAATCATGGTTTTGGGACATTAAACCCCAGATATTATTTAACAAGTACAAGTGCTTGGTTGCAAATATGGCAGAAACACCGCTGATAAATGCGAATTCTGACTTGCATATCTTCAAATATTTTTTTTAAATTATTCCTAAAGACCAATAAAAACTTCTTTACACACTGCCTTGCGTGCAAAAAGAAACTGCCCACTGTTCAGTTTTGTTTGCACACCAGGTGGTAACGTTGACTTCCCCCACTCACTCTTGCAGTATATATAAATGATACTCTAACTGACAAAGGTGCAAGTTTTCAGTGGAACTGAGCAGTTTGCTATTGGGTGAATTTGCTTGGGAAGTCATTTCCGCCATTGTAGATGCAGGTAGCAAAGCGGCTTAATGCATAAGGATTCTGGTACCGACTCAACGAGACAACTGTACGTGCAGCCATCTGTCCCTCTGTCGCATAATTCAGTCGACGCAATGAAATTAAAAAAATGAATTTTCTTGCTGGTGCTGGGGTTCGAACCCAGACCGCTCTATGCTCCAAAAGTGATCATCTTCAGTGAATGCGCTAACAACCATACTTGCAGCATGTGAATATATCTAACGTATGAACACACTGCACTCGAGGTCAAAAACAAATTAACAACACTTTGTATGAGGGTTTCATTGAATTTCATGATGACGGAATAACAGTCGTTTGCGGGATGAGGTGCAGAGCCATCATGGAGGATCACAACCATCATCGAAATTTGCGCTTTTGAAAGTGTAATGCCAAGACCCTCGTTTCGGTGATAACATGATGTTCCTTCTGATAAGGCCATTCCAAACGCTGACGAACGTTGAGATAAATGTCAACAGCTCTCTGTTAATGTCACAGTGTTCTATAGATGGCCGAAACCTATGATAAGACTTCGTGCTCATGCACAACTTCCAAAGGAGATTCTGCGTATATTTCCCTTTTGCTTTCAGCAATGGAAGAGTGCTGGCAACATCAGTAGGCTTGTGCGAATATTGAAATGCTTTGAATATTCAAACAAATAATGCAGTATTCCAATTTGCTTAAAATCGAATTTAATATATTGAAAATTTCGAATTATTCGAAACAAACAAATAAATGCATATTATTCCGCACCTGTCACCCTGTAAAGATGGTTTCACTGCAGCGGAGCGGTGATAAACCGTGAAAACACATATCCATGAGAAACCTGCACTGCCGCAAAGCCTCCCTTCAAAGTTAAATGAGGATAATGCCTTGACAGCAATTCATTTTTTAAGTTTTAAAGCTTGGTATGCCAACTTATATGCTCTAAGGGTAGCAAATTAAAAAATAACATATTTTACAGGCTATCACTTGAAATTTAGCGAAATTCGAATGATGCTACCATTCAAGGTTGTTGCCGCTTTATTTGATGGGAAGAAATTGTATTTGCACAGGCCTTGTCTCAAATTTTTAAGTATATCGTGCGGCTTTCTTATGTCATGACAAGTATGCCTTTTTTTTTTTATAATATGTGGTATATATGTTATTCGATTTCAATTCGAAATTACTTGGCCAAGGTCGCTATTCACTTCGAACCTGAAATCCACTATTTGCACAAGCCTAAACATCAGAGCTCAGCATGGCAGCAGCAGTAGTAAAACACATCTAACATGTTCTTTCATGATACCATGATAAAAAAGAGAGAGAGAGAAAACTGGCCGATAATCGTATCACATGGCCATTTCATTAATTTGATAGAAAGTGCTGGTAAATAATAAAACAAACGCATTGCCCACAGCTCTCCCTGCAAAAAATTTTCTCAACAGTTTTAAGACCTGAAGAAGCCGTTGATAAAATTTTGGCATGCCTTTCACACCTCTGCCAGAACCAGATCATTTTCAAGCACTTCGATAATCTTTTTGACAGTTCACATCACCTAACTCGCAGGCGCACCTCCTCAGCAAATCCAGCACAGCGACAGTTTGCAATACATCAAGCAGAAAAGTTGTGGGAAGGACATAAGGGAGATTTTAGTACACAGATGTATGCAGATTGCCGACACCAGGTGGCAGAAACGTTATATGCGAGAAAAACATGTGAGTGAGGAACGTACAAGCTGGGTTCAACACTATGTATATCTTGCTGTCAAGCAAGCATTATAGAAAACAACGGTGACGGTGCTACGATAAATTTTAAGTAGCTGAGTAACATGTCAGTTTTGTACAGTTCCCTTTGTTTGAGAGCAGATGAGAGGAGATTAGCTCAATCGAAAACTATGTGAATGCACCGTGAAATGTGCACACTTGTCAACAAAAAATAACGATGCCCCAAAAGTTGAATTAAGCGAAAACTCGTTTCCTATTTGTCTAGTAAGAGTTCCAACGTCCACCAAAGCATAAATGTAGAAAGAAATGCAGAATGCCAAGTTTATCCACGGAGCGATCAGAAATGCTTTACATCGCAGGGAAATGTATTGCTCAATGGTTGATTTCTTAGTGTACAGCTCGAGAAATGACATACCACACATATGGCAGCCTAGGAAGACCTCTAGTGGGTGCATAGTGTACGCCCGCGTTGCTCACTCCTGAAGAAGGAGGCAGAAAGTCCCCTTAGCTCATCGAGCTAAGCAGTTAAGCATATCGCTGTATAGCAGGTCTACTTTCTCGTGTTGGGTTTTTCAGTTAAACGAGATCTGCGCTGCTGGAAACCTGCTAGCCCTTTGCATGCGAGCTATTTGCACACCGTCAGTGCAGTGTAACAGCACAACAGCAACGATGTATGCGACTTGAGCGGCCGTTCGATTGCCATAAACCCGGGTATAAAAAAATTGTGTAGAACCACATGTCGTATATGTCAAATAGTCATAACATCCCCCAGAAAATTCCATGCCAAAGCATATGTCATATATTGGAAAAAAAAAAAAACTTTCACTGACATGTTCGATATGCAAAATGCAACACACAAGTGTGCTTCGATTAATGGTAAATATGATTCCTTCCATCACAGCGAAAATGGTGAGGTTTACCATGGTTAAACCAAGTTTTACTAGCGCTAGCGGCAACTACCGAGGAGAGCATGCCGCGTTCGAGTCCCACGTGTCAGTGCCCCTGCATGGTAGGCAGCGGCACGCTGTTCACATTTCTCGGCGTATGGATGGCGTGGGTGTTACACGAAAGATGAGGTTTCGAAGTGCGTGCACCCACTAGATCGCAGCTCTCACGACTGACAGAAAAAGGTGTATGGGGGAGAACAAAATGACACTGTGTGTTACCGTTGCTATGGTAACGCATATGCAAGGAGAAAATTCACGTTGACTGAGCTTTAATGTCAAACGCATGCACCAAGTTTTAGTCTGAACTTGTAGCGAGAAGAGTAGAGGTATTGCTCCAAAATCAAGCGAAGCATGTGTCGGATAAACATGGACTGCTGAGCCGTAAATTTTTCGTATTGCGCTCTGTAAGAACAGGTGTGGCTTAGTAAACTTCAAAGCGGTACAGTATTGTGTACTGTAGTGTGTACTACTAATAGTGGTAGAATAAGCTAACCAGCCATACCAGTGATTCACATCACACGAGCAGAAAAGGCGCACTTACACCACCTTCTAGCCCTTTCAGGCCAGGGCTGTACACCTTAGCAGCTCCCGACACTATCGAGAAAATAAATCTTGCATATGTAACCTTCCAAATAGTGATTACATCAATGACATACTTGTCTCGTGCACTACTTACATGCAAACGAGATACGGCGTCGGTAAAGGCAGCGAGAGCTCACCAATTGCTGGAATGTTGATACAGAGGGCCGCGGTCAGCTTGAGGAATGTCTTGCCCAGTTCGTAGACGTTGACTTGGACGACGTCACTCAAGTCGAGGAGCATGTCTGAGGATCATGTTTTGTCAAGGAGTGTATAATTTTCTTTTTCCACAATTATATCAACTGCAAGGTTACCTCCAAGGGCGTAGATGTTGGTAGGGTCAAGATTACACGCGAGATCACAACACTCGCCGTCAATTTTTTTGATTACGTAGACTTTGTGTTGGCGTAGTAGCAACCATTGAACAAGTAAGCCATTTTTAAAGTTGGCCACTAACTGCAAACAACTCGAAAGCCATCGAATGGGCTGAGAGAAAGGTGATGGACCAGCTGTGCTTGCTTAGTGGTTGAAGTGCCGCACAGCTAAGCACCAGGTCGTAAGTTCGATTCCTGGACAAAAGGTCACATTTCAATGAGATGCGAAATGCAAAGACGACTCAGTGATGTTCCATGCAGGGAATTTTTCTTTTTAGGCGGGAATTTTCGCCTGCCATTTCGAACCAAAAGAAAAAAGGGAGTCTTCGCGATATTGTAGGAAATTTCAAGAATGGTTGAATTCTCCTATGACAACCGATAATTAGCGGTCACAGTGCGCCTTCATCTGCTGTAATCTGTTCTGATTCATGCCTCACGCAGACATGGCCTTTGAGATTTGTTTCCGATAGTTACGCGGAGCGATTTCTAGTTCACTAGTGGTCTTAGACTTGAAGTCCACAATGTCCAGTGTACTAACAGTATTAGAATTAATAAAATCATGCTTTTGTTCTGCGGAACTGGAGGGACTAGTCATCATTTCAAAAGTCTCCAGTACGTCAGACACGTGTAATTATAGTATGTGTGTGTGTAGATGGGGGCGGGAATTAGTACTGTTGTGCAGCGAGTTTAGTGAACGTTTGCAGGGAAAAATCCTCGAAACAGAGAATATTCATGTCTCTGAATGAGAGTTCTTCGGGGTGGTACGAAACATCACTGAGACAACTGTGTACTTGGATTTAGCTGCGTGTTGAGGAGCACCGGCTGTTCGCGATTAATCTGGAGTGCCCCTTATGACATGCATCTATAGCAGGGGCCCCAAACATGTGGCCCACGGAGACCTTGCAAGCAGCCCGCCACGCACATGACAGTCTGTCTTGAATTTTTTCCTCAACAAGTTTGTTCACGATCTACACTGACGCGATCGGTCTGAATAATTATTTTCTAAGGCCACCCCATGCACTCGCCATGCTTTAAAAGCATAACTGTGGAACGAAAACACTTTCAGAATCGGCGTCAGATTTTAAGTACCAACACGTTTCTCGAAACCTTGTATCAAAACCCCTCCAGAATTGACCGATATAGTACAATGTATAGAAAATGGTCGCTTTCAAGTGGCGACGTAAGCTGACATTTTCTCCATATTCTGCCTTCCACCGCATCCAGCTCCCCCACCTCCCTTCTTCACTGTCCCGGCTATTGCACGACTAAATTTTGTGACTACAGCCCACCAGCTGAGGCTAGTTCGACATCCCTGCTCTATAGTAACATCATAAGAACAGCACACGAATCCTCTAAAATATTTTGTCTTCAAAGGATACGGGATGAGTTCTCGATTCGGCAGACCATGTAGACGCACGCCGCGATCACGTGGGAGCTTCGCCGGCCCCGGGTCAGGTGCTTCGCCAGCGCCATCTTGTAGAAGTTGAAGGCCATGTCGATGCAGTGCTGATTGAGACGCAGGCGCTCCGAAACCTGTATGATCTTCCTCTTCGCTGTGGATTGAGAAACAGGGGGAACGTTATAAATGCAAATTGAACAATCCCAGATAGAGTTGAAGGCTATTAAATATATAAAGCTAAGTAGCTAAAAGGCTATTTTCGCAAAATGTGTATTTTAAAGCCATGCTTATTGTTGCATGCTGTATAAACCTACATGGACCAGGAATATCTGTTGCAATCAACAGTAGTTTCATTTACTGAAAGACGGACAGGGGTGCACAATTCAAGTACTGAATCAATCATATCAAATACAGTTGTTCCATTTAGGCAATAATTCCATTCAACAGATTTCCGTTTACTGAGAGACTACTGCAGTTGCATTATATGGGCACTAGTTGTCGAACTTTTTATCACTTCAGCACATTTGTGACATCCTTCTGTCATGCAACTATAATCAACGCCACTCTTGAATACCTTTTTGTTTGCCCCCTTTTATTCACCCTTTGCGGTCTGTTGTCAGGTGCAATTGGATAAGTGCGGTTGATTCATGCACGCATTTTCTCACTTTATTATGCACCATTCATAAAAGAGGAAGCAATCTTTTTTACTTGAGCTTGGAGTTTCTCAGTTTCCTACGACAACAGACGGTATGTGGGACCGTGTTTCAAAATACAAAGGGGGTAAATGGTGCGTGCATGGTACTTTCTGGTCCCTAATGGCATGTATGTCGTATGTGTGGTATTACATTTCCTGGAAGCCAACACACAGTTTATAAAAAAAAGTAAACCTGAGATGGTCAGATGAAAATAATGTTTTTACGACAGAAGAACTTCCTAAGCCATTACATTTTTTTTAGTTAAAAAATTGAGGTATTCGTTGTACGATCGTTTCACACAACGCGTGGAAGCAATGCAGCATGGCAGCACTGTGGGCTCACTAACCTTTCATCAGCGTCAGCTCCCTTGACTCTTTCCCCGTACCATGGCGGAATCCGCTCAGATGGATGTTGCTGCTTCCTGAGATGAGCAAAAGTTAAACAATCAATGAACAGTCCTTTAATATGAGGGCACTACGAAAAAAAATGATGTTTGTCGTGCCTTTAATGAAAGTAAAAAAAAGGTAGCTTGTACATGAACTGTTTCTATACCCAAATCCAGAAAAGAGATGCGTGAACGTAAGCACTCATTGTGGACAGTACGTAAATATCTTTTTGGGTGTGTGGGGGTGCTGACACCCCCTGTAGAGTTGTTTGCGCCGCGTGTGTCTCGCACAGAAGCCGTATTTCGGGGGTGACAACCGCCGGACGATAGATGGCGTTGTGTTCGCATGAGTACCACTGTTGGTAGAGTGGCAGCGCCGGCGGTGAGCCCTGGCGGAAGGCAGGTCTGGGTGGCGGGCGAGAGTTGGTCGAGCCTCTTCTGCACGTGGCGGCTGCCGCGAACGGTTGTCTGTAGCGTGGGTCCCCGGTGCTCGGCATCGTGGGCTTCGCGCCGGAGGCCCACGTGGTAAGTCAAGCGTTGGCGACGTCGCCTTGGGTATGTTAGTGTATGTTTCGTGCGTTACTGTGTTATGTTGTTTGTATGGTAGCGTGTTAATTACAATAGATGTATCATTCGGCGGTCGATATCGTCGTTATAAATTAGTTAAATAAATGTGTGTATTGCTCTTTGGTTTGTACCGACCGCGTCTTCTTTGTCCGTTCACTCCAAGAGCGTGGCGCTCGCCATGTCGAGACCCCACACTGGCACCCAACATGGGGCTCTTGGAGTATCAGACGACAGTTTTTGCGGTTCGGTAGAAGCTTGTGTTAGAGCGGGCGTAGAGTAGGCTTAGGGAGACTTTGCTAGCGTCGGCGGTGCACTTTTTTGAGAAGCGAGGATATTGGTTTTGGGACGTGTTTTGAACTTGTTGGCACTCGAGTTTTTATTTTTTTTCTGCTCACCTAGGGTGAGCAAGGCCTAGAGAACGTGGTTTGTAGGCCAGGCCCGAAGCGAGTGAGTACGGAAGCCTCGTGGGTGGTCCGATTTTCCGTAAATAGCTTCTTCTATCTCTTTGGGCTCAGGGAGCCGAGCGTCGCTGCTGACTTGTATTGCGGCTCGGCGCCGGGGCGTCGTGACACCGCCCGGGGCGGTGGACGCCGATCGCTCAGTAAGCTGCTGTGTGCGGAGAGCGATAGGGCCACCTCACAGAGTGGTTGTCTCCTCGCGGCTGCCTCTTCTGCGCCTAGGCTGGGTGCTGGGTGGATGCCGGTTGTTGTCGAGCGACTCATTAGGCCTAAGGCTCTGCGCAGCCACCTGTCGCACGTGGCACAACTAGGTGGATCGTGGCGTTGAGGTGTTGCGCTCTGCTTCCCTCACTTTTTTTTATCTTGCGATGCACGGGTTAAGAAAAGTGATTTTTGTTTTATTTTGATGGGCGTCTCGGCCGCCGCCGATGTTTTTAGCTAGCAGTACTGACCATCGTACCACGTCGCCGAAAAGCCCGAAGCTCCCTCCCCTAGGCCCTGCTCCATTGGTTCTTTCGAGTTTTTTTTTGTTGTTGTTGATGTATTCAGCGGGAGGAATGTCATCCACGGCCAGCTGTCTTCTGCACATCATCAGCGTCGCTGGCCAGGAATGCGGTCGTGAGGTCGGGCGATGGAGATGCCTGGGCAACTGCCTGCAGTCCGGCGCCCTCGTGAGTGCTAGTCGCAACTGAAAGACGTGTTGGCGCTAGCGACGGTTCGTCGCGCCGACGGCAACGTTGCTGTTGCAGGACCAGTACTGAGGTGAAGTCGAGCTGGACAGTGCAGCAGTGTCGACCAGCGGCAGTGTCGTGGTGCAAGGACATTATGGTCATGTGATGTCATTTTTTTTTTTGTTAAAGCTTTTGTAGCTAATTTTTATTTCGGGATATGGGTTGATCTAAGGTTGAGGAAATGTGGGGTTGCTGACACCCCCTGTACAGTTGTTTGCGCCGCGTGGCGTGTTTGTCTCGCACAGAAGCCGTATTTCGGGGGTGACAACAGCCGGACGATAGATAGCGTTGTGTTCGCGTTGAGTACCACTGCTGATAGAGTGGCAGCACCGGTGGTGACCCTTGGCGGAAGGCAGGTCTGGGTGGCGGGCGAGAGTTGAGTGAGCCTCTTCTGCGAGTGGTGGCTGCCGTGAACGGTTGTCTGTAGCCTGGGTCCCCGGTGCTCAGCAGCGCGGGCTTCGCGCCGGGGACCCACGTGGTAAGTCAAGCATTGGCGACGCCGCCTTGGGTATGTTAGTGTGTGTTTGGTATGTTACTGTGTTATGTTGTTTGTATGGTAGCATGTTAATTACAATAGATGTATCATTCCACGGATGATATCGTCGTTGTAAATTAGTTAAATAAATGCATGTTGTTTGGTTTGTACCGACCGTGTTTGCTGTGTCTGTTCACTCAAAGAGTGTGGCCTGGCGCTCGTTCGCCATATCGAGGCCCCCACGGGTGGTGCTTTAAAAGCAATCTCTCTAAAAAAAATTAATGTCATGTTTGCTGGAATTTATAGAATACTTATTTCAACAGTATGCCATACTGCACTAGTGGCATGCTGCAATGCAGAGGTGCAGAAACGCCGCCCACATTGCACGGGTACGATTTAAGTACACTAAAACATCAATATATCTAAATATGGGTTATAAAGAAGTAAATGAAAAATAGACGCAATAGATAATAGTGTTAGGAATACACCTTTACAACAAAATTTCGGTTAAAGCAAACTTATTTGTGTGTAAGATGCAACTTAGTTACAATAAGGTTTTCAGTACACCTTATAGTTGTAGCATGAAACTCGATTTCCTTAAAAACATAGTGAATCATGATTTATATAGCTACCTAAAAGAAGTGGAAAAAAAAAACCATATGTGTGCCACATTGAGTGCAGCACCTCGATGTAGGGCGTATGCGACTACATTTGCTTGTCACGAAAAGTGGAAAACAGGGGTGAACTGGTATCACCTGCCGTTACACGTGCTAGCTTTTTGTTTAAAAGGCCTTGGAAACCGACAACAGACACTCGCACGCTCCTCCGCGCCACTTCGCTCTTGGCAACAATAGAGGAAGCGTTGTGATGATCATTGTGACGCCACCTGCCTGAGCGACATCACGAGCAACAGACGCTGTCAGTGGGCCAAAACGAATCTGTTTTCCGCTAGTAGGTGCATGCGCTCTTTGCATTTTCACCTCGAATGTTGAATAAGTTCATTTAGAGAGGTGGACGGAAGAGGCGACGGTCGCAGCATAGTGAAGGAAAGATTGAAGCCAGCAAACGCGTGTAACTACGCTAGCGTTCACTTTATATTCGCGCACAACTGCAACACCACAACTAAATTTTGAGCTCCGGGTGGTTTAGGGACCTTTAAAGCTGCACTGTAATAATCTCATGGAAAGCTTTAGATGTCAGCGTAATAACAAAGCGAAGGCAACAATAGGAGCAATACCTTGACCTGATCAAATTGGTACGTACACTGTTGTCCTTTATGAAAGGAAACACGTGAGGCCTGTGCTCTATGGCAGCCGACTACAGAATCGTCAACCTTCAACTGAAGAAAGCATGTTCGCCTTTGGCGTCATCTATCGGCGAACAAAATAACGAGTCGTGACCATTGGACAAGCACTGCTGGATTACGCCCTCCCTCTCTACTCTCACAACAAATGATGCCGCCAGAAGCACACGTGCTTTCTATAGCTGTGACTTCACAGTGTTGTAGGCAGCCGCCGCAGGGCGCTCGAGATACACTCACGTGTTCCCTTTAATAAAGGATGACAGTGTACTCAGACGAAGGCAGCGTGACGTACACGAAACAGAAGACACAATATGCTTGTCTGCGTCTATCTGCATCTCCTGTGTACGTCTACGACGCACTGCATTCACCCAAGTAAGCATAATAACACTGTTTGGTTGAAAACAGACAGCGATTATGAACTGAAATCATCCCAGCACAAACATTGATTGCAGGGAAGCGCAAAAGTGATAACAGAGAAAATGGTTGCATGGCTTTACGCCAGACTTTTGCCGACACCATTGCTACGTGCCTTTCTGACACCACACCAGGCTTATCAATGAACGCTTCAGTGGTTTGTTTTTGGCAGTGGGCTTGGCAGCAGCATTCCTGGCATGATGCTCAACCCTTTTCGCTTCGTGCTGCAGGCTTTCACCGTTCTGCTGGGAACCTCTTCGTGGCCGCACTACTACGCTTCGCAGACAACGCATGCGCACAGACTCGTGGCCTTTGGCTGCGTGTCATCTTCGGAGGGTGATAACTTCGCCCTGGATGGATTGTGTCTGCTGCACTCCGATGACTCAACATGGTTGCTATCTTCGGTGACGTCACCTCACGTGGGAGAATCGCCGGCTATAAGAGCGCCAGCGGAACGGGACTTCACCAGTGGGCTTGGCAGCAGCATTCCTGGCATGATGCTCAACCCTTTTCGCTTCGTGCTGCAGGTTTGTAATTATTCATGCGTTCAGTGTTTTCGTAGTGATGACCCATTTCTGGTGCTGCTGCCCTGCCCACTACGTTTAAGGGGTTTAATTTCTGCTGTATGTTCTGTGCCGCTAGATCTGTTGAGATGCGGGGATGTAGAGGCAAACCCAGGTCCTACAGAGCAGATGTTGTCACAACTCTTAAATGGTCAGGCACAAATTACTGCCTCGCTTGACGCCATAAAGTGCTCTCAACTTGGAATCGAGAAAAAAATTTCTGATTTAACCCAGCGCATAGAAGGGGTTGAAGCACAGTTATCTGCTTTAGCTACCCTGACAAGTAAAGTACAAGGTATCGAGATTGCTATGTCACAACGAGATGAACAGATTTGTATGCTTGTATCGAAAGTTGACGATCTCGAAAACAGATCTTGCAGAAATAACTTTATTATATATGGAATAGAAGAACCTGCTAGAGAATCTAACGAGGAACTACTGAATGAAGTAACAGAATGTTTTCAGAAAAACCTTGAGGTAACGACATCCGCCACTGAACGATGCCATAGGTTTGGCCGTAAGGTT